ACAACCTTATCTGTGATTCATTAGCTACTTTCTAATGTGGAGAACTCTTTATGTCTATCCTAGCCAAGCAACTTTCCTCCTTGTACCCAGGTAAACATATTCCGGGAGCATGTAGGTTGCAATGACAGAGCTTCCGTACTTAGCATAAACATATGTTGCAAACCAGTTGAGTAGTCCTAGTTTGAGTACAAGAACAGAAAGGGGAAGCCCCCCTTCAAAAGCAATGTTTGGCTTTTACCAACATTTTGAGAAAATGTGGTAATGTACCTACATCATGTGCATCAGCCCCAGTCATTTCCTTTCTGCACTGGTGTTGTAGTTTCACTCATTTTCTGACACCTATTTGCAAAGGCTGAGCTCTGCATTGGCTCCCCCCAATATTACAATAATGTATGGGAACAACACGGTGACAGAGGTGTCATGGGTGAAGGCCAGCTTGCTTCCAAGCCTCTTCCTTGGGGCTTGCTTCCTGGTTGGCATGCCTGGGAATGGTCTTGTGGTCTGGACGGTTCTTACCAAGTTCCCCCAGCGCTCCTTCACCATTAATGTCATCTTGAACTTGGCCTTGGCTGACTTAATGGTCATGTTGACAGCACCATTCTGGATCTACTATTTTCTCAACAGCTGGGTCTTTGGAAATGTCATGTGCAGACTTCTCATCTACCTTGTCTACTTAACTGTGTATGCCAGCATCTTCTTCATCACCCTGATGAGCCTGCACCGCTTTGCTGTTGTGGTCCTTCCGTTCGCCTCCCAAATGTGGCGGAGGCCACATGTGGTGTGCAGGATGTTGCTGGCAGTTTGGTTGCTGGCAGGTGTCTTTGCATGCCCAACTTTGATATCTGCATCGACCAAGAACAAGGTTGGAGAGTGTACGGATGACATGTATTTCTCGGATGAGCACCGCCTTGCAGTCAATGTTCTGGAGATCTTGTTTGCCTTCGTGATCCCGTTGTCTATTCTCTCCATCTGCTACTCTTGCATGATGAGAAGGATTCGGACACTGAGACGCTGCAAGGAAATGAAAACTGGGAAGCTGGTTGCAGCTGTGGTGGGTGCCTTCTTTGTGTGTTGGCTGCCTTACCACATCTTAAATCTCGTCATAATCTCTGCATTGTTGCTGAAATATTCTCAACCGGAGAAGGCAAAGGCCTTGCTAGAGACAACTGAAGCGCTAAAAAACCTTCATGGGTCCGTATGCTTTTTAAGCAGCGTCCTGAACCCCATCCTCTATGCTTTTGCTGCCCGGAGCTTCCGTGGGGGACTACGAGAGACCAATTTTGCCAAGTTATTTGCCAAAATGCAGGAAGACACAGAGCAGAAACTTACTAGAGAAGGTACTGCTTCAGTGCAGGCTCTGTAACTCCAGGGGAGTAAGGAGGTAACTTTAGACTAAAATATTCCTCCTCTGTTATGAGCATTTTCTGTATATATTAATAAACAAAGGAAGAACCTCAGAGGTTGCTGGGGTAAAATAATGGATGTGAGACCAAGGCAATGCTGTTGTGGCACCTGGCAATCTGAGGGAGACCCAGAGAGTTTTTGTGTGCAGCAACAACCTTATCTGTGGTTCATTAGCAACTTTGCAATGTGGAGAACTCTTGACGTCTATTCTATCCAAGCAACTTTCCTACCTGTATCCAGGCTATTACCTGCTTACATTTTTGCTCTGCCCAGGACACCTCACAATATCTCCATGAAAGAACCATGAGCCCTGGCTGCATTAAGATGTGCTACCTCTACTCAGTCCTTCTTAGGGATGGACAAATCTATCAGTTTCAGTTTCTTCCACTTTCCCATTTTTTCAATCTTAAGTTCAGTTCTTCACATTTCCATATCAGTCCTCATGAATATTCATCAGCATTTTAGCATGGATTTCTCTTAGTAACTACAGTTTTGTATGCATTTTAACCTAATATACACATTTTTGCAAAGCTATTTTCACCAATAAATGCAGACTGGTGTTTTATTTTCATGAATATAAGCAATGATATGCACATTTTCATCTAGCACTTGCATTTTGTACCTATTACGTGGCTGGAGAACTGCATTGCAAAATTGGAAGAAGTGCAGATTTAAATGGCTATGTTTCACTTCATGTATTTTTTTAGAAAAAATCAAATTAGGTAGGTTCATCTTCAAATGTGAATGAATTGAATTTATCCCCCATGCCTAGTTCTGCTGGCTACTTGGGTACCCAAGATAGAAGATGCTCGTGGCAGGTTCTTTCCCGAAGTTTTCCAGTGCTTACAATAATCAAGTCAAACTTCTACCTGTAGAAATTGCTGCAGAACTGAAATTGCTGACCAGAGATATCACCTTGAAATATTATTGTGTTTGGTGGGAATCTGTTTTGGCTTTCCTGCTATCCCAGCATTCCTTTGCTAAAGCCCAAACTTTGAAAGTATTTTGAATAAGGGCACAGCTAGCAGCAATACTCTTACAATACTTATGTTGAGTTAATTCATCATTTTTTTAGTTTTTAAAATTTACTTTCAAACTGTGAAAAGACAAACATCAACTTTCTGGTTATCGTGCTAATTTATCATTGTTGATTGCAACAAGAATTTGAATGCCCCAGCAGGGGGTGGGGATGGAATGGGAACTAATGCATGATAAAGTTATCATTCAGAAGTTAAATGGTTGGTGTTAAAATGTTTGCAGTTTGTGTCTATCTAGCCATATGTCACATAGATACACAAATACATGGTACAGGGAGGGCAGCATGAGACACCTAGTTTATAACTAACTAATTCTGTGACCCCTGAGCATCAAAGGCTTCTGCTGCTGCCGAAAGTCCTCCAGCTGTGGTATTATTGCTTGGTGATTGTTGCTAGGGTCAAGATTTAATTTTGAAGATGTATTATTTTGGGTGTTATTAGTCCTCATTAAAAATTATCAGTGGATTGTTTCATCTTATTGTATATTTATTAATAAGAGATGTTTTCATTAGCCTATATAACTATTTACATGTTGTTCTGTCTTGTAAATGCTCGTGAATCATGTAAACTTTTTGAAGTTGTAAGCTGCTTTGAGCATGATCTATGATGAAAAAACAGCATACAAATAAACAATGATGACACATGGGAATGGTTGACAACTTATTTTCTCATCTTGGGTAGACCTCTGGGTATAGGGTGGTATATAAATTATAATGATGATGATGATGATAGCAGCTGAGATGATATGATGCCATGTTCAGGTAAATTCCACTTTATTTTGCACTAGCTGGGCCCTACCTGGAATACTATGTCTAGTTTTGGATGCTTTAAGAAGTATTTATTTAAAAAACAGAATAGGTTTAGAGGAGGGCAGTGCAGATTATCCATGAGACGGGAAACAGGTTGTTTGAGTAAAAGTTGAAGGAACTTGGTATATTTAGCATGGAAAAGACCTACCAGCAGTGCTTTCCCCCCTGAAGGTTCTCAAGGGTACACAGTACTGGCACTTTTTTTTTTAGAAGAAAAGCACTACCTACCAGGGACATACTAGCCATCTTAAAATACTTGAAGATCTGACATTTCTTTGCTACCCCAGATTAGGCCTATGTACACATTAGTGCCTTAAAGTGCAGCAAGGGCATTTCCTCCCCCCCCCACCCCCCGCTGTGTTTCAAGTTGCATTTGTACTTTCTGTACCCACCAGAAAGTAAATGGGATGTCTTCACCCAATGTGCTTTACCTGCTTTGTTTCCCCATCCCTGAAACCCCCACAACTCCTATTCAAGGAAGCTGTTATCTGTGCATGCTGCACTTGGGGGCACTTTTCCTTATCATTTTTCATGAGGATGGTAGTGCTAAATCCCTGAAGAGAAGGGACCACATGGAGATAATTAAGGGAACACTTTGGCCGAAAAAGGCACTGTGAGGAAGTGTGGTTTGTGTGACAATTTTTGGAAATGCAAGTTCCTGTTTTTGTTGAAGCTGGCGAAAGAGCGTAATTTCCTCTTACATTTTCAGACATGGAATCGGGGTGGTTGCCTTGTGTGTGTGTGTTTGTGTGTGTGAATGAATGAGGGAAGACTTCCAGTTGTGTATGATATTTGTAGTTAACAATCTGGAATGAGTTGTTTTGTTTCCTATCCCTCCTTCTGAAAATAAAACAAAACTAGGTTTCAGATTTGCACAGCAAATCCTGAACCAAGGAGTTAAGGAATTTCCAGTGTCACCAAAGTGTTTACACTTTTGACATTTCCTCACCTCGGGGTCAGCCCAGGGAAGAAATTAGTTCAATTCATAATTCAAACCTACAAAATTTGCACTTCTACAACCTATACAAACTAAAACAGATCTCTTTCAGATGTCACACTTCTCCATATTTTGCAATGCAATTTTGCAACTCCAGAATGCATACAAAAATGTGTATATTGGTCAAAACAAGATACAAAAATGTGTTCTATTAGGACAAAATAACTTGCAAAAATGCAAATACCGGTACTTGGCACAACTGTATATACCGTAAGTTTGTTTATTGGGAGAAATGCACATAAAAATACCTAATAAATTTCCTGCAGACTTGCTTTTTAAAAACATTATAGACATATCTGGAAATGGAGCAAATAGCCTCAAGTTCAGAGACTGGAAACCAACTTCATGTGACTGGCTGTTGCAGCCTTCCGACAATGAGGAGAGCATGACTCTAAGCTCTACCTGGGTAAAATTAGGTTGCTTTGGTTCCTGAGCACATGTTTGCTTAAATAGGGCCCTCTCACTTCATCTGTGTTAGGTAAGAAGAGAGTGGCCTCAGCCAAACAGAATCTTCAACTGTGGTTTAATGTTCTAGGAACATTAAACCACAGTTATAGGAACAAAGTAGTGAGGTTATGTGGTTTCTTTCCCCCCTTCCCTCCTCCATTGCTTCTGCTCTTGACTTGTCATGCCATCTGAACATGACAAACTGGTCAGTGTTAACTATGGGTAAGTGAATGTTGTAACACCATTATGACTTCGAACCATTGTTTGTTACATGCAAGTTCCTGCCTATTTATCATTTCGTTTACTCTGACGAGTTTGAAGTTGAAGGGACATAGCCCAAGTTGGAAATGACTGACTGGCTTTCTGTATGTTTCTGAATCATGAGTTTACTCCTAGAATAAGATTTTATTGTACAGAGTCTGAAGCTTTCTTACAGGAATTGATAATTGAACTTTGCTGGTAACACATGATTAGTATGCTGATCTTTGCATGAAGTAATAGGAACTCAGGATATTTACTCATCCCTTCCAGGACCAGTTTGTCTTCAAGAGATGGAGGAGTGCATCTTTGGGAGTGGAGTCTATGGGATGCAAGTCTGGGCAGTGTGTATGGAGGTCCTGGGCTGCCCAGACAACAAGAACCACCCTGCTCTTGACCCCACTGATGTGGTATAGAGGAAAGGAAAGCAAGACAAGACATTTGGCATCAGCTTGGCAGCAGGAGTTGCCGGAAGGAGGCATACAAGATGCCATCCAACCGCCTTAGAAACTCCACTCTGGATTTGTGTAGGAAGAGTTTAATTATGTGATGTGTGAAAGAAGTACTTCCTTTTGTCTGACTTCACTACCACTGAATGTGGTGATGGCCATTAGCTTGGAAGGCTTTAAAAGGAGATTAGATAGATTTGCAGAGGATAAAGCTATCAAAGGCAGTAACTAATCATTATTTAAATAACTAGGTTAATAGGCATGGGAATTTGTGTATGAAAGTGAAGTTCGACATCATAAGAATTCAGGGTTTGTGGTGATTGTCTTTGCATTCCAACTCTGATATTCACATAGAGCCAGAAGGTGAAAGCTGAAGGATATGATGGATTGCATGAATTTCTTGAGAAGCTGTGTTACTGCATCACCCACAGCCATTTCCTCTGCATTTACCATGAACCTCTATATAAGATGGTGCTCACTCACTCTTTGCAACTGCTAATCCCCGAATGAGATCCACAATGGCTCTCAATAGTTCTACAGAGACTGGATTGAACAACACAGGGATGGACACTTTGTGGGTGCAGCACACTTTGCTTCCAAACCTGATTCTTAGTGCTTGCTTCCTGACGGGCATACCTGGGAATAGCTTTGTGCTCTGGATCATCCTAACCAAGTTTCCCCGGAGATCATTCACCATTGCACTTATCCTGAACTTAGCCATGGCTGACTTAATGGCATTGCTCACAGTGCCATTTTGGATTTATGACTTTGCGACCAGCTGGAACTTGGGAGAGGCTTCTTGCAAGCTCCTTGTGTACTTTAACTATTTAACTATGTACGCCAGTATCTTTTTAATCACCCTGATGAGCCTGCATCGCTTTGCTGTGGTGGTTCTTCCAGTTGCTTCCAAAAGGTGGCAGAGACCACATGTGGTATACATAACATTAGTGGCAGTTTGGTTGTTAGCAGTTGCCTTTGCATCTCCAACTCTGATACTCACATCGAGCCAGAATGTGGAAGGAGATTGCTCAGATGACGTGTATGGGGCCCAATGGCAGCAGATTGTGGATAACGTGGTGGAGACTTTGTTCAGCTTTGTGATCCCCTTTGCTGTGATTGCCATCTGCTATTCCTGCGTGGCAAGGAAGGTTGGGACTCTGAAATTCCATCAGAAGATGAAGACCAAGAAGCTGATTATTGCTGTCGTTGGGGGCTTCTTTGTGTGCTGGCTCCCTTACCACATCTTCAGCCTCCTCACAGTCTGTGCACTGTTGCTGCAAAGCACCTTCCCAGGTGTGGCAAAAACTCTGGATCATGCCGACAAGGTTGTCTCAAACATTCACTGGGCTGTAGCCTTTTTAAGCAGCACTGTCAACCCCATCCTGTATGCCTTTGCTGCACAGAGTTTCCGTGGGGAGCTACAGGGGACCAGTTTTGCCAAGTTATTTTTCAAGCTGCATGAAGACGCTGATGAAACATCTGCTAACACTACAACCACCAAGAGGTAGGGCAGATTCATAACAAAAACTTCTTGGTTTGAACTGAGTTTCATCCATGTAAGCACATGATCATGGATTTCAACAGCTCTGGGGGTAATAGGAGTAGTAGCAGCAGGGAAAGATTACCTCGGGGTCTTGTCTTGGACCTGTCAAGTTTCTATGTCCATAGCAACCACATTTCTGGTTTGCTCACAACTATCCCATGTGGAAAACTCCGCCTGTCTACTGCAGCCCATAAACTCTCCTGCCTGCCCCCAGTCTGTTACCTGCTTCTTATTAAAGTCTGTAAAATATTCATTTTGTCCCAGTCCCTTCCAGCCCTCCTCAGAACATGCATCTGTAAAGAGCAATGTGCCTTAGCAGGCCTGAGGTGTCTTTCCTTTACTCCATCCTGCTTGGCACTTGGGTACCGAGGGCAGAAGGTGAATGCAGCAGCCCTTTTGTCAATGCTAAACAGAAAAATGGAAGCCTCTAGTTTCCAACGGTTCTGATATTCATTTCCAGTGACAACGGTATATCTGAAGCTAAACTGCCTTGGCCCAATATACTTGAAGGAGTGTCTCCACTCCCATCATTCAGCCTGGACACTGAGGTCCAGCGCCGAGGGCCTTCTGGCGATTCCCTCCCTGCAAGAAGTGAAGTGAGGTTACAGAGTACCAGGCAGAGGGCCTTCTCGGTAGTGGCACCTGCCCTGTGAAACGCCCTCCCATCAGATGTTAAGGAAACAAACAACTATCTGACTTTTAGAAGACATCTGAAGGCAGCCCTGTTTAGGGAAGTTTTTAATATTTGGTGTTTTATTGTATTTTTAATATTCTGTTGGGAGCCGCCCAGAGTGTCTGGGGAAACCCAGCCAGATGGGTGGGGTATAAATAAATTTATTATTATTATTATTATTATTATTATTATTATTACCAGTGCTTTTTTCAGGGGAGACACACGCAGGGGTACGCATACCCCTAAACATTTTGTGAATCTAAGTTTGGCCTCATCGAAGGGCAGTATTTCAATATGAGTAGGAAAATGAGAGTACCCCTAAACATTTTTTTAAAATAAAAGCACTGATTATTATTACTACTACTAAAAGAGCAGGTGGGTGGGGGATGGAACCTGGTATAATATAATACTGCATTTTATAAGATATCTAAGATAATATGAATATAAGATATTAAAAGCCCTTGTTTTGATATTAGCCTTACAGGTATGACGTTGATGTATTATTGGTTGAGAGTAGGACTTATTAAACTATCTGATGTAGTCATCCAGCAATTCCTGCCCACCCAATGTGCCAGGCATCAGTACATTTGATCTCTGAAGTGTCCCACCCAACCTGGGCTGTGGTGGAGTTCAGCATGGACTAGCAATGGCTTATGGATGGCACCGGTCTGTGGACCACCACTTTGAGATAGCACTGGTCTAAGATGTTGCTGTTGTTAATACCCCGCCCCTCAGCCTGGGTTGCCCCAGTCACTCTGGGTGGCTTCTTGCAGGCTTGCTTATAAATAGTCTATTTATTGTTCACTCATTGTGAGGCTTTTAAATGTTATAAACCGCTTTCAATAGGCTTCTCCAGAAAAGTGCCTTTAAAATATCGTGAAATAAAATAAATGGACCCAGTCTCTGTTGTGTGGCATTATGTTTGCAGGTGGAACATCCCAGCTGGGGAAACTCCTGTTGAATGTAGGCATGAAGTCACCCAAGATGAAACATGAAGCAGCATTGCCTTGTGCATGAACTCTCATCATTTGCATACAGCATATAAAATGAAGGTGGGAATAACTAGTGCTTGTGGTTGCTTGGTATTCAGTGAAGTATACTCTGTGCATGTTCAGAGGCAAACTTTTCTTTCTTATAACTTCTCTTAAGCCTGGCAGTGCTACATTCCTGGAAGAAGAAAACAGTAGTTGTCATGAGGGGGCAACTGCCACCAAGCCCATTTGGGGGAATAACTTTTTGGCAGGATTGTTTCTGAAGTTCCAGGCCAGAGTTTGATATTTATTCTGCTGCCAGGTATGTTCCAGAGGACAGGTGCTCTCAAAAGCAGGCTTTGTCAGCCAGAGACCAAGCTTTAAATCAATTTTTTGGTTAGCCACCTTGCACTATATAATCCGCTCAGAACTTTTAATTGAACAACATCATACTAAGAATGCATAAACAGATGTTAACTCACTTTAAGGGAACATAGGAGATAAAAGTCAACGGTAAACTTATTGAAAGCTAGACACATTTTTCAATATATTGAAAAAGAATTAAAACATAAGAAGATGATCCTCACTGGATATGAAGAAATAACATCATTTGAATCACATTTCTTGAGACAGTTATACCATTTTCTTTTTTCTCTTTTGGGACTTGGGTTTGCTCCTTTTGCATCCATCCAGTGTAAATAAAACTATGTATTGTGTATGATAAAAAAAATCTTATTAAAAATACAACAGGTTATTAAATGACATAACATAAGAAACATTTCTGGTTGAAAAAGTCTCCAATATGAATATGCGATGTTTTCTAGAAAGAGAATCCAAAGGCTTTATTAGAAATCAGTGTGCTTACAACAGACATTCAAGGGACCGTAGCCTTTTTAAGCTGCTCTCTGAAGTGCTATGTGGCACTTCCATGGGGGACTACAAAAGGCCAATTTTGCCAAGTTATTTGTGGATGATAAATCTGCTAAGGATACTACTGGTGCAATGTAGCATTTGTAATTCCAGATTTAGGCACCATATGTGCAATACATTTGAAGTGGCATTATGCCATTTTTTAAAAGTCATGTCATCCCCCAAAGAATCCTGGGAACTGTGATTTGTTAAAGCTGCTGAAAGTTGTTAGGAGAGCCCTATTCTGCTCACAGAGCTACTGTTTCCACAGTGGTTGAACAATACTTTTTCTTAGGGAACTCTGAGAATTGTAGCTTTGTGACAGGAATAGTGGGCCTCTTAACAATCCTTAGCACCCACATGGGAACTATTTAAGGGTGCTGGGAGTTGTGAGGAGACCCTTAACAAACTACAGGTCCCCAATTTTTTTGGGAGAGGCCATGTGTGTATATGGGAGCTTTAAATGGATGGTGTGCACATCAGCTCTATTTTCTTCTTCACAGCCCTTCAGGAATTTGAAGACAACTATCATGTCACCCTGTCATCTTTTATTCTCCAATCTAAACACACTTATCTCCTTCAAACATTTCTTACAGGATTTGGTTTCCAGAGCCCTCACCATACTGGTCATATACCAGTGGTGAAAGGAGAAAGGGGTCGACCAAGGATGGGGCTTTCATTTTGCTGCATTCTATTGTTTTTGGAGTGGCATTGCTCTGTGACGTTCACATGGTACACATGGAACATGGCAGGCAATTGTGGTTAGCTGGGGTTAAGGGAAATGCACTCTGTAGATGCTCAGAGGCAAACCTTTATTTCTTATTATTGTTCATGAATCTGGTAGTGGTAAATCCCTGAAGAGCAGGTGTTGTGAGCAGGTAGCTGATGAAACCCTTTGCTTGAAAAAGGCCCCATGAGAAAGTGTGTTTTTGAAAAAAGAAATGTGAGTTTATGTTTTATACCTGTTAAGGGAGGGGAAAGAACATCACTTCCTGTTGTAGTTTTGAAAATGTGTGGCTTGTGGTGGGGGAAAGAACTTCTGTTTTTCCCTGCAGGGACAGCAGAAATGATTTCTAGATGCGTACTCAACAGATTTTGAAATGAATTGTTTTGCATCCACACTTACCCCACCATGCAACAAGCCCTTACACCAGGGTTGGGTTGGGTAACCATGTGTACTACCTTACAGAGAACAATCTTCTATTTGAAGAAAGACTCTATCTCTATCCTTGCAGGGGACTAGAGATGGGTGAATCTGTTAATTTTGGTTTTCCACAGTTTTGCATTCCAGTCTTAAGTTCAGCTGTCCGGATTTCCATATCAGTTTTGCAATTTAAAAAGATAAAAAAGGTTCTCATGAAAATTCACCAGCATTTTAGTGTGAATTTCTCTTGCATGAAGTTTTGCCAAATACACACATTTTTGCAAAGCAATTTCCGCTAATATATTGCACTTTGGTATGTTATTTTCACCAGCATATGTATTTATTTATGCACACTTTACCTCAGTATATGCATTTTTGACACATTACTTGGCTGGAGAAATGCAGTGCAAGTGCTAATTTTGATGAATGGTTGTGTTTTGGTTCCCATATTCATAGCGAAGGGGTGAATTAGGTAGATTCACCTTTAAATGTGAACTGATTCAAATCCCCCTCCCCCCGCAATTCCCACAGCGAACCTAACATGCAAAGAGATGGCAGCTTATCTCTTCCCTTCCTGATTGGCCAGGAGTTTAGGGCCCAAGATATGCTGGAGTGGTTGGTTCCCATTGCACTGGGAAGAAAAAAAAGGATAAGCCTGTCTTCCCTAAGTGCCGTGTGCCCCATAAGGGCTACATGCCTTTAATTTAGAAAAGAAAAACTGAATGCTATTTATCTAGAAAACATTATCTAGCAAGCATATTCGATTCTTAAGTATTAATTGATAAATATGTTGTTCTTGTGCTCCATGATTGTGCCCCATGATTTGCATAGTTCTAGGATAATAGCACATTACCCTGTCTGCATAATTTGTAATGACAATGCAATAAGCAGTGCTCTTTTGGGAGTACAGGCTGGAACTGGCTTTGGTGCCATTTGGCAATCATATTCATCTTTTCTAAACGCTACAAGATACGGGCTTCAGTGTACTAGTTGGTCTGCACAAGTGTTGCACTCATATACTGTGTAGAATTCATAAGCAGGTTTGGGCGTGGATGTGCATATATTAACACCCAAAACCACACAACCCACAGAAAACTAGTGCAACTGGTGCGTAATAGACAACCATTCCTGTGTATAATCTTGCATAGAATATAGAGCAGGTGTGGAGAGCCTTTGGCCCTGCAGATGCTGCTGAACTCCCAACTGTCATAGCAAACATGGCCAATGGCTAGGGATGATGGAAATTGTAGTTCAGCAACATCTGGAGAGCCAAAGGTTCCTCACACATGATAAGGAGACTGCATGTGGTTGTGCCTGGCTGTGAATCTGGGAGAGAGCACACAAAACTGACTAAATTTAGCCCTGCCCCTGCTCCCACTGCCCCGCCTCCACAAAATGGCACCATGTGTTTTGGATCACTGGAATGTAAAAAAAACAACAACAACATCAACAGGCTCAATCCCCACTAAAGTTCCATCTTGCCAGAGGTCACCAGCTACCATCCTGGCAAAGTCAGCAATGCAGCTGTAGAGATGAGCAGTCTAGCAGCATCTGTGGATGTATCAGGCACATTTGGACTTCCCAAGGCAGAAGGGTGGCTCCGGAGCTGGAACAAAAATGTTGCTAAAAACTGGGCGATAGTTCTCAGGCAGTACTTGAGGATTCTGCACCATGATCTCCAGCACGTTGTTGTGGATTTCTTTAGAGATGTCGCCACGCAAGTGGAGGAGCATGGAAATGTGGTCTTCGCTGGTGAAACAACAGGCACAAAACGTGTTACCTCTCCCCTGGCCTCCTGCTGCCAACCAGGACTGGCCCTACCTTTAGAAAGAGTGAGGCAGCCCCTCCACAAGCAGATGGAGTGGAGAGTTGGAGAACAGAGCTGTATGTTCTCCAATGTGGCCTACCCTCCAATCCCTTAGCTAGGCTGCTGTTCTCAGGTACACTGGAGGAAAGGTACCTGATGCCAGTGCTGAAGGAAGATTGCTTTGGTGGAAATGGCCTTGTGGGCCAACGTGAACCCCCTGGCAGGCCAAGATTAGCCTGCAGGTTGGAGATATATTACCCTTGCATCATTGCTGGGGCGACTGCCAGAAAATGTTTTTGGCCTTGAATTTGGAGAACGGAAGGGATGCCTAAGGCCTCAGATCCAAGACCTGGCATCTCCAAGCAAAAGAATTCCAGCTCTCACAGTGCTGGAAAAGAACAATTATACTCTCTGTGTTGTATTTCCCGTGCTTCCTGTTTAGGGGCAAAATGCAAATCCAGTGCTGGGGGAAGCAGTGCTGGAAGAGGGGAAAGTGTATTTGCTTTGAGTGCCCTACCTGATATCAGGATATTTTGTCACGAATCCCAGTACTTCCAGGCTCAGCATGGAGGGGTCCTTGAGACTGACGAGCTCCTGCAGGTCAGCAATCACTCTGAGAGTCTGTTCATTCTCCTCCAGGCCCTGGGAAAGGAAGCAGGAGACAAACTATATCATACCACGAGGACAGAACGGATGGACCGATGTGGAGGCTGCAAGATGAGTTATGATTGTCGAGTGACTATTACTACTGTTAGCAGTTGCAGTTATACTGCATGTGGGTTTTGCATTTTTATACATTGATTTTTGTTGAGATGGGTAAACCTCTTGGAGATTTTTTTAAATAAATATAACATGGTATACAAGTTCAATAGATAAAAGAATACCATATCATACTGTACCTGAAGAAGTGTGTATGCACACAAAAGCTTATACCAGAACAAACTTAGTTGGTCTATAAGGTGCTACTAGACAATATTTTTATTTTTTTATTCTGATTGTGTCAGACCAACACAGCTACCTACCTAATACTGTACCATAGACATTAAAGCAGAGAGCAGCCCAGTCATTGCTAGACTACCTTCCACAGCATCCTTGAACGAAGTTCAACTAGGTAACAACCAGCAGCTGTTGGCAGAGCCAGCCTCATGACTAGGTGTTCTGCACAGTTGTTTATTCCCCAACCCCAACCCACCTTGCTGCACCAAACTGGCTTGGGTTGCCACCTCCTGACCAAAAGGATGATTGCCTGATGTGACATTTTCATGCGGGTACTGAAATGCAAAGACACCTCAGGAGTAAGCAGCAACTCTAGCTGGTATTATCGGCCAGACCTGCTATCCAACAAAGTTGATCTCCCAATAGTTCGGCCCTAGTAGGAACCTGCACAGGTTTCTTTGGAAGCCGGAAGTCGTGCAACTAGATGCTAGGGATGTTGAAAATTTTGCTCAGTTCACATTTTAAGTGAATTTATTCCATTCTTACTTCCCAGACTAATACAGGAACTAGAATGCAGTTATCCTTCAGTTGTTGAATATCTTAAAATTTTGCAATATAGTTCATGGCTCAAAAATATGCAAAAATGTGTACTTCGGGTTAAACTGCATATAAAAAATGTGACTTCCCCCCAGTTTAAAAGGAAACAAATAGCTGGTGGATGTGGAAATAGGAAATAACTAACTTATGAATGAACACATGCAAAACTGACACGATCTGGAAATAGAATGATCTATTCATCCCTATTGGATGCATATTTGATCTTTGCTGGCCACGCACACAACTCTGTATTCAGCTTGGTGAGCAAAGTCAATCTCCCTTTCCTCTGTGATCACCAGCAGCTGCCAGCCCCATCCTTGTAATGTGTTTGGCAAAACATGATAGCTGTTAGCTGTTCCTTTCTCTCACCAGGCTGCAAAAGAGCTCCGTCAGCTGAGAGGCATCTTGCACCATCTGCCTGGCCATCCGGCTTCTCTCCTCAGCGTTCCGGCAGACTAGCCTTTTCTGCAAGAGAGCCCTCACGTACTGGCTCATGACCAAGCGCTCAGTCTCTGACAGGAGGTGCTGGACATCAAGGGGGGAAAATTGCCATGGTCATTCTAGTTAATGGGAGCTGCACTGAGACAAAAGGCTGAAATGCAGTGTGTGTGTTTCCTGCAGCGGTGGCTGGTGCCCACTGGGCCTGGTAGGGCAGGAGGCAGGGAGCCAGAGCCAATGGCAGGCAGAGATAACTAATTCTAGGTTTGTCCCCATCTTGCTGGTGATGGGTGGCGCTGAAGCTGGCAATGGGCATGGCCAGAGCAAAAAGTGGGAAGGACCTCCCTTTGACACACACACTCTCTCTTTCTCTCTCTCCCCTCTCCCCCGTCTCTTTCTTCCACCCCATTTTCTTTCTCTTTCTGCTAAGTCTGCAAAGAGCTTACCCTCGCTTTCTGTCATTCCATCAGTCTTGGCTCCCTGCCCCTTTCTTGCCAGGCCCCCCTCACCCACTTGAAATCCAAAGCCCAAAGGCCACATGTAAACCTCAGGCTGCAGATCCCCCACTTCTAGAATCTAGAGGCAATGCTCAAATGGTAGACCACCCTCCCTGAAGCTAGCCAACCAGCAGTGCACAGATCTTCCCACCGCTGTCAGCCCCCAGCTATGGAGGGATCTTACCATGCTGATTGGCCTGTGAGTTCTGCAGAAGAATTTCATGTGCATTTCTACCACCTCGCATATGCTGCTCAGCACCTGGGATTCACCAGACAGCCATTGACGGGAGGGCATCTGAGCAAACGGAGACTGGGACAGAACAAGGGACGTACCAAGTTGTTTTAAAATGGTCTCTCTCTCTCTCTCTCTCTCTCTCACACACACACACACCACCTTCCAGAAGGAAGTCCAGAGTGGCTTACAGCAACAAAAAATACAGGCAAACCTACAAAATGGCATAGAACTCCTCTGCAAATACTACATGTTACGTTGCCTTTAAAAGACCCACTCAAGGAAGTATGTTTTGGGTTGCCTCTTGCAGGGTCAAGCTCTGGTGTATCTCCTTTGAGCAGAAGATCTATAGCTGTGAAGGCAGAGCTGATAGTTAGCCTGGCTTCCACCAATTCACCCTCATCAGGAGCTTGGCTGCTGCAAACTAGGGCTCCACAAGCTTCTTTGTGCTTGCTTGCAAGCACAGGCACTCAGGACCCCTCCAGACATCTTTTTAAAAATCTGCATTCATCATTATTTGTGCTCCTGGTGGTATTAGGGCAGTTGTAAGTGGGAATCTCTAATCCGTTTACTATGTGTCAGAGGTGGGGAACCTTTTTCAGTCCAAGGGCCACATTCCCTTCTGGGCAAGCTTTTGAGGCCACATGTCACTGGTGGGCAGGGCCAGAGGCAAAAGTGGGCAGAGCAATGCATGTTGACTTTACCTTCAAACAGTAGGTTAGTTTTCACAATTTCACACAACACTCTCTTATCTTTCATCCAGGCAAGCAGGAAGCATTGTCAAAGTTCAGGGGTATATTCTAGCCTGGGAAAAACTCGTGTGTGGGTGTGAAACAGGGGCAGCAAGGGACATGGCCTTGGGAGAGTTCCAAGGGCCAGACAGAGAGGCCTGCAGGGCCACATTTGGCCCCTAGGGCTGCGGGTCCCCACCTCTACCATAGGCTTTCTTAATAACAATGGGTACCTGCAGATCTTTCAGCATCTCCTCCAGCAGCAGCTGGCATGCCTTCTTCTGGGCTTTCTCCAGGGCAACGTGAAGGGTTGATGACATCTTGTTGGCCTCTGAGGATGTTGATCTGCCTTCACACAGGGCTGCAATGGAGGTGCTGCCAGTGGAGGGAAGAGGAATAGCTGGGAAGCGGGCTTGCATGTAGCCAGCTAGCAAGAGAAGCCCAGATACAGCAGGCATGTGGAAGGAATCAATCACAGGAGTTGGGAATACCTGAGAGCCTGGCAGTTGTTGAGGGTTGATAGCAAGTAAGGCACATAGCACTTGGAGGTTGCAGGTTCTCGTTGATGCTCCTTGCCAAATCCCACCAGGTCTTCATACAGGCTGCAGAGAGCACAGCAGTTGTCATGGCATCTTGCACACCAGTAGCCAATCCCATGTGTCTTGAGAGTGAAACAGTGCAGAGTTCCACATATGATGAAGAAAAAGCAGACCTATGCCCCATCTTCAGTATACATTTAAAGCACTTTTGCCACTTTAACAGTGGTTTCTCCCACAGAATCCTGAGAATTGTAGTTTGTTAAGGGTGCTGAGAGTTGTTAGGAAACTGTTTTTCCCCTCACAGAGCTACAATTTTCAGCATGGCTTAACAGTCAGTGCCTCTTCGCAGGAATCATAGATCTGTAAGGAAAATGTGTCTTTAACAAACTACAGTTTGGGATGAATGAACTTGTAATCTTGAAGCGCCCTCTGATGGCTTTAGAAGAATGAGACAAATTCATGAAGGGACAATGGCTACTAACCACTATTGTTAAATACTGCCTCCAGGATCGGAGGCAGACAACTTGTTTACTGAGCTTATGAGGAGGTTAGACTGGTACATCTGGTCTTTACTGAGCTTCTTTCTGATTTGTTTGTGTGGTGATTATACAACAATGAGGATTCATCCTGTTTTGCTTGCGAGTTGATTTTACCTCTTTCTATTAGATATTTGCCCATCCTACACTTTTTAGTGCATTTCTCTATCACTTTCCTAACTGCAAAAAGTCAGGAATTTGATTTAAACTGGATTTGTTGTGCTAGGTCAACACAGAGCTTTCATCCACCTTCATTTCTGGTATGGGCTTAAATTCTTTTTGCATAATACTGACAGATCTGGAAGTAATGCCTCTTCTGGGGAAGAGCAGAGGAAGAGAGAGAGAGCTATTGCCCTCATGTCCTGTTTGCAGGATCTCCACAGAGCTATGTATGGGAAGCAAGATGCTGGACTAGGCAGGCCTTTGGTCTGATCCCTCAGGGGTGTTCTTGTGGCGCAGAAATAACATACCTCATTTCAAGCCCACTAAAGGTTTTCTGTAAGGAAAAAGGAGCCTCAGTTGGAGCAGGATTAGGGAAATGAGCCTCCACAGCCCTCCAGTGAAAGAAAGGAGAAAGGAGCAGGGATCCTTAGCAGGAATGATAACCAAACTCAAGTAAGAACCCAAGATGTCTTATTGGGCTGGGCCTGAAGGTCCTATTGCTGGTGAATTAATGTTAGGGACATGGGAAGCTACCTTATACTGAGTCAGATCATTGGTCCGTCAATGTATTGTCATCACTGATGGGCAGCAATTCTCAAGGGTTTAAGACAGCAGTCTCTCCCAGTCCTCCCTGCAGATGCCCTACTTGGGACCTTTGGCATGCAAAGCAGGTGAGTCATGCTGCTTTCCCTACTGAGCTGTGCTGTGATGAGCATCCTTTTCTTGCCTCTCAGTCCCTACTCTGCATCAGCAGCATGGAGAGAGAACTGACCTGCCCAGAAAGACCTCAAGCTCCTCCAGGGCCATGTTGCACAACTTCTGCTGCAGAGTATCTGAGATGAGGGATGCCACTCGGATATTTTCATCCAGCATCTGGGGCAGGCAAAGAAAGAGAGGAAGGCGATTGGATGAGTGGGGATCAAACACATGGCTTTGCTTCCGCAGTCAATAGGACACGCTGTACAGGAATCAGGTAGGCTTCCCTGCAGTGCATTGTCTTTCTTCTCTGACCTTCATGACAATCATGGGAAGGCTGGTCTGGAAGCAGCCTTGATAGTCTGATTCGGGCTCCTCTTCACTGAACCACTCTTTAAACTCCATCTCCAGCGTCTTCTGCATCCACTGAGCAAAGCTGGCCTAGAAGAACAAGCAGAGATGGTTTATGGCAACAGAGGTTGAGGAACCTTATTCACCCCGAGGCCCGCATTTTTGTCTGGATAACCTTCTGAGGGCCAAGTGCCTATAGTGGGCATGGCTGGAGACAAAAGCAGGCGGAGCAACAAATGTGAATGTCACCTTTGCATATGGGCTAATTTCTCCACATGAAGCTCTCTATCTTCCATCCAGACACATTCCAGCCAAGAAAAAGCACTCATGGGTATAGCCTGGGGAAAGTTCCCAGGGCCAGATAGAGAGGCCTGGGTGGGGTGGGGTGGACAAATTTGGCTCTCAGACCTGAGTAACTATTCTCTTTTTAAGTGAAGACCAGGGACCCTCCACTGCACACAAGCCACTCTCAACCCCAGCAGTGTTCATATTCATTTGCCTAGCTCCTTTCTCCTGCGGATGAGAAACATCTCTTTAGTGGGGCAGCTGATATACAGTACATACGGCTCAGATCCACACCACACATTCACAGTACATTTAATGCACATTGCTTCCCCCGAAGAATCCAGAGAGCTACAGTTCGTTAAGGGTGCTGGGAAATATAGCTCTGTGTGGATATGACCTGCAGTATGTGTTCGACCTCCACCTCTGGTCTTCCTGAAAACCTGCCACCTCCTATTTTTATCCCTATTTCTCTCCACTGCTGTGAAACAATGGATGCTTCCAGACTGTCACTATTTTCAGGTGGAATTCAGCCACAGGCCAGCAGATTCAGGTTTGCTCAATTATAGTTGATTAGAAGGTCTTGCACAACAAACCTGTTTCCCTGAAAGGTAGCACTTTCTGTGCTATTTTTGGGTGGGATTCGATCTCATGCAGCGAACCTGTCTCCCAAATCAGGATGAATGTTCATTAAATAGCCAACACCTTCCAACCTCCCCAGCAAACAAATTAGGATGAATGCTCAATAAACAGGTGATCTGGAAGTGCCCGATGAAAACTCCAGAGACTAGAGGGGCTTAAGAGGCAAACTGCACAGAAGTAACACGTTTTGGCTGAAGGCTACTTATTCAGAATAAAAGCAGTTTGGGGTAGAGACCTATTTTGAACAGAGAAGCAGCAGACAGAGGAGGAATGCTTAGCACTTTCTTCACCAGCCATTTCCCCATCTGCTCCAAATCGCCCTCTTGACCCCCAGAGTCCCATGTGCATGGCTGCCTGAGTTTGGAACCCTGAGCAGGGCCAACTCAGTTGGGGAGACAATCTGGACCAGGAAAAGGGGTGGTGGGAAAAGGGTGAAGCACCACTGCCTCATCTACCCCCTACCTGTTCAAAATGGGCGTCTCCTGAAGGTGCTTTTCTTCAGAAAGAGGAGACAACAAGGACTCTTTACAGAACTTTGTGTATAGCATAGCATGGCATCCAGTAATATGCCACTTGTCCCTTATTCATAGGAATATGCTGGATACTGAGTTAGACAACTGGTTCCTCTAGCTCAGTAGTGGTCCATCCAGCCCACAGCAGCTCTCTAGACTTTCAGATGGAATATTTCCACATTCACTGGTAAGAAAAGATCTCTGCCTGAATATTTGGAGAACTTCATATTAACACTCCCCATCACCCAGGTTTCTAGGCCAACCAGCAAATCTAAATATATTAGTGCTTCAATATCCACAGTCATTTTGTTCCCCATAGTCTTCACGACTCACCTGTACTTTCCCTACATAGGTCTCCTCCAAGTAGTCTACTGTATCCACAGGAAGCAGAGGACCCAAGACTGTGATGTCCACTTCAGGTAGAAGGCTTGGGTGGGTCATCATTTCTGAGCTGTGGAACACAAGAAGGGTCAGGAACGAAAGGTACTTAAGTTCAACTTTCCACTTTCAGGCTGTTCAGTACACCTGAAGCAGGATTATATGTGCATATTTCTAGTATTCTTGTACGGGGAAATGCAGCCCATTGCCAAATCTGCTTCTTTGCAAATGCCACCTGACGGTTGCCTGCTGGTACAACAGAGAACATGACTGGATAAACACCCACCTGTTTAAAGCATTATCCTACCACTTTAACAGTCACAGCTTCCCCAAAGCATCCTGGGAACTCTGCTTCATCAAGAGTGGTGAGAGTTCTCAGTAGACCAGTGGTGGCCAAACTTGGCCCTCCAGTTGTTTTGGGACTACAATTCCAATCATCCCTGACCACTGGTCCTGTTAGCTAGGGATGATGGGAGTTGTAGTCCAAAAACAGCTGGGGGGCCAGATTTGGCCACCACTGAAGTAGACCTTCCACAAACGACAGTTCCCAGAATTCTTTGGGGGGAGCCATGACTGTTAAACTGGCCCACGAGTGCTTCAGATGGATGGTGTTTGGGATTCCAAGTCAGAGTTATGGGCGGTAGGCAAATGTAAGCCCCAGCACTTCTTTTTCTAAAAAAAATAATGACCCCTCACTTCCCCTATGAACCCCAACACCTGCCATTAGGAGCACTGACCTTGGGTAGACATGGAGTGCCCACTGGAGAAGAGTAAAGACCTCCTGCTTCTCCAGCTCCCGAGTGAGGATGTGATGCAGGTGTTTGGCAAGGCTTTGATGATACATGGCAGCAAAGGCTGCGACGATATTGTAGTGAGGTGGGCAGCACTGGGCCATCAGGTCTTTCACAACACACAGTTCAGCCAGGATGCTGTTCTGCAAGGACGCCAAATGCTGAGCAAGGTGCTGTCCTTGGGCATTGCTTGGCATGGCCTGGAAGTGGGAAGCGACTATGGTGTCCTGTATAACCTGGAAGAACTTCTGCCTCCAGCACTTGGGGCGCCCTGGCGGGAGGAAGCCAGAAGGAAGCTGAGTTCTCAGGAGCAAGGCAGCATCAATGCTCTCCTCACGCTCAATAATGCGTAGCGTGGACACAAAGAGGGAGGGGTCCTCAGACACCAGTCTTGTGCTGTGGGCCACAACGTGCCACAGGTGCTGGGCAAGGGCATCGTTCAGTTCCAGGAGGCCCCTGAAGTAGGACTCCACACTGGCCAGGTGCGAGGAGCTGAGCAGGTTGTGGTGATGCAGCTGGAACAGGATGCTGTCCCGTAAACTCTCTAGCTCCATGAATCCTGCATGGGCTTCCAGCAGGTGGTGATTCTGCAGGAGGTCAAAGGTCTCGGAAAGGAGTTTGTGTACTGTGTAGGAAAGAAGAAAGGGAGAAAGGGCTTCAAAAGCATAACCTGGGGAAGAAAGAGGAATGATATCCAGTGTGGTTAGAGCAGTGGTTAGAGCAGGGGTTTGGAACCCTCTGTCCAAGGGCTGGGCAGATGAGAGGGAAAGGGGTGCTGTACAAAGTATGCAGCTCCTCTACAAGATTATCTGCTGCAAGCCGATCAAGCCAGAGAGGGAAATGTCTCAGCTGAAAGGTAGGTGCGTTGCTTGCAGATATATAGAAGGTCATCCCATGTTTTTTGGAATTGCATGCATGCAGTTTTCCGGATGCAATGGCATTTAGATATTTGAGGTTATGAATAGCCTCTTTACCCAAGCCCTTGGCTGAGTGCTCTGTGCTGGTGTTTTGTTATTCTGATATGATTGTTTTGCAGTTTAATTTCATAATTTTAGTTGTTCATTGCACTCATTCTAATTGTGTGGTTTTTGCAACCCACTCTGGGACCATTTGGTGAAGAGTGAGGCACAGATGTAACAAGTGGATATAATAATAAATAACACATATTACAAACTGAAGCTCACCTGAGAAAAGTTGGGGCAATGTCTGGGCAACTGAACCCAGCTGGGCATGTTCCACTGCCACCTCCCGTAGTCTCTGCAGGCTCTGAAAAGAGTCGGTGCCGGATGCCAAGGACTGGCATATGTTTCTCAATGCTTGCCGCACATGTTGAACATCTGCAGTGGCTGAGTGCAACTGCTCCAGGCCTGTGCTCACACCCTCTAGGTAGGACTGCACAGTTGACTAGGGACAGAGAGAATCAAGTGGCAAAGAGGACACAGAGACTTCACAGGCAGGACAAAGGGCCGTGGCTCAGTGATAAAACATCTGCTTTCCATGCTGAAAGTCCTAAATTCAATCCCCAGCATCTCCAACTAAGGCTGGGATGGACCCCTGCTTGAAACCTGGAGAGCTGCTGCCAGTCAGTGTAGACAATACTGTGCTAGCTAGCTCTGACTCAGTATAATGCAGCTTCCAGTGTGAAAAGCTCATATCTGGATCTCCAAACCCTTGTTCTATTAAATTCATAATCAAGGCTGCTTAAACCAGTGAGATTTCAGGATCAAGCTGCATTAATACTTGAAAGAGTGGCTCTCCTAGTATATGCCAACCTGACAACCGAGGTTTTGGGCAATGCCCAACAGACAGTGACCCAGGATAGGGTCTTTTCTGTTGTGGTGTCCTGGATGTGGCATCACCTGCCTCTGTAGGTGTGCCAGGCATCATCAGTATATCAGCTGTCATAAAGACCCACCTCTCCACTTGGACCTTTGGGACCCCACTGGCATTGGTGTTGGGTGATTTTGGATTTAAATCCTTTTTTGCCAAGGTTATTCAAGGCTGCTAGTGTTAATCTAGTTTTATCCTGGGACAGAGCAACGGGAACTCACCCTATCGTGGGAATTCAAACCGCAGACCTTACGATCGGCAAGCCCAGGAGGCTCAGTGGTTTAGACCACAGCACCACCCACGTCCCTAGAACCTTGGTTATTGGGTGGTTTATAAATAAATCTAGGCATAGCCAAGGCCTGGCATCTGGGATTGCTACTGATGGGCACTTGCCAAGGCCCATAACTCAGCATCAAGCCCTGAAACTCCCTGATCCTGCTGGTTCTCTTTTTTACAAACAACAACAGTCCTTGCCCGCTTTGAGCACGCCGCAAGTGATAGGGGTAGGGAGAAGGTGCAGCTGCCTTTGGTCACATGACCCTTCTGGTGAACCCATCCAATGGCCATCCAAAAGCTGGAAGAGCCAACCCAGGTGTTCAGAGAACAGTCAGTGGAGGCTGGTACATTAGGGCGAGTGGGGCACTGCCCCACCAGCCTCAGTCTGCTGTCACCCATCCCCCAACTGCCTGCCTCCATACTTACAATGGGTTCAGGAGGTGGCATTGCCTGTCCCCTTCCTCTTCCTTACTCAGTGTGGCCACTGCAGAACTCAACAAGGAGGAGGATGGTGACAAAGCTAGAATCAGTTGTGTGTGCTTGTCATTGGCATTTGGCTGCACTTCATGTTGGGTTCCCTGACTTCCGCCCTCCCAATCCCAATGGGCACTGGCCAGCACTGGTTCCAGTGCTGCAACTACCAACCTTTATGCGGGATTGGATGGAACTGTTGCGTTGTATCTCTCGGATCCGATACTCCTCAAGGCCCTCTAATTTGTCAGGTCGGTAAAAGACCCCAGATGCCCATTTTAAGGCAGCTCCTCTGGCTAATTTTTCAGCTTTCTCCACTTCTGGCCATTCCTGGTCTAAAACAGAGAAGGAAGAGGGAGAAGAAGGAAATCCACACATACAGCTGCGAGTCTTTGCAAGACAGGAATTGCTCTTCCATCCCCAGCTGCTCCCCTGGAATGCAGGAAGGAAACAGGATGTGACCGCCTACCCACGAGCTGGATAGCCTAGGTGGAATATTGGTGGAGGGGAAGCTTCTGGGGCTTGGAAACACAATGACCTGGGAAAAGGAGGCACACTTGTATTGTCAGACGTCTGGCTTCAGAGACAAGAGACGAGGCGGGAGAGGGGGCGTTCGAAGGGCATATGGAGTCTGATAACTAATTCCCTCTACTGTATCTGAAGAAGTGTGCATGCACATGAAAGCTCATACCAATAACAAACTTAGTTGGTCTCTAAGGTGCTACTGGAAGGATTTTTTTTTATTTTGTTCCCTCTACTAAAGAATAGCTGTTCTATTTATAATAGGCATAAGGGCAATTATGAGGCTGCTAGCATGCTACCAGAGTTAGTTCAAGCTTTGGCTTTTAGCATTCAAAGCCCTGTACAACTTGGGGTCAGGTTACCTGAGGGATCGTCCAGCAACTTTGCAGTGGAGGCTGGAAGACAGGAAATTTCGCAAAGGCAAATGGATTATTGCACTATAAACAGCCACAGCTTCCCCCAAAGAATTCTGGGAACTGTAGTTTGCTAAGGGTGCTGAGAGTTGTTAGGAATGCTCTATTGCCTTCACAGTCCTGCAATTCCCAGAGTTCCAATAGCCAGGGCCACCCCTTGAACTGGTTACAGTGGTGCCTCGCAAGACGAAATTAATCCGTTCCGCGAGTCTCTTCGTCTTGCGGTTTTTTTGTCTTGCGAAGCACGGCTATTAGCGGCTTAGCGGCTATTAGCGGCTTAGCGGCTTAGCGGCTTTAAGAAAAAGGAAACAAACTCGCAAGAACTCGCAAGACGTTTCGTCTTGCGAAGCAAGCCCATAGGGAAATTCATCTTGCGGAAGACTCAAAAAATGGAAAACTCTTTTGTCTAGCAAGATTTTCGTCTTGCGAGGCATTCGTCTTGCGGGGCACCACTGTATTAGTAAGGAGTTGGCAAGTGGCTGCGGGGAGATTTAACTTGGTGGGGCAGTGCCCCATTTGCCCTGATGGACCAGCCTCCACTGCAATTGTGTTCCTCGGGGGGAGGGCATTGTTAAGAGTTCTGCATGCTGCAGATGTATGCATGAGGTCAACTAAAACCCAGGTCTTAAGTGTTGTTGTGGCTTCAGCTCTATGGAATCTGCTCCCTGGTGAAATTAGACAAGCACTTGGGCTTTTAGGCAGCTATTGAAAGCTTTCAAAGAGGACTTACCCTGAGGAGTGACTCAGCTGTTTTATACTCAGGAGTGACTCAGCCATTTTTTAATGGCATCTTGTAATTTAAGACTTTCAAGATTTGCTTTTTTAAATGTTACATACAGTGGTACCTCGGTTTATGAACTTAATCCATTCCAGAAGCCCGTTCTTAAACTGAAGCGCTTTCCATAATCAGGCCTCCTGCCGCTGGTGCCCTTCTACCATTTGGCTTCCGTTCGTAGACTGAGGTAAAGTTCGGAAACTGGGACACTACTTCCAGTTTTGTGGAGTTCGTAAACCAAATAGTTCATAAACAGGGCTGTTCGTAAACCAAGGTACCACATATTTCTGTTGTACACTGCTTTGGAAACTTTAGTTTGGAAGTGGTTTGAAACTCATTAAAGAAATAAATAAAGGGTGAATTCAAATGACTGGGCAAATCTGTACCATGTAGGATCAATCTTCCCCAATATGATGCCCTCCAGATGTTTTGAAATACACTGCCCATTAGTTGTGCTGGGTGGGTCCACTGGGAGTTGCAATCCAAAACATCTGGAAGGCTGATATAAAGAAACCCAACATTGCCACTCCTCTCCATCCAAAGCATGAAGGTGTTGTAACACCAGGCTTCATCTTGTGATAAGAGGCCTACAGACCAGAAGTAGCCCACTGTGTCCCCTCCAGATATTGTTGGACTACAACTCCTATTGTCCTTGACTACTGCCCAGCTGGCTTGTGGCTGATGGGAGTTAGAGTCCAACAGCATCTAGAGGCACCATGTTGTCTAATCCTGCGCTACTTTATTTATTTCTTTTATATCCCACCTTTTTCTCCAAGGAGCTCAAGCTGACATATGGTTCTTCCACGCCCCACATGTAATGCCAACAACAAGCCTGTGAAGTAGATTAGGCTGAGAGCCAGTGATTGGTCCAAGGTTACCCAGTAAACATCATGGCTGAGTGGGATTTGAACCCTGGCCCCCCAGAGCCTACTCTGACACTCTAACCACTGCTCCACATTGACTCTAGACTCTAGACTGACAGCACCTGACATAGCAGCATACACTAGAGTGGCCGTGTGTCCTGCTTTCAGAGGACACTTCTCTACTTGAAGGGCTGCCAGGGGCCAGTCCTTTATTTAAAAGTGTCCTCTATCAGAGCACCACACAGTAAGGTTTTAAAGCATCTATGGTATTGCTCCCAGTGAGGACAGACAGTGGACAGACAAACCAATCTCTGGCTCTGATTTTTCTAGCCCATTTATTTCCAAAAAGGACAGTTACTATGACATGTAAGTATCTCTCTGAGACCTCTCCCTTCCTGCATGACCCCAAGAATGCAATATTATCTAGGCAAAAGTATCTGTGACATCTCACAGCCCAGGTAGATAAAGTTTAAGTGCTTTTCTTAAAGTGGAAGGTGCCTGGAACCCATATACTGATGGTTAGGCTAAAATTGTCTGGCACCTTCCTCCTTAAGGAAAGCACTTTAAAATCATAACTTCATTCATTGTACTTGTGCCGAGATGTCAGGTACAGTATTTTCCCCCCTCATCAATTGCAAGAACAGGGAGTTCTTTCTCAAGTAGGGAGAGAGAGAGAAATCAACACAGCTAGGAGACTTGCTTTACCCAAAGCCCATCTAGGAAGGGCCCCATATGCCTCACCCCACCCCACTGAATGGTACGGTCACTGAGATCCTGTAGCTGCATTTCCCGTTACCTTTGGATCTGGTGGAATCGTCCTCCTCTGCAGACATGCCCATAGATTCAGCTGCAGTGCACAGGTCCAGAGCTTAGGGCTGGGCTGAGCAGAGGAAGCAGAGCCAGCAATAGCAGTTTCCGTCAGTGATACTACTTCCAGCTCCTCAGGGGCTTGTTCTGTAACACTGCAGATAGACTCAGGATGTAGGAACAGGAGGGCGGAGGAAACAGAAAATGCACTCGAAAGTTTAATTCTTAGGGAATGCAGATTAAGCAGCACAGAGCAACTCTGGTATATATGCATGCCTGGGTTGTGGTCACCAGGATTCCTGCATGTCCCTCTGCCTTCAGCGGTCGCTACTGGTCTTTGGGACTAGTAAGGAAGGCAGGGAGATCAGCAATAGGTGGAGACAGGCAGGCAGAATGACAAGCAGAATCAACCTCTAGCTTGTTGTAAGTAAGGAGGAAGACAGGTCCACAAGGGTCATTTAGTCCAACCCCCGCAATGCAGGAATCTTTTGCCCAATGTGGAACTCGAACCCACAACCCTAAGATTAAGACTTTCACGTTCTACCAACTGAGGACGTGTTCTTTCAGATATTTGGGGCCCAAGTCATACAGGGATTTAAACACTAATGCACCTTGAATTGGGGCCATAAATAAACTGACAACCAATATACTGAGTTCCTTTTTTGGAACCTAACACAGCATGTTAAAACACACACATATAATGTGGCTGAATAGACAAATAATATGAAGTGCTTCTTTTCTCAATGAAAGGGTTATCTAATCAATTGCTTGAGTTAGTCAGTGTGCCCCATCCTGGATAGTTATTGCTTATTTGTTTATTTTACATTATTTCCTTTCCTCTGAAAGGGCTCAAGGTGGCTTACAGGTAAAACAAGGACCACTAGAAACATAGAAAAATCAATCATTAAAATACAACGAAACACTGATAGAATTAAAAATATATAATATATAAAATATGTTTAAAACATACCAATAATTGCAATAAAAACAGCACAGCACCAGGTCACATGACTGAAATGAATGGAGATGGTATTCAGCTTAAGTCCTGGCCTGCAGCCCCAGCAAGCTTTTGCTCATCCAGCCAAGCCCTGTGTGAGCCAACTATGCCAGCGTATTCCTAGCTGAACTTGCATTCAGACTTACACTGGGGTAGCTGAGCTCAGAGTTAAATAACACTGAGGAAAACTTTTGCCTGACAGCTATTAGTATGGTTTCCACTGGGTGTGCATTAATGTGGTGGCACAGCTTATAGGGGGATCTCAAGCTGTAAGAAATCCAGTTCCCACCCCTGCACTGCAAGACCAGATATTTCTAAAGTGGGTTGCTACACCCACCATTCAGCTGTGATCTACATGCCAAAGAAGTATTTCCATGTAAGTGCTATCTGGTAAGATAACCCATTCATCCAACCAACCGGTTGCAACCATAGATTATCAAATCAGCAGGAAACAGTTTGTGTCTGAGGACAGTGATAACTGGGACACACAACAAGGGCTAAGAGAGGCGAGAAGGACATATATACAGATGTTGAGAAAGGTGAAAAGCAAGAGACTTTGGAATAAGGGGGTGTCATAAGTGCCTTATGGCAGTAAGGTCCTAGATTTGAAAGTTATTGCTGTACTTTATAAATCTTTTTGGGACATTGATGACTATTATGGAATAACACTTTGTGCATAATTCTTATTTCATTTGCTCTCACAACTACCCTGAGATAGATCATCACCGTTTACACTTTGCAAATGGGAAAGGAGTGACTTGTTTCAAGCTTAGGCCATCAGTGGGCAGAAATCCAAAACCAGGAGCTGAAGATCAGCTCTCTACCCATTATGGGGCAGCGGCTCCCGCATGAAAGGTGTGTGGATTTGTATGGATTAAATCGCTCAACACAAGTCCCTAAACTGGATGTTTCTAGTCATGTGATTTCTTTCAGTTCGGCAAAAGATTTGACTTAAATAAAAAAAAAAAGTTTCTGTCCTGTAGTAGCAAACTACTGTAGTTTGCTATTTACAGTACGGCAGCCTACAAGTGGAACCCGCAACAAAATGTTGCATCATTGAGTGTGCACTGATTTAACCATTTGGCAACAGAAGTCCACCACTCATAAAGAGGAGATCATACCAAGCCCACCGGACAGAGCTATATTCTGCTCTTATGGACAAGAAGACAACGGGGGGGGGGGGGGGACGTTCATTTTCCGAACACCCCACAGGCGCAACCCTTTGGAATCCTCAAGGCGCCACCAGTGTTTACACGCCGCTGGCCAGCAGGGGACGCTACAACGGCACGAGAGGGGAAGCCGGTGGTAGTGGTGGTGGGCGGAGCCGAGCAGAAGGAGGCGGGAGGGAGCGTGGCGGCGCTCCGCCCTCTCTCCCAAGATGGAGCCTTCCCTCCGCCTCCCTCCTCCCGTCGTGCCCTGCGGCGGCCGGAAGCGGCAGAGGGGTCAGCGCGCGGGGGCCGTACCGGAGACCCGGGATCTGCACCGGCCTCGGCGGCGGAGGGCCTGAGCCGGACGTGGATGGCGGAGTCCGCAGCGCAGCCACCGGGGGGCGCCCCGAGCCGGCACGAGAAGAGCCTGGGGCTGCTCACGACCAAGTTCGTGTCTCTGCTGCAGGAGGCCAAGGACGGCGTGCTCGACCTCAAGCTGGTGAGGAGGAGGAGGAGGAGGAGGAGAGAGCGGGGGAAACGGGGTGGCCGGGGGGGGGCGGTTCTGCTTCCACAACATGGCTGGGGGTGGGCTATGGCTGGCTCCCATCAGGGCAAGAAGCACTCCGGCTGGGCAGACTTAGGGCTTCTTGGATCTACTTTGTTCCCCCTCCTCCCCCAAAAATCCCCCCCTTCACCAGCCAGAGGGAGCTGAACACACACACACACACACACGCGTGTCACTCAGCTAGTAAGAACAAGGTGCCAGGATCTGGGATGGGTTCCCTTGTACCATAACGGTATTGATATCACAACCCTTTCACGCTTAGATTAGCTTTCTTCATTTCAACAACAGCCCCATTAGTGATTTTTTTTGGGGGGTGGGTTGTGTTGCTGCTATGAAAACAGTTAAGAAACCCTTGCCGGTAGATCCCAATTGCTTTCTGCCCACCCGATGGTATAGACAAGGGAAAGGAGGCAGCGTGGAGTGGCGGTGGCAGGATTTGCCTCTTGGGGCCGGATCGGGCTTACGGAAAGTAAGGATCGGGCCCTATTAGGTATCTGTTCCGACCACCTCCTTTTGTCTGGAGCTTTGGTCTGTTGCTGTGTGTCCACATTTGGGATCTCTTGACTCCGTTCCATCTTCCCATGCAGGGTTGGATGTGTGTGTGTGTGTGTGTGTGTGTGTGTGTGTTAGGAAAAATCCCAGTTAATAGATCCTGCCTTGAATTGGGCTTTTCTCTCTCTCTGTTCTCAGACCAAATGAGCAAACTTTGGGGGCCAACTGCTTCCCCACCTGTTTGCTAGCTCTTCCTCTGACCTCCCTCACCTCATATCAAGGAAGCATGACCGTTAAGGTGCAGCATCCGCCAAAAGGGGAGATAATGCTGAGTTGCATGTTGGGTATGGACTGCAGGAGTGCATGAAGGGATCTCTGCGGGTGGGGATGTTACACTGAGCTGGTTGCATATGTATAACTTAGTCACAGGTGTGATCAGTCTGTTGCCAGTGCAGAACTCCAGCAGTTGCAGGAGCTTCTGCTTTACCGCAACAGTGGCTTCTGTGTGAAAGGGACTGCAGGTGTTCGCAACCTTGCCTGAAGTGCTTAACCTTAACTGAAATCTGCTTTTGGTTCCACTGCAATGCAGGCAGATGGGGAAACAGGCAGACGCCTCTGCAGTTCAAAACGGTTTAGGACCAAACATGGGAAATCTAGAGTAGAAAAAGTGGGCAGGAAGAAGCTTTTAATGCCATGAACCACAAACTGTTTAAACAACAACAAAAAAGCATTAGTATAGTGTTACTGAATCCAGGTGTGGCTTCTTATGTGAACTAGGCCAGTAAGCTGCATGGCCATCTAAGGGCCTTTGGTTTGGAAGGGAACAGCAGTGGGAAGGAGCCCTGCTGGAGCCCTGTCTAAGGTGATTGATGATGGCTTTGACAGCATAGGTCTGTGTATCTTTGCACCAAAGCAAACCCCCCTTTGTTCAGGTGGTGCTTACTCCTACGGAAGTGCAAGGAGGGTTGCAGCTTGAGACTTTTCATCAAGGCAGCTCTTGTATTTTGCTAACTCCAGAGGAGCAGACATAAGAAGCTGCCTTGTTCCCCCTAGCTCAATATTATCTAAACTTTAAATTACTGGCAAAAGCTTGCCAGGGTTTAAGATCGGAGGGTTGCATACAGTTTAGCGCCACTCAGAGTAGATCCATTGAAATTAATGGGCATTATTAATATAGGTCCATTAATTTCAGTGGGTCTACTCTGAGTAGAACTTGTGTGCAATCCAGGGTCCTTCCTATCCCTACTTAGAGATGCTAAGGATTGAACCTGACTTCTTTTTCATGCAGGGTCTGTTAGCAGCAGCATATGTCCATGGGCACTTTAAAGACTTAATTACCTTGTTAGAAGCTTTTCCGAGTCAGAGTCTATTAGAAGTATGAAATAGGTAAATGGGTGGATATGCATACCCTGAGTAAGGAGAAAACAATGTTTCGATGAATTTGAGAAATGGAAGAGATTGTGGTAAGTGTCATAATATGCACAACACAAGTGAAAACAGGCTCTGGTCAACAAAGATCAGGTACAAGAAGCATCCTTGTGACCCACTCTTAGCTAGAAGTTACTTGTGATGAATAGGCATAGCTAAATTGATAGTCTCGGTAAACACTGAAAGGGACAGTGGCTTTCTCTTCCCAAGTGGTTTATTGAGGCCAAGTTCCCTAGTGTCAAGTCTGGCAGTGAAATCTAATTTGGCAACTTCATGCCAGAGTCATCCGTTCCAACTTCTTGAAGGCTTTAAGGTCTGCTGCAGAATGTATGGGAAGATTTAGCTGGACCTGTAATCCAGATGGTTAAGCAAGATGGATACCCTGGGGAAGTTCATAAGAAAGGTGTAATGATTATATCTGTCTCTGGCTTATTCCTGGCATGCACCAATCAATGGCTATTAGTCATGATGGATGTGTACTACCTCCAGTATTGAAGAATTGTATCTCTATGAATACCATTTGCTGGGGAACAGAGTGTTATTGCACTCATGGCCTCCTTGCAGGCTTCCCATGACCATCTGGCTGGCTGCTGTGAGAACAGGATGGTGGGCTTTTGGTCTTACCCAGCAGGGTTGTTCTTATGTAGTAGTCATACTGTTCTTGTGAATGACAAAGTTGCACTTATATATTTAACAAACATGAACTGTGCTGCATGTTGCTGACCATAGCTCAGTGGTAGAGCACATGTTTTGTGTGCAGAAGGTTCAGAGTTCAATTGCTGGCATTTGAAGATTAAAATAAAATCTAACGACAGGTAATGTGAGCTGCTGCCAATGAGAGCAGACAATACCACGTTACGTGGACACATAGCGTAAGCTGCTCTTACACAACTCCCTTTGATCCATTTGTGCTCCCAGCATTGTGTGACTGAAAGACATCTGAATATTTTTATATCTGGGTGAAGTTACGAGTCCTCTTAATTTCTCTAGAACCTGCTTTCTAATAGTAAGCGCTCTAATCTACCTACCTTTTCACCTTTACCTTGAAAAAAGGGCATCTTGGTATCTACAAAATCTACAAAATCTTTGTTAACACATCAGGCATTTGTTAACACATTGCATTTTATGCAACAATGATATGGGGGATTTTGATTTTTTCCCTCTATTGCATCTTACTGCTGTGGATATGCTTCCAGGCATTACCTGTTTATGCATGCTATACATTTGGTGAAGCTGAGGATCCAGAAAAGTTACAGAATACAACCCAGCTGCCCTGCAGCGATACTGCCTAAACAGGATATAGAGAGTTTGGTTCTTACACTGGGTACTGATAATCCACATCACTGTTCATTGATGTTCTGAACAGTGGATATATAATAGTAATAGTAATAAATAGGAAATCATCTTTTATATGTTATAGATTTTGGGATTGCAATATTATCATCATGATGATTATGATATTACATTATCCTGTTCTTCCTGCAGGGAGCCCAAGACAATTTACATATTTCCCTCTCCTGTCTCCCATTCACAATAACTTGGCTAGATAGGATTAGGCTGAGAGAGTGACTGCTCCAAGCAAGGCTTTATGGCTGAGTGCAGATTTGGATTCCTCACCCAGTTCTCTAGCCACTACACCATGTTGTCTCTGTGTGTGGCAGTGTAGCAGAGAAAGCAATGCCACACACTTAACGCTTTTCTGCCATGAAAGGTGGGATTTGTGCCCTCATCTGCCATGACATCAGGAAGTCTTTGGGGCCACTTGGAAGGAACCCCAGGATGGCAGATGGGTTGCATCTTCTCATGCTGAACTTCTGCTTTGTTTATAAACTAACCCCCTGAAATGGAACATGTGGGAGGCAAAGAGATTTAATTGATGGTTCCTCTCCCAAACCCAAGACAGAAAAAACTGAGTCCAGGCATGTTCCTATGTATAACTGATAAAGTGGCTGGAGGTGTTTTTTTGTTTTGTCAGCTTCCTGCTGTTCTCTGAGTGGCTCAGGCCTTCGTGAGCAGGGCATGATAATGTTTTGGGTTTCCTACACAGGCAGCAGATACCTTGGCAGTGCGGCAGAAGCGGCGCATTTATGACATCACAAATGTCCTTGAGGGCATAGGGCTGATTGAGAAGAAGTCCAAGAACAGCATACAGTGGAAGTAAGTGCCCGTGAATTGGAGCAAGAATTGGTGATCCTGAAACTAGGCTCTGTTCTCAGTGATGCATGGGGGGCAGTTGCATTTGAGGAGTGTGGCACAGTCACAGCTTGCATTTGAGTAGTTGACTGTGTCCTGAGTGCAGCTTTTAAGGCAGTTTTGAATAAGCTTCACCAATGGTCATGCTGTACTCCTGTTTGCTGAGTGGTTACAAATAGTAGGGAAATAGCTTATGGAACTGAGTTGTAATGGGAGTTGCAGGCACCCACAGTATTGGGATTTAGGTGCCTGCTTAAATTCATCTGTTTGCATTCACTTTTCCTGAGCAGTGATCTAGTTATGTTTGATGTATTAAGCAGATGTACTAATTTGGAATGTGTTTTATAATTTTTGTGTGAATATAAGTTTATTTTATGCTGTTTGCCGCCATGATATTTTCCCCTTGATGTTGGCAGTATAGCATTTATAGGTGAATTATAGGTGTATTTTCCCCTTGATGTTGGCAGTATAGCATTTATAGGTTCAAACTTATAAAAAATGTACCTCACCTAAAACCTAATGACATGATATACTATTTGGGAGTAAAAACATGACTGAAGTTTGGAGGAACTCTCTTCCAAGGGAACTGTGTTGGTGGAAGGAGATCTTTGAATATTTTATTTTTATTATTTATTGCATTTATAGCCCACCTTTTTCTCCAAGGAGCTTAAGATGGTGCACAAGGTTTCTCCCCATTCTTCATTTAATCCACACAACAACCCTGTGAGGTTGGTTAGGCTGAGAGGCAGTGACTGGCCCCAGGTCACACAGTGAGATTCATGGCCCAGTGGCGATTTGAACCCTGGTCTCCCAGATCCTAGTCCTGCACACTAACCACCGCACCATAATGGATAGAGACATAATATCTAAAGGGCTTTCAATTCCTCTCTGGAAACAAAAGGAGGAATAGTTTGTGCTCAGCGCAACTGAACAATCCTGTGGGTTTGGGGAGGTATTTTGCGGTTGCGATGGCAATGTCTCTGATAGCTCATGCCTTCTAGGGAAGCTCTGCAAGAGGTGGCCTCTCTCATTTTTCTTGCTTCCAATTCTCCTTCCCTCCAGAGGAGTAGGTCCTGGCTGCAACACTCGTGAAATTGCCCACAAGCTGATAGAGCTGAAGGCAGAGATTGAGGACCTGGAGCAGCGGGAGCGGGAGCTGGAGCAGCAAAAGATGTGGGTGCAGCAAAGCATCAAAAATGTGACGGACGATGTACAAAACAGCCGATATCCTTCTGAGTGCACCGTAGTCCTTTTTCCTCCTTCCCCTTCCCCCTTTCACTTCAAGTTTCCAATGCTCGTTCCAAGATGATCCTTCTAGGATGGCGGAAGGAAAACATTACTTTCCAGGGCTTGAAGGCAGTGACACCAATCCTGTAGTGCTGGCACAACTCTTTAATTTCAAATCACTTGCCACCCTGTCCAGGATACAGAAATTTCAGTCTTCTTGCTGGGTCAGGTCCACAGCATTGGCCAGCGAGATATCTATGGTGAGATAGTGACTGTGTGTCCGTGTGTGTGTGTGTGTGTGTGTGTGTGTGCGCGCGCATCTATCTGTCCCTGGATGAAATGCTAAGAATACCAAAACAGCACCAACAACTCAACTGCCTTATTCCAGATCTCTTTTTGAGAAAATGGAAAGAATTTCTCTCTCCACATCATTCATCCCCACTCCCCTGCCATCATCGCGTTGATGTCACTTTTCTTTAATCTATCATATTCCTTTCTTGGGAGTGGGTTTTTTCTTGTTTTTTCTTTTTGCAGAAATACAGCTGGAAAAGCAACAGAACCTTTTGGCTCCTTGAAACTTATTGTGTCATAAGCTTTCATGAAGTCCACTTAATGAAGTAGGCTATGGTCCACAAAGGCTCATGTGCCACAGTTCATTTGTTAAGTCTTTAAGCTGCCACAAGACTCTACTAAGGCTCCACCTGCACTACACATTTAAAGCAGTTTCATACCCCTTCTAACAGTCATGAGTTTTCCAAAAGAATCTTGGAACTGTAATTTGTAAAGGGTGCTGAGAATTATTAAGAGACCCCTTTCCTCCCTACAGAGCTATAATTTCCAGAGTGGTTTAGCAGTCAGTCCCTCTTCTCTGGGACCTCTGGAAACTGTAGCTGTGTGAGGGGAATAGGGGTTTCCTTGCAGTTCTAAGCACCCTTAGCAAACTACAGTTCCCAGGATTCTTTGCGGGGAAAGCCGTAACTATTCACTGTTGTGTGAAACTACTTTATAATACAGGTGGGTGGGTGGAGCTTAAAAAGTGTTAAGTAAACATATCAGATCCAAAATGTCCTCCTCTACTGCTGCTTTTGTAGAGATGCACCCAGTAGGCGGGGCACATAGGACACATTCTGACCAGTGTGTTCTGCAGCACCGACTGATAACTAGATCTGTTGTTCACTTGTTTCTTCCAATTCCCCTAAACATCTTGAAGTTTCTCTTTGTCCAATGATCTCATTGTTTCTGGATGCATCTGGTTTTTTCCCTTAACTTCAGGAACGTTAGCCTATGTGACTGATGAGGACCTCTGCAAATGCTTTCCAGGTGAGGATGTGGTGGTGTATCATAGCTAGATTCCCCTCCTGTATGCCGTACCTTTTCCTTGGCATGGTACTCTCCAGGTGTTATTAGGCTACAACTCCAGTCATCTCTGATCATTGACTATGCCAGTGGGTGGGGGAGCTCAGCAACGTTGGGGACCCCACTCCTTGCTCTAGGAACAAATGAACTGAGTTGGGCAAGAGTTCCAGAGTTTAGAGCCTGTTTTTCTTAGAAATCAGGCAAACCTTCACAGCTCTCAGAACGCGCAGTAGCCCTTGTCTTACTACCCAGGCTGGATTCCCTTCATGTATACTCTTGTTTTGCCATCACCTTGCTTTAGTCACTTAGGTCTACTAGCATTAGCCAGATAAATATTGTGAATGAAATGGCCTTTTGCTCTGAAAAAATACAAGCAGCCTTAAAAAAAACAAACCACAAAAATATTCGCACTGCCCTTCTGTATCTGAGAACTGTACACAAGTCTGGGAGATGTCCTTTTTTCCTGCCAATGTTACTGGCCGCGTTAAAAGTTTGCAGACCAGGTAAAGCATGGATGGGGAAGTGTTGTCCCTGCTGATGTGGCTGAACTATGACTTCCATCAACCCTGGCCATTGGCCAACCTTGTGAGGCTGATGGGAGTTGGCATCTAGCAACATCTGGAGGGCCACAGGTCTCCCATCTCTTCAGGAAAGAGATGAAAAAGAAGGAAGGAGAAAAAAAGAGTATGTGTCTTGGCTTGCAACGGCCTGCTGCTCCATTCTTCACCTAGATCAGATTAGTAAATGCTGCGTTTGCTCTCTTGTTCCAGGTGACACACTGCTAGCCATCCGAGCCCCATCGGGTACTCAGTTAGAGGTTCCTGTCCCGGAGGTAGGTGGCACGTGGGTAACAAAGGAATGGTCCCTGGTTGCAAAGAGGCAACGGTGGAAGCCTTATATGAGGGATCGCTAGCCTTTGGCCCTCCTGGTGTTGTTGGGCTCCTGTTGGTGCCACCGTAGCTCATGTTTTGCCTGCAGGAGCTCCCAGGTTTAATCCCGAGCATTTCCAGTTAAAATGTTGGGCAGGGGAAAACCTGTGGCTGAAACCTCAAGGAGCTGGTGGCCCTTGGAACAGTCAGCAGCATCTCGCATTGCAGGTTGATGCTGGCTGCAAGTTGTGAAGGCACTTTCATTTCGCATTTTCTTGCACAACAACATTCATCTGGCACAAAACATTTTACCAGTGGAACAAGTATCCCGCTAAGATTGTTGAGATTCCTGCGCTGCAGGGGGTTGAACTAGATGACCCCCGGAGTCCCTTCCACCTACAGTTCTATGAGTCTAAGTAACTTAATGCTATATTGGATGCAGTCCTTTACACACATAGATGCATCACTGCGCTGGCTTGGGTGCCTTACCTTGCAGCAATCTCTCTCCCTTTCTTTAGGGCTTAAATGGTCAGAAGAAATACCAGATCCACCTGAAAAGCACAAGCGGTCCAATTGATGTCCTGCTCGTAAATAAAGACGCCTGGAGCTCTCCTCCAGTGGTACTACCTGTGCCTCCCCCGGAAGACCTCATTCAGTGTCAGCCAGTCACACTCTCTAAGGCACAGAGACCACCTGTTGCCCACTTCCAAGAAGCATCTCTTCCCAGTGGTACACACCCTTCTGCGCCCGTTCCCAACAGCACACAGGACCAGGTCTCTGCTGTGCAGAAAGCAGCCAGCGCCACAGGTGAGTCCCAGAGGAGCTTTCCCTTCTCAGTAACCTCTCTCGAATATGACACTGAAGTCGAGTCACTTGGCCTTGCTGTCAGCCTCTTCCAGGTGAAAGGCATGGGCAGGCATGGCCAGAGGCCTGCCTTCTTCAGCAGTCACCTGAGAACTTTGGAACCTGGCCTAGGCAAGGTTAGGAAGCCTCAACGTCACTGTCCTGTTTCAAAACGGCACCCAAACTGGACTGGGGATCCTGTAGCCCTCCAGATATTGTCAGGCTGCAGCTCTCATCTTCCCTAACCGTGGGCCACACTGGTTGGGGCTGATGGGAGCTGGAGTTCAGCAACATTTGGAGGGCCACAGGTTTCCCACACATGCAGTAAAACCTTCCTATTTCATCAAACCTTAAGGGAGAATTTAAATTTTCTGAGTCTTTTCCGTCGTATGTGTAGCCTCCTTGTGATTTTATAATTGTTTGGCTTTTTGTTTATTTGCTTTAGTGTAAATTAGTTTGAACTCTGGAAAGCAGTACAGCCAGTCAGCTGCAAAGTGCTTGGGTCTCAAACTGGAATAATACATTTACAGTGGACTGTACCCGCTTTTCCCATCTTGTTTAAAAATTATAATTGTATATAAATTATCTTACATAATTTTCAGTACATACAATTATTGTAAGCCAATAACACATACATTCCTTTTTTCTAGTTCTGAAACAGCACATTCTTTCATATATGTAGTTACTGTATTCCTTATCCCAAATTAAGATGTGGAAAGCACATAACATCCATTCATTGTAATCATCACTAGTCTTAATGTATTTATTTCTTTAAACACATTATTAAATAGGCTGCCATCAAAGTGGTGTACACTGAGAATGAAACACAGAAACACAAGCTCAAAGAACAGTAAAATCAATTCAGCAAACTCAAACAATAAAACTATCCATACAGACTCTTAAAAACAACAGTACTATTTTATCAAATATAAAATTGATCTTCCATAAACGACCGGCTTACACCTTGGGGTAAGATTTCCTTTAAAAAGCCCGTATTCAGTAGGCTCTTGTTAGGTGCTTGTTAGGTGCTTGTTAGGTAATTGATTCTGGAGAACCGGAGCTACAACACTTCTTATACATTCAGAAACCCAATCAAGTATTGGCAGCTGTTTTCTCTACTATTCCATTGTTGGGAGAGAGAGAAAATCAGTCCTTCCCTCCACCACACTCCCAAGTTTCCCTTCTACATATCCTTCCTTCCTTAAACTTGATCCTCCATGTATCAGGGATGGGGAACCTGTGGCCCTCCAAAAGAGAAGTTGTTGGACTCGGCCACAGCCAGCCTGCCCGATAGTACTATAAAAACATCTGAAAGGCAACAGGTTCCCCATATATGGCTTACACACCAGTTTAACAATCTGCCTGCTGCAGGTGCATCAGAAAAGGGCAAGATTTTTCTGTGGCAGGTCTGCCTGAGACAAATATTTGCTTTGCCTTGTGCATTTGTTTGTTTGTATGTGTGTTCTCTCTCTCTTTTCTCTTGAGGATTAAATTGCGGTCTACCACACCTCACTCCTGGAATGTGTGTTGAATTGTTAAGGCAGTGGCTTGGTTTTTTTGTCTAAAATTCTAACCTCAAACCTACCTTTGATAACTGTTTACAGGTTGACTCTTTGGGAAAGCTGTATCTTCCCAGTTGTTAGGTTTTAATAAAAAGTATAGCTGGGTTTTTTTTGTTTTTTAAAGTTGCGTAATAGGTTGTTATTGTGGTAAGAATTTACTTCTACACCACCTTGCTCTCAGCCAGGCGAGGGTAAATAAAACACGGAACCAAGGAAATAATTCGAGGCTAGCGCCCAGTTAGGAACCCAGCATTTATTGTAACAATAAGACAGAGCTCAATTTAAGTGGTTGTTCTAGCTGAACCACTAGTTAAGAAGTCACCTGCCACTAAGAGAATTAGAACAAGGGTTTTATACACACAGGACACAAAAGAGTCATAAAACATCTAAACATTCTTAAAACATAAACATCCTTCTACATACATCAGGAAAAGTTACAGGTCATGAGAAGCAAAACACACATGGCTCAATCTTGATCCCCACAATCAGCTTGGGGTGCCCCAAGAGTGCCCAGGCCATATGGTCTCAAATGTAGCATTTCTATCACTGTTCCCCCGACAAGCAGCCCTTCATCAGGTTGTTGACATTCCTTCCTTTATCTCACTTTCCTTGGGGAAGCTTCAAGGATAGCTGATTTTACACTCTGGTCCTAACTCATGATAGATTTAGAATAACATCCTGGAGGGCCATTTGTGCCACTTTCAGGGTCAGATAGAAAAGGAATGCAGCATGGGAGTCATAAAATGCAAACACAGAGAATCAAGTCTAATACATGCTAGCCAAAGCTTCAATACAATTAATATTGGAATGTTTTAAAAATCTACACCCTGGGTTTCTAATTCTTATATCATTGTAATACTGTTCATGTTGGCTTAGTTGCATCTGGCCTGTGGCGCATCTGTCTGGAGAATGGCGGATGGCATAACAGGTTTTGGATATATGAAAATTCATCCCCTTCATGTGGGAAAAGGCATGTTGAGGAGAAAAGTTCTAATCAATGACCTATGAAGGCTAGTAACTTTTCTGTGGCATATTTATAAGGCTTAGGGGATGCCTGTGGGCATTTAATGCAACACTGTACTGCCCTGGAGTTTGCTGGATGAGTGTCATGTCCTATTCAGTGTGCAATCCATGAAATGTTGCAAAATTGTCACCATCTATGTCTTACACCTTTGCAGATAGTGGCGTCTCAACGGCAGAATCGAGAAGCAGCGGGGAGCTGGACCCACTTGCCCCCTCGACAGCCCCAGCCAGCCCACCTGCTGGGCTGGACACGCAGCCCCTCCAATCCTCCGCCTTGCTGGATAGCAGCTCCATCCTGCCCAGTCCCTCCACCTCCTTTGAGCCAATCAAGCCAGACCCCACAGAAAGTGAGAATTCTTTGGTTGCTGCCGGTTGGGTTGGGGGTTCCTGTGTTCCCAAATGGGCATGGCGCCAAGTCCCTCTTTTTCCAGAAACTGGAGCAGCTTTGTAATGGTTGCTATGGTTAAAAGTCTGCCGTGGAGCAATGTTTGTGTGCCTGTGGTTTGTTTTGGGTTTTTTTTGAATAGCAAAGCATCTGCTTTGCCATGTGCAACAAGGGTGGAGAACTGGATGTGGTCAGTAGATTGGCCTCACCTCCCCCTGTCACAGGCCACTTTTGCAAGGTGGGTGGAGCTCCCCACCTTTCAATCAGCTGATGCCACAAGTCTCTCTTTGGGGGCATGCAGTGCATATTAAAGAAAACCCCAACGTAATGCTGTATTGGAGAGGGCAATGAAATGGGATTTCTAAAATACCGGTAGGCAGGGTTGTGGGCAGGATATTTATGTTGGTTTTTGTACTTTTTTCATGTTCGTGGCTTCCTACAAGGAATGCTAGGATCTTTAGCTATGTGGGAATGAGTGTCTCCAGACATTACTAGCTACTCTCAGAACTACAGTTCCCATGATTCTTTGAGGCCTGGTTCACAGACAAGGCTCAACTGGAGTAGTTGCAAAAGGCAAATGGGAAGCATCAGCTTTCTGGCTGAAGCTAACTTGCAGTTGCTGCATCCAGCAAGGGCAAACTGGCTGGTTTAAAATATTGTTTATTTAAATGAGCAAAGCTAAAGCCCTAGCTTCTGATCCTGGCTTGTACTGTACAAATAAAACCCTAGCTTAAAATAACCATTGTTCCTGGGTTGGAAGTAGCAACATACTCTGGATAAGTAAGATCTGGTGCTCATCCTGGTGTGTGTTGCAGGAGATCATGAGCCTGAGGCTTGAGCAGATGGATTTGTATAGGGAGCCCTTTAGCATTGCTTCCAAACTGAGCCCTCCTTAAGCCCACAGTGTAGATGTACCATCAAGCTTCACAACCATCTATAGCGGAACTGTCTAGCAACAGTGGACTTCCACCAAATATTATGGCAGGCGTTGGTGGTGTGTGTGTTGGGGGGGAGGAGACTCGTGATTGTGAACAGAGGCTACAAAACAGGGGGGAGCACCCTGTATAGGTTACTGCACTTTGGACATTATTGGAGCAGCATGGAAACCAAAGCCGTCTCTTCTGTTTTTCAGTACCGGAACTTCCCAAAGAGCTTTCGGAGATGTTTGATCCAACAAGAGGTGCGTTGCTTCAGCAAAACCATATTTGTTTCACTTTTCTGGGGCAACGTGAGGGAGGGACCTTTGAACCTGCTTGATCTCTCATTTTCTCCCATGTTTTCAGAGGCCCTTACTATACTCAGTTTGGAGAAAGCAAATATCATGGCAGAGTGGCCCTCTGCTGGATACATGTGAGATAACAGCCAGCTCAGGGATATTCATGCTGTGGTAGTGACACTGCACTTGCTGTGAAACTAGGATGCCTGTGGCTATCGCTTTATCTTGTACAGTGGTACCTTGGGTTACATATGCTTCAGGTTGCATACGCTTCAGGTTACAGACTCCGCTAACCCAGAAATAGTACCACCCTTTGCTTCAAGATGAGAGCAGAAGTCATGCTCCAGCAGCATGGCAGCAGTGGGAGGCCCCATTAGCTAAAGTGGTGCTTCAGGTTAAGAACAGTTTCTGGTTAAGAACGGACCTCCGGAACGAATTAAGTACTTAACCCGAGGTACCACTGTACAGTATTACTTGCTGCATTGCAAGCCGGCATCTGTTAATAAGCAGTTCCTTTAGGCCTCATTGATCTGTTTGGGTCATCTGGAATGTAACACTTCTCCCTGAGCGTGCCAACACTTACCCCAAGAATAATGGGAATTGTAGATCTGTAGGGGTAAACTACAGTTCCCAGGATTCTTTGGGGGTAAGTCATGTGTTGACTGTATTATAAATACACAGTTGGGGTGTGCAACTGACTGCTTTTGTTTACAGTTAACACCCAGGTAGTTAACATCCATCAAAACCAAAGCTGGCTTCTTTATCAAGGGAGTGTATTCTAAACTGACATACCTGAGCCTTTGTTTGAAATGATACAGAATATTCTCCTGTAGAATCCCAAAGCAGAGTGTGTGGTTGTAATGCAACTCTTTCTTCACACAGAATGCATGAATTCTGAGCTGCTTGAAGAACTAATGTCATCTGATGGTAAGGATTAAGCCTTTTGCTATTTCCCAGTTTTGGGGTGGAGATGGGTTTGGGTAAGGCTAGAAAGTTAGGGTATAGGAAATTGAGTTGGTCCAGTTGAACTGTAAGCAAGTGGTAAAGCTCACCTGAACTGTAATCAACTGAGTAGGCTAATGCACACTGGTCTTAAACTAACACAGGTGTGGGTCTGTTTACAAGCAGGACATCATTTGGACCCCTTGTACTCCTGATGTTGCTGAATTACAACTCCCATCATCACTGGCCATCGGCCATGCTTACTGGGGCCGATGGGAGTTGTAGTACAACAACATCTAGAGGGCCAAAGGTTCTCCATTTCTGGACTAACTGGTTAGGATCCACAAGCTAAGTGGTTAGGATCCACAAGAAGTGACCTAAAGTTGCACTTCTTATTTTTGTTTTAACTGTCCCTTCCACCCACCACAAAACATAAAGCATATGTTTATCTTTGCTGCCCCCTTTTTGAAGAACAACAACAACATACATGTTGGTTCTGTAGTAGTTTAATTGCCATGGTTGTTCCTCCATCCCCCAAAATCCGGGGGTTTGTAGATGGGTGAAGATACTAAGCACTTCGTGTTGTGGCTCCTTAACCCCACCAGTTCCTCTTCTTTCCCCACCCTGCAGCTACGTTTCCTCAGAGAGAAGGAGTAAATGTGGCATTGGTATATCTGCAGTTTATTTGTGTGCCCTAAAAGAGGCATAGAAGAGCAAAGGAGCTTATAGGTTCTAAAGTTAAGGCAGGGTCCCATGTTTGAAGGTTGGGTTTAATGGTGAGTCCTGAGGGTCAAGCTACAAGTTGACATGGGCAATCTGTTCCTTGGGTCTTCTAAGGTCTTCTACTTTTGGTAAAGCATGCAGGGCAGGGAGGCATGTGGGTCGGGTGTTGCAGCATGTGGGTGGGGCCTTACCCTGGTTTTTGTTGCCAAAGGGCCAGCATACAGGCACAGTGAGCCAGACACAGCCTGACTGTACTCCTTTCCCTTCAACAGTATTTGCTCCTTTGCTCCGTCTCTCCCCGCCTCCTGGTGACCACGACTACATCTACAACCTGGATGAGAGCGAAGGGGTGTGCGACCTTTTCGATGTGCCTATCCTCAACCTCTGACTCCTGGCATATGGATGGACTTTAGGATACATGTTTTTTTAAAAAACAAACAAACCAGTCTTTGGAAAAACCTGGGGTTTTTTTGGATTCCTTTTCTGCTATTGTGCTTGAGTGACACACTTGGCTGCTCTGGTCTTGACTGAAGATCAACAGGGATGGACTTGTGGACCAAGCAGCAGCAGCAGGAGCAACAGCTCCCTTTCCTGGCTTCTTTTCTTCCTTTCCTATGTTGCACAAGGCAGTCCCCTGGTTTCCCTCTTGCTCCATTTTTGGCTGTCCTTTCACTAGATCCGAGGCCTCCTTCCCAGCGGCCTGCGGTCAATTCTTCCTGAACAGCAGAAGAGCTTCCTTGGGTCTGCAAGCCTGGCTTGGCTCCCCTACACTCCTGGTGGCACTTTCTGGAGAGAATAGGAGGGCTGAACAACAGGGGCAGGGAAGGCTCATGCTGTCTTGTCTTTATAGCTTGTCTCTATGTATTTCAGAGGTGCTCATTTCCTTTTCTCTCTCTGGCAACTGCACACTTTGACACAAGGAACGAGGGGGAGAGGGGGAAGCGATGCCTCGTCAACCCTGCCTTGGATCCATTTTATGTATGGAAGGTGCTCAGAAGCTTCTTCCCGAGTTGTAGCCGCTTCTGTTTCACTTTGAGAGCACGACGATCACCCAGGTGTCTTGCAAGCCTAAACATGTCCAGTTCTTCTCCTTTAGCCGTGTAGAGGTGCCAGTTTTGCACAGTCACTTTTCCTCCAAAGAGTCAGGATGGAGAAACAAATTGCCCCCTCCCCAACAGCCAAGTTGTTTAGGGATGGGGAAGCTTGGCTGGGATTGCCTGCAATGCAAGGCCCTGAGCTCGACAGTGAGAGCCCAAGATGGAGGGGCTTGGATTGAGGGAAGGGGCCAAGTCTGGGTGATTTATTTCAATATCCTCGGTCAATGCTGAAGGTGGGCTTTTTTGAGTGCATTCGAGCTACTGCATCTTTCCCTTTCCAAATTGCTGGTTTCATTTGGATGCCTGTCCGTGCAGCTTACTTTCTCTCCCAGAGTCTGTATGCGACACGTCTTCCCCACCTTCCAACACTGAGTATTGCTCACCTCCCCACCTGCACCTGTGAGGATCTGGGTTGGTGAACCTCCTCCTATGACTCCTTTGCACTTCTCGACCTCTTTCCCGTAACCGCAGTGCTGCTCTCCAGTCTGCAGTTGTGCTTTTACCAGATGCCAGCCCCTAACTCACGCTCCCTGGCCCGTAACCTTTGCACAGTTCTTGGCCGCAGGCACTGAATATGAAGGTGGTGCTGCCTTGCACCCTAACCTTAAAAACTGCTGCTTGGGTGAAGAGTTTGATTTCAGTGGGATTTAGACCTGCAGCCCTAAGGACACTCACCACTGAGCCGCCCATATTAAATCAGGGAATGTTTGTGTTGTCATGTGGTAGCTTTTGGCCAGCAAGAGCTAGTTTAAGCTGGCTGCCCTGTCTTGCTTCCTAAGAGTGGCCACAAGGGTGTAAGTGGTGCAGCCGATACATCCCTCTGTATGGAATATACAGCCCTACAATTCCTCGGCACCCTTTCCAGAGTGGGAACTTGTTAATACTCTGCTTCCAGATGCTTAGTGTTTAGAGAAGCCTCTGGTGTCCTGTTTAGCAGGGATGGGCAACGTGGTGTCCTCCAGATGTTGTACTCCAACTCCCATCAGCCCTAGTCCACATGGTCAGTGGTCAGGGAGCTTTGGGAGTTGTAGTCTAGCCACACCTGGAGGGCTACCCATGTGCTTAGGCACCTGTGAGGACCCCTTCCTGGCCTGCATGTCTCTGTTTCCAGAGCAGTTCCTGCATTGCACAGATGCTCTAGGAAGCCCAGAGGTGTGTCCCATTTCTTCCTCCCCAGTAGGCTCACAGGCTTCTCTATGTCTTTCGGAGGGATCTGTTTAGCAGCTGAACCGTCACTTCCCTTTGCTATAAATTTCTTGCCTTCTCTTTAGATGACGTCCTGGAAAAGATACCTAAAGAAAATGTACAATGGGAAGGGGGGTGGAAATGAACTTTGATTCATATATAAAGATTATTTTTATACTTTTTGCAGCAAGAGACTTGCCTGTAATATTTGTACAGTTTTTGTTTTTTTGAGTGAATAAACAAAACCTTTCCAAAGCTGTTTCCTGTCAGCATGTTGGAACAAGCCATTTCATGTCCTTTGCAGCCTGGCTGATGCTGTGAGGCAATCGAATTGCAAGGCAGAGTTTAAAGAGATTCTAATGCTAAAGAAGGATTTCCATTGCACGGAGCGTCTGTAAAAGAAGCAATAACTGCCTCTTTTGGTTTCTTTTTCAAATAGTCTCCTCCAGTCTCAAATTAGGCTATAAATCAGGGGTGGCTAATATTTGCCCCTCCAGATGTTGGGTTACACCTCCCATCAGCCATGCTCTCTGGAGCTCATGAGAGGTGAAGCCCATTAGCATCTGAGGGCACCATGCTGGCTCTGGTCAGTCTAGGCAGTCAAACTGCTGGAAGGTTGCAGTGCCTTCTGTGGCTGTAGAGACTGATACAGGAGAGATGTTTAGTTGCAGATGGGGCAGATGAAGGCGTCTGGTTGTTGTGCTGCTGCTGCTGCTGCACTATGGCGTTTCTTCTCTCTGCGCTCCTCCCAGCAGCCATTCCTCCTCTGGTCACTGCTATGGATGCACAACCTAACTGATGATCTCCAGGTAAAAAACCGCAGGGTTGCCTGCATCATGGGGTTGGGGTTGCCAGCCTGGCTACCCAGTGGTGGAACTTCTCTAAATAGCACCCAGGTCAGCCATGTGGGGTGTGCACAGAGGGAGCCTGCTGCGGCAGGGACACATTCATGTGCCCCAGTCCAGGAGAGTGGATGGCAGCATTGCTGCCTACTCTCCTCTGCCAGAACTGCTGGTCTGGCAGAGGTGTGAGAGGGGACTCTGGGGTGTGGGTGTGCCTGGTTCATGCCCCCCATGGTGCGCCCAGGGCCACGCCCCCCCCCCACTCCACTGTGACTACCCCAAAGGTATTGTGCATTGCCTCGGTTTGGGGACTTGCCCTGAGGCTCCTGCCGCCCACAGAGCCTTATCCTGATGGCAGATTGCTGCTCAGAAGGAGCGACCAAACGGTTAGGGAGCATCTTGCTCTGGGTACCGCCCATCCCAAACCATACTGACTTTTAGAAATCCCGGACCACCAAGCCCGGGAGGAGAGGAATCATTACTACTTAACCACTGATAGAGGCTGGGATCATGGCCACCACCTTTTTGATTTTGCCAAGCCCCGCTCCCCTTTCGACTGCAACCTCTTCGCGCCCGCACCCCGGACGTGAGGAAATGCGGCACCCTCGACCCTTTTGCTGGAAACGGGGAGAAGCTTCCCCACTTTTACACGAAGCCGGTGCCGCGACGGCATTTGCCGGAGAGGGGCCGGGAAGCGAGGCGTCTGGGGGCCTGAGGATCCGGCGATGGGCTGCGCGCCGCCGGCCGGGGGCGCCCCGGCGTGTTGGACGGTACTGGAGGGATCCGGACTTCCTAGCCCTCCCCAGGGGCGGGGACGCTCGCCTTCCTCCTCCGCACCCGTGGTTGGGGGGGAGCCCAGCCACCGCCCCGGAACTACCGAGAGTTGAGCAGGAGGAGGCCGGGCCAGCGCGTTCTGGCGGCGAAGATCGGAAGACGAGGCGGGAGGAGGAGGCGAAGGAGACGGCGAGCGCCCGGACGAGACCTCCTTGGCGCGTCCTCTGGGGACCCCATCAAGGGCACCTGCTTGCAGAGGTGCGCGCCGGTCCCTTGCAGGAGCCAGGCTGGGGCTGCTCTCTGCAGGGCGCCTTCTTTTCCCGGAGGAGGCGGGCGGCGTGGTTCATCCGGGCCGCCGTCCCTTTCCACTCTCCCGCGGCGGGTATGTCTCCACCCCTCGTTTGGGGACGAAGGGAGGCAGCCACAGTTTGGAGGGCAGAGGCTGAAAGCGAAGCAGGGGGGAGGATCCATCGTACCCCCGCAGGGATCGACGGACGTGGGGGAGAACTGGGGGATCTGCCGGCGGCGGGACGGTGCGCGGGAAGCTTTGCAAAATCCTGCCAGATCAGAGTAGCTGCATGTCGTGTTCAAAGTTCCAGAGAGAGGAATTTTGACTTTGGGACAAAAAGGGTTAAGCGGCTAATTACTGGTTTCCGGAGTCAGGGGTGATTTGGTTCCATTTCGTAATTTATTTCTCCTTATGATATCCGCTCCAAAAAAAGTTATATTTCAGGGATAGCCTGAGAGCTGGGGTATTTTTTTGGAGCTTGAGCAAGTGCAAAGTGCCTTGTGGTTTTACTTCACCATCTTTAAAATGTGGGAAGACAACCTTGCTGTGTTTGGAGGTCCTCTTGTTCATTGGGGAAGGGCCTTAGCTCAATGGCAGAGCATCTGCTTTGCATGCAGAAGGTTCCAAGCTCAATCCTTGGCATCTCAGGTGGGACTGGGAGAGACTGCCTGCCTGAAACTCTGGAGAGCTGCTACCAATCAGTGTAGACAATACTAAGCTGGATGGACCAAGAGTCCAACTCATTTTTAGGCAGCTCCGTGTTCCTGTTGTGCTCAGTGGATCCCTGGACATCTGCCTCGAAGTTCTGCCCTGGGTGTTATAAACCAGGGGTTGAAAACTTCCTTCAGTCCAAGGGATGCATTTCCTTTCAAGCCACCGTTGGTAGGTGGAGCTACAGGCAAAAGTGGGCGGAGCAATTGATGTGAATTTTTGCCTTTGTGAAGTAGGCTAGTATCTACACCTATTAACCCACCTGTCTCTATCCTCCATCCAGGCAAGCAAGAGCCATTATCAGAGTTCAAGGACGCATTTCAGCCAAGCGCTGGCTCACACACTCAAGGAGGGTGTGAACAAAACCGGTGAGGGTTTGTGGCCTGGGGAGAGTCCCATGGGCCAGACTGAAAGGTGTGGATCTGGGCCTGCAATTCCCCTCCCCTGTTACAAAGCTTTGAGAACCTAGCAGCAAATACGCAAAACGAGCTTCTGGTTCCTAAATGGGCTTCCTCGCTCTCAGGGGCAGGGGATTCCAGAGGATTCCTCTTGTGGCTACTTCTCTAAAGGCCTTCTTAACTCCTGTGTTCTTCTCTCAGGTGGCAGCAGGTGAGGCAGCACCATGCCGCCCTCCAAAGATGTTGTGAAAATTGCTGTCCAGATGATGGGCGCCATCCCCCAGCTCATTGAGCTTAATCAGGTGAATGCCTTGCTGCCTTACCATTCTGTGCTTTGTCCTAGGAAGGGGTTCCTGGCTTAACTGTTACCCTAAGTGCTCCACAAAGCAGGACCACGTCCAGGTTGGGATCCTTCTGGGCATATTTTATCTAGAATGGAAATGGTTTTGTTTCTCCTGTGTATGGAATCTGGTCTCCATGTGCCGTGTGCTTTTAATTTCAGGCCAAGCCGCTGTCGGCAGTTGTGAAAGAGGTCTGCGACGCGTGAGTAGCCTCTGCTTTCCACCTTCACCTTGAATTAGAGCAGCTTAGAGGGCAAGGAGTGAACTGCCGACTGTTACGCAGACCTTTTCCAGCTAGAAAGCCATACTCCATAAATTTCTGCAAAAATCTACCATAGTTTTCTATGAACATGTTGAGCTTTAACTTTGTTTACTCTTTCCAGCTTTATGCATGAGTAATATCTTCAACTCTGTTCTTATACGCCCAAGACTGCATGTATGCACATGCACCACAATTCTGTCTAAGCCCAAAATGTGACGTTGGCTGCAGGATTTGGTTTCCTCAAACTCTGGCTGCAGGCATTCCCTTTTACTTTTAAATAACTTATTGCGCTAGAGATGGTTGCAAAGATATGCTTGAAAGTGTGTTTGTGAACAAAGCCTGGTTAGATGTCTGTTGCTGGAGTGGTAACTGAATAAGATTTTCAGAGTCCAATGATGGAGCTTCTGTGTCCTGTGTAAGCAAAACAGAATCTTGTTGCTCCTTAAAGGCTGCCAAACTTATGATGGAGTCAGTTTGGACTCTAGTTTGCAAAACGTATGCCATAATAAATCTGCTAAGGTGCCACAAGACAGATGATTTTTGCTACCACACAGGGAGTGGTGCTTTACAAAGCTCTTTGGCTTTGTTCATGATTAGCAAAACCAGAATATATGTATAAACATTGCAGAATAAACGGAGCAAAACATATGTTTTACAAAATTGCACAATGAGTTTTCATGTGCATGATTTATGGAAGCTTCAGAATTCAACTGATTTTGGCATAGAATTTAATTCATTTTAGGGCAGTTCACACACAGCCCTAAACACTTCCTAAAAGTGTGAATAAATAGAGGTAGTTTTTTTTTCTTTTAAAGGGCTGTTCTCTGTTTAAAGAAAGCTGAAATGGTTTGAGTATTAGTCTATCAATCTACCTTTTCATCCATTTGCATATAGGTAAAAACAGTACTACCTTCGTTGTTAGAGATAGTATGCCTCTGGATGTCAGTGGCTTGGGAATCGTAAGTGAGGAGAGCAGTGGGGCACTCAGGTCCCCTCTTTGGGGCTTCCCATAGGCACCAGGTTGGCCATCGTGAGAACAGGGAGTTGGACCTGATGAGCCCTTGGCCTGACCCAGCAGGGCTCTTCTTATGAAGTCTGAAGCAAGAAGCTTACATTTTTAGGTTTTTAGTGATGCCTGCATTTGTCCTAGGTGGCATCCACTTGGAAGAGTCGTTCCCTCTTCTTTGTGGTGGCTCCTGAAATGGTGATTGACAACTGCTTGGCAGGGGGTTGGACTTGATGGCCCTTGTGGTCTCTTCCAACTCTATGATTCTATGATTCTATGAACTGCATTTTTTAAAAGTATTTAAATTATAAAGAATCAGGGACCATTCTTATTGACATTCAAAAAAGCAAACAGTGTTGCTGCTCTTAAAAAAACAAAACAAGCTTAGGTCATTCCGCCCCCCCCCCCCCATGTTGAACTGAATACTGTAGAAATTGATCTGCCCATCAGAAGCATTCTGCCTCCTTGTGGGATGGGAATATGTCCTTTAGAGCTGGTCGAATTTGCCTGAGGACATGCAGATGCTTTTGTGATCCCTGCTGTTGTAGAACTCTGACGGGTGGTCTCCAATACAGGTGGAACTTGAATAATTCGGAGCGCTACGCTCTGCAGTATGTGGATGGGCAGCAAGCGTACATCACAGAATCGGTGAGTACATTTGGCTTATATCATTGGTCTTCTTTCCTAGTGGTTGCCCCCTGCTTGATTCTATATTCTGTGCCAAATTTTGATTGTGCAACCATTTTCTTTTCTTGTTTTTGCCAGAATCGCGGGGAGATTAAGAATGGGAGCATTCTGCAACTGACCACCGCTCCGGTAGGCTCAGTTATGCAATTGTTAAGATGAAAAATGTACAATGAGATAACTGTGGTCCCTCGATAACTGTGTCATGCCCACTTTGATGGGCAGCTCTCAGAGGGTTGACCGTGCATCCATGTGGCCCTTGACCAGAAAAGGGTTAACTGCTCCTTTACGCCAACTCTGGTATAAAGAAGGAAGTGCAATACTTCCATCTGTTTCTGATGTTCAGGCTGTGAGTGATGTTGCTTACACAATAACCAAGTGTCACTATCCAGCCACCCACACCCGAGGGAGGTGTCACTTAGATTTGCAGAAGGACCAAAGATCTGTAGGAGGAATAGCTCCAAGCAAGTGGTGAGGGTGGGGACACAGGAAACAGTTTAGTCAGGATTGAGCCCTAGAATGCTGATAGACTGAATTGCTGGTTGGTGACATGTGAGAATGGAAGAGCAAGTGGAAAGGGAAATATAACGGCATACTCTAGAGTAGAGCATGGATGTCTAGCTGGCACACTCAACAGAAGTGTTTCATGCTTCAACATTTTGTTGCAGTTCTCACTTGTTCTGCGTATCTACTTTTATCTTGCATGATTTTTTAAAGCATTTTTTATCTTGCATGATTTTTTAAAGCATTTTTCAGATGTCCCCTCCTTGCCTGAGGTGTGATTTTTACCCTTTCCTAAATCTATTTTGTTCATTTGTTCTATTTAAAAACATTTTTATACTGCCATTATAACAGAAGAAAACTCCTCCTGATGAGATTTAGAATTAAAACATGGTCAGAATGCAATAAAACATTTAAAGGTCAGCAGAAAAGCTCCACAAACATCCAGCCCTAGAAATACCAAAATATAGTAAGTAACTGCGACAAAAGGCAAAAATATTTGTGGTCCTTGCTATTGTCTTGTTTTTATTGACTTGTGTTCCGTTTTTTGTTCTTCTTCCACACTGAGATGGGGGACCTGGAATGGTGCATGGTATTCCAAATGTGTCTGCTGCTTGGATCTGTCTAAAATTAAAAAGCCAAAAATTCTGCTTGGCAGGACCAAGAGGCAGCAAAGTTACATGGTGGGATTCAAAGCAACAACGTGGACGTGAAGTCTGAGTCTTTGAAGAAGCTGGCGGTCCTCTCCCGAGATGTTGCCTTTGCCCAGGAGTTCATTAGCAGAAATGGCCTCAACCAGCTCTTCCTCATTGTGGAAGAAGATAACAAGTGAGTATCCCAGGTGGGGGAGAAAGCTTCAGAGACCCCCAAACTTCACAGGGGAACATAGGAAGCTGCCTTGTACCAAGTCAGACCATTGGTCCAACTAACTCAGTACTGTCTTCACTGACTGGCAGTGGCTCTCCAGGACCCCTGGGGCCTTCTGCATGCAAAGCAGATGCTGTCACTGAACCAAGTCTTCCCCCATGCACTTTGGCTGCAGCTGATGCTTCTTTCTGGCCAACTCTGAGGATCCTTTATGCAGAATACCTTCATAAAGGATTTGCCAGTGTATAACACATGGATGAGGGACCTGTGGTCTTCCAGATTTTCTAGGACTCCAACCCCCACCCATCCTTGAACATTGGCCATGCAGGCTGAGGCTGATAGGAGATGGAATCCTAGGGCCTCAGGTTCCCCATGCCTGTTATATCTCCATTTCTATAGCTAGGCTGAGGGGAATCCTTCTCAGCAGTCGGTGGTTTGGTTTGGAGCTGACAGGTCTCATGTATTGAGAAGGACTATATCTTGTAACCCAGAAACCTGTAGATGATTTAGCAGCATCCAGCTTGTGCTTTCAGACTTCTGGAATCCAAGTTGCATTTTATAGTCAACTGTGAAGTCCTTTTTTTCAGCCCCAAATGTAGCTTGGTGGAGGAGGTGGGGTGGATTTTCATTGGGATCATTGTGTTTGGGGAAGGCTTAAGGTAGCCTTCCTTCAACTGCACTCGCAATAAGGATTCCCCAACTCCCCACCCAGCTGCAGTTTGGGGTGCTAGAGGAATAAAAGAACAGACCTAGGGAGACGATGCAGTTTGGAAACAAGAAAGATTAAAGCTGTAGAGTGGACAGACACAAACAGCTAGAGAACTCTGTACAGGCTGCAGCTAGTCAAGATAGCTGTGTGACAGGCCATCTACACCTGGAGAAGTTATGTTAAAAACAAAAAAGGAAGCCTACCATGGAAAACATAGTGGGAGCATGTTAGGATTAAGATGTGACACAGGATTCCCCATAAAAAGTGGCTAAAGGCAGTGTGTCTATTCCATAGTAACCGCCCATTGCAGAACCAGCCCCCAACACCAGACCTGGGTTTTTTCATTCCTCCCATTGTACATGGTTCTCCCCCATTTTCTTTTTTCTCCATAGCCATGTTATCCTTGCAACAACCTTACAAATAACTGCTTTGACAGGGTGTTTTTTTGAAAACAGACACAGATGACAACAACAACATCCAAAAATCAAGTGTTATATAAATATTATGAAATAAATAAGTAAAACCTGTGAGGTAGGGTAGGTTGAGAGAGAGAAACTATAGTAAGGGGGCGGGGTGGAAGGCAGCAACTGTACATAGTACTCAGTGAAGTTTTATTCAGAGCAGATCTATTGGAATTAATGGACCTTGTCATGTTTGTTCGTTGCACTGCGTCTATCCTTAGTAAAACTTGGTTGACTCTCACCCATAAACGCTCCAGAATTAATCAAGTAATTTTTTAATGTTTGAAGTAAATTTTCTTTCCATATGCCATTTGCCAAATTTGGGGTTTATGGCGGCAGAAGTTGAGGTTTTCTGAACTCTTCACCACCTGCTTCACCACCTTGGCCTTTTCTAGGAATTTGAGCTTATACAGAACTTCCTTCTCGTCACCTCTCGCTCTCCTTCTCTCTTCTTTTCTCCTTTGTCTTCCTTTCTCTTTCTCCCCCTCTCTCTTCCTTTCTAGGTGTCTCTAATGCATCCTTCCTGTCGTTTCTGGGTGTCTCTGTTCCAGCTGCACTTTGGCCCTCCTGGGGGGCCTCTCTGGGGCTCTCTTACCCTGTTTGCTGTCTGTTGCTCCAGTATAGGGGAGATTCTAGCCTATGCTCTGAAGGCCTTCGTGGAGCTGATGGAGCACGATTTCGTTTCCTGGGAGACTCTCAGTCCGGCTTTCATCAAAAAGGCAAGGTTACCTATCCATTAATGGCAGCTCATCAGGTTTTTGCAACCCATTGGAAACAAGCTCAAGGGCTTTGGGCATATCCACACCATACTTGAGATTTTGTTGAGATCTCATGAGATCTCACAGGAAGTCAGCGCTGATGCTGCCATTGTTTCTGCACTGTCATTGGAGGTGGTGGGGTGCTGCCTTGGGGAGTGGGTTGGCCTTGCTCCAATACATCCTAGGAACTGTGAATCTTCCCAGGATATTCTACCATACAATTTGTGTTTGTTTTAAATTTTGTCAGCTGTCTTGAGTCCTGGTTCTGGAAATAATTGGGATCTAAATAAATAAATAAAATCAATTATCTTCATCCTTGGAAAACTTCAGTTTCCAGGATTCAATGGGAGACGCCAGGAAAAACATAGGTGAGGCTGGGGCTTTGGCCCCTCCCAGACTTATGATTCTGTCCATTCCTGTTCCTTGGCTGCAGATCGTGAGCTATGTCAACATAGTCCCGATGGATGCCTCAATCCAGCAGATTTCATTGGCTATCTTGGAGAACATGGTGCCAACCAGCCATTCTCTCTTTGAGCTGGTCAAGCAACAAGTGACTCTGGATCGTCTCATTGGCCTTTTGCAAGTGTAAGCCCAGAACAAACCACCGCCAATTTAGTTTTCCTCCCTACAGGTGCCATTTTTTCCTTCTTTTTCTACTCTTCTCGGTTTTATTGCTCAGGTGTTGGCATTAAAGCATTCTTCCCATCAAGGCCTCCATTGTCCACTCTTTAAGCACAGCCTTCCTCAACCTGGTTATCCTTCAGATGTTTGGGACTTTCATACCAGCTGTCCTGGCTGGGGCTGATGGGAGTTGGGAGTCCAGAACACCTGGAAGGTGCCAGGTTGCCAGAGGCAGCTTTAGGAAGTCTCTCCTTGTATGCCCAGTTAACAGTATGACAAGCACTCATCTGTAGGTTTTAGTACCTGCGTCTTGCAAATAACTAAACTTTTCATGCATTCAGCATGAATATACATGGGGGACCTTTGGTACGGCACACAGGGGGTGCGGGTGAGATCCAGTCTCCTCCAGCATTTGAACAATACTAATCTTTTGCTTTTCCTCTAGAACGAACCAGCAGCTGCAGCTGAAAGCCATGGCTCTTCTTATTGCTCTGCTCCTCAATGCCAAAGAGCCCGACAGGAGGGTAAGGGAAATCTGTTGGCCCCAGAAGGGCAAGAGGAGGAGCAGGTAGTCCTTAGCCAGTGGTGTTGGTGTAGGAGATTCACTTCCTGTAGAGATGGTAGAGCCCCCTCTAGCGGTGACAACAAATATTGGGGTGGGGGTGGAAAGGTAACACTCTCATTCCCAGTGTCTCCCAGTCTATCCCAAGCAGACCTTTAGCCAGTGCATGTGTGTTTTCTCCTAGGTGTACAGCTATTGTGGATGTACTAAATTCTGGACCATTAGTGGGGAGGGAGGCGAGGCAGTTAGAGCAGGTGTGACTAACCTTTTGAAACCCAAGGGCCTCACTGAAGATTGTCCATCGCCCTGTGAGATTTGCATGCCTGTGGTGGGCTTGGCCAAAGTGACTGATGCTCCCTCACTTATTTGTTCATCTGTGCATGCATACACACAACAAACATGCTACTTTCCATACATACAGTAGATGCACACAGACATTCAGACAAGCAGAGAGCCCGTTGTTCTTTAGCTGATCAGCAGAGAGTGGGGGGCGATGTTACCTTCCACATCATTTTACTTCCCTGTGGCATCACTGGTCTTGGAGGAAAGGAGCCTCTCTTAGCCCAGCACGGGTGTTAGATGGAAAAAAGGAGAGGAAAGGGCCTATTCTCCCTTTGGTGCAGCACTATTTCAAGAAGGTCTCCAAGGTTCAGGAAACAGAGCTCCTCCTTTCCTGAGCCTCTTAGAACCTCTTTGCATTGGTGTCAGGCTGGGAGAGCAAAGAGGTGCCTGATCTTGGCAGAGGGCTAGCAGGCCATGAGTCACCACCCTTGTCCTGCAGCCTGCTTAGGGCATGCGCGGGGAGCTTGTGAATTGACAAGGGTGCCAAGTAGTCTGTGGGTGGGGAACTTTGCCACCTGATGCAAGAAATTGGAACTTGGATGCTTGCTCAGATGTGCTGGGGACCTGTGCACATGGCTGAAAGAACGGTGGGGTGGGAGGTTTGTTTTGGGGCTGACTCCCTGACTCCTTTCTCCTTCCAGGGCATGATGGAGTATCTGGGGAAGAAGAACCTCCGGCAATTTATCCACAAGGTGAAAGCATGCAAGTGGCCTGTGGTGGGGTGTGTGGCATAGATTTCGTCATAAGCGTTGCACTTTCTCACCTGTGTGCCCACTTCTCAGGCACGGGGATGGAGAAGCTTTTTCGGCCTGAGGGCTGCAATCTCCCAGGGGCCGCGTGCCAGTGGTGGCCAGGGCCAGAGGCAAAAGTGGGTGGGGCAACAAACGGGCATTGTTACCTTTGTACAACAGGCTGCTTTCTATGCACACCCCTCTCTAGCCCCCACCCCAGGCAAGCAAGAGCTTGAAGACATAGTTCAGCCAGATATGGAGGGTTAGGAGCTGGGACTGTGATGGTGCAGCTGGGAAAGCCCGGGAGAGTCCTAAGGGCTGGATAGAGAGGCCCCTAGGCCTGAGGCTTCCCATCCCCGCTCTTATATTTTGACTGACTGGCCTGATTTCTCTGGGTCCTCACTCTAGCTTTCTCCCCTTCTTCTGTGGCTTCTCTTCTGCCCGTTTTGCCTTGGTGGATGGTACCCCCTGTCCCCACTGAGCTCTGCTGTGAGGAGTTGGAATATGGCATCAGGGGATGAGGGGTGGGGGTTGGAGGGAGGGAAGGAGGACAATGCAGGTGACTCTGCTGTTCTCCGTCCTTAGAACATCATCCATGCCTCTGAGCCCATTGGGGATGAGATGGCCCACTACCTCTATGTGCTGCAGTCTCTCACGCTGAACCTCCTGGAGCAGAAGATGAGGACCCCTATGGACCCCTATTTACAGGTCGGCTCCCTTTTCCTCACTTTCGTGGCTTGCCTCTCAACTTCATTGTATTGCCCCAAAGTTTGATGGCCTAGGATCATTGGTCCCAGATTGCTGCAATCGTCTGGAGAAGCCCTACTGACTGGTCCCACAGTTACCTCATATTTAGTTCAGTTTTCCATGCCTTTTCCATGACTTTTAGCTTAGCAACCCCGAACTTTGGAACACTCTTCCTGTTGAAATCTGTCAGTTCTGATATTTTGTTGCCTGCTGAAAACATGCTTGTTGTGCAAACCTGGACCAGCACTCCAGCACCTTCCCACTAGCCACCTCCCCCACCCCCCACGCCCACCCCAGATTGGAAATTTGTGGGAGGGAAAAACTGTTCCACAGCAGAACTACACCTTCATTGTCACACAAACAGTTCAACTCTCAGTGGAGTGGAGTTTTAGCACCTTGTAAATAAGCCCCACAGAAATTGTAACCCTTTTGGGGGTTGGCTGAGAAGGGGTGGAGAGCTCCGTTCTCCTGTATGCCTCTGTCACCTTGTCACCTATGCCTGCCAGGCCAGTGTTTAAATGCAAGCTTGCAGAAGGTGCCAGGCTCATTCCCCAGTCTCTCCAGCTCATAAGGAAAACCCTGCTGATATTCTCTGTGCAGGATCAGAGGGAGCTCCTCCAGTCCCTGCGACATGCGGCCTTTGTCTCCGAGAACGAATCCTACGCCAGCAGCTCTAACACCGAGCGCAGGCACTCCCTTTGTGCCAAGGAGTTCCGGAAGCTGGGCTTTGTGGTAAGTTCCTCATAGACTGGGGTGGAGGACCCTTTTCAGCTCAAGGGTCGCATTCCCTCGTGGGGAACCTTCTGGGGGCCTCATGCCAGGGGTTGACGGGGCCAGAGGCAAATATGTACAGGAGGGCAGTAGCTGTGGCTCTTACTTCAGGACAGCTGACTACACGCCAGCTTTGCAGAAATCAGAGGTTTCTAGACACTCCTTTGAGGCAAGCAGGAGGCATTGTCACAGTTCAGAAACACATTTCAGCTTGGCAAAAGGGCTCAAGGAGGCCCAGGGAAGGGCTGTGGCCTGGGTGATGGGTGACAGTTCACATGTCCTGACAGAGAGGCCCAGAGGGTCACATTGGGCCTCTATGCCCGGTATAGATTATATGCCACAAGAAGAGAGCACAGCAAGTATTCAAAGTACCCACAGGGCAAGTTTTATTGAGAGGGTGGCATTGCCTAACAGCTGCCAGGGTTCCAGAACCAAAGCAGGGCCCACCACTGACCCAGGAAGCCAGTCAAAGAGACCAAATTTCATGACTTCGTCAGACTCTTCAGACACCTTCTTGGCTTCCACCTTGGCTGGGACTGCTGACACCTGCATTGCCCTCCGCGGCCCCTGCTTTTATAAGTTTTTGGCCCAGCTCTTCAGACAACCCTGGGCAGCTGGGTCATGCCGGCATTTTATTTTCTGCCATGGTGGCTAGGCCCAGCCAGACTTGTAGTACTGCTACTCATCTCTAAGTCAGCTTGTCAGGGCCTGGCAGTGAAGGAGAGCCCTCTACCCCTCAGCATTTTGAGACACTGCCTCTTTATTGTGTCTTTTGGGTTGTTTTGTGTGTGTCTCCTTCCCTCCCTCCCCAATCTAAGCAGCCCTAATATTGCGTTATGTCTTTCTTTTTCAGAATAACACTAACCCTGCCCTGGATTTGCATCGCAGTCCTCCAGGGCTCCTTGCTCTAGACAGCATGGTCTATTTCTCCAGACACTTCCCAAGTGCCTACAGCAGGGTAATGGAAGAGCTTGTTTGCTTTGTGACGCTGGTCCTTTCCTCCCCCCCCCCCCAACTTATAGCAGAACTTCAGGAATCAGTAGCAGCCATGTGCTTGGGATGGGGCTGGCTCTAGGATTGAGATGCCCCCACCCTGGGCAGTGTGTCCCTCTGGTGGACTTTCCTCTGCGATGGGGAATAAATCCGGTTTGGTTCAGAACTTAACAGAAACCTACCTGATTTGCACTTTCTAAAACAATAGGCAAACTGAAGCGCAGCTATCCTTCCAAATTTGCACTTCTCTGAATTTCATGACACTTTTCTCCAACCGTAATGTAATGTAATTAATATAATAAATACTGCCTCCCTAAGCTTGCTTTTGAGACTCTTGCAGGCCTGAAGAGGTTATGACATTCTTCCTTTTCCTCTCAGTTCATTCTTGAGAACAGCAGCCGAGAAGATAAGCACGAGTGCCCATTTGCCCGGAGTAGCATCCAGCTCTGTTTCATGCTCTGTGAGATCCTTCACGTGGGGGAGCCTTGTGAGTATTAGTACTTCCCTTCTCTCTCTGAACCCAGGATGCCTTGCGACTCTGGTCCCTCTGCCGGCATTCACACACTGCCATTGAGGCCTTCTTTATGAGCCGGCAGGGCTGGCAGTAAGGTTTCTTTCTCCCAGTTCCAGTGCATTCACAGCTTTCCATAGGAAAATGTTTCTCCACTGCTGTAGGGCTGGTACCATAGGCAGGAGGTAGATTGGCGTCAACGTGCAGTATTTGGAGCATTTTGTGGCAAATTGGCAAGGCTTTCTGATTTGCAGTTGTCTAACAGCCCTTTATAAAGTGCTTTCTCTTCCTAAACTAGATTGCTGAAAAAGAATGTGGTATGGGCAAAAAGGAGTGGATTTGTGTGGAAGGATGTGTGAGTGTGGTTCTGGTTCTGGTCACACATTCCTGGGCTTGGAGGTGTGTCCTGTTCCTTAGTTCTTACCCTATGTTCACCAACCCGAGACAGTATTTTGCCCTGGTTCTGGTTGGTGGATCCTGGAGTTACAGTAAAAAAACAAAGTAGATCCCACAAGTCTACAGTCTGCCACACACACCCCAGACGTGCTGTGGAAGAGCTGAGAAGGAAACAATAAAAGGAACAATCAAGGCCTAAAAAATGGGAGGGGAGGGGGAACTAAGTTGCCCTGGATGTAAAAGGAATTTATAGTGGTGTCCAGCTGTAGAGAATGAACGTAGGCATTTAAAAATATGGTGCTCTGGAAGACAGAGGGAGCTCTCCTCCCCTACCCCCCACAGCCCTTAGGGAAGCAGTGAGGAACTTCTGGCCTTTCAGATGTTGTCAGACTCCAGTTCCTATCAACCTGACCATTGGGCTACGCTGGCGAGGGCTAATGGGAGTTGGAGTTCAGCAGTATCTAGAGAGTACCATGCTCTCCACCCATGCTTTAGGACAGAGCTTTCCAAACTGTGTGTCGTGACATGTTAGTGTGTCTGCTCCAGTGTGTGTGTGTGTGTGTGTGTGTGTGTGTGTCTCATGCAAATGCTCCCCGTGCTCCTTCCAGGGCTGGAAAGGGGTTAGTTCAATCTCTGGTTTGTTAGTAAAACTGAATTACTATATCATGAAATGATGCATGGCCTAAAAAGTGTGTCACCAACATGAAAAGTTTGGAAAGCTCTGCTTTAGGACACTCACATCTTGTTCTGCGAGACCTCTGAGAGAAATAGGAAGATGGTATTGTCAGGGAGAGGCAAACGGGAAAAGATGAAAGAACAGAAACCAGCAATTATAGAGAGCCTAAAGAGATCATTAGCAGCCTGTCGTCTGACAGTGAGTCTGACGTAGAGAGGGAGGAGGATGAGCCGGGAACAAGTCATTCTGTACACAGAGGAAGTCAGGGGAGGGGTTTCCGCAGACTTGCATGCTGGGTACGGAAAAGGGAAAAAAAAGTAGACGCGGCAACTGTGCAACAAGGGGACGGACGCTAATTGAAACGCTGGAGATGTACTTTTGAACTTTGTCAAATAAATCAAATTGTTTGGAACTGGCTGGGAGCCCGGAGTCTTATCTATGCCAACTGGACAGCATTAAGCCTCTGACAGGTATTATGGGGAGAGAAGCTCTCCATGGAAGTTCTTGGATGGTTATCGAATTTGGAGGAACATAAGTGAAAGGAGAGAGGAGATGATTTAAAAAAACAGACCCAGGGATTGTGTTTCTCTTTTATGACAGGCTCTGAGACAGCCCAGGCCTTCTACCCCATGTTTTTCGGCCAAGAAAGCTTTTTTGAGGAACTCTTCTGCATCTGCATCCAGCTGTTGAACAAGACCTGGAAGGAAATGCGTGCGACACAGGAAGACTTTGACAAGGTGAGGCCTAGCAGCAGGGACTTTGGGGCTCAGGATGCAAATGTGCATGTGCTAATTGATATGTATAGGTGAATACCCATTTTATTCTCCCATGTACCCAATTTATCTTCCTCACAACAACTCTATGAGGCAAGTTAGGTTGATAGAGAGCAACTGGCTTGCTGTCACCCAGTAAGCTTCACCGTCAGTCCCATGCATACCCATTGGCATCGTATGATAAATAAGATGAAAACCAAAACTAATTGAACTAGAATACCATTTTTTAAATCTTACATAAAATCCAGTAATTGACCAAACAACAAAAACAAAAATTAATTACTATATCCTGCTCTACCAGATACATACCTAAATTTTAAAATCCCATTAAACAAATTTCCAGTTTTAGTTTTCATAGGTGACTGTTAACCAGGAGAAAATATTGGTCTTGAGCTGTTGGATACTGAATTGAAATACTCCATCCTGTGCTGTGCTTACATGGAGGCCAGAGAGGGGCTGGCTTACTTAACTATAGTTTTTAGATGGCTACTATTCATTTATTTCAATTTGTATGCTGCTTTCCCATGCCGAAAGCCACTCACAATGCCACAGCAGTCATGCACATCGATACATTTGGTATGATTTTTGTTGCAAACTAGATGGGAGTCGGGGAACAAAAGTGTGTCTTGATTCTGTTTATGTCTCCCCCAGCCTTTCTTTTATAATTTGAGCACTTGCTGTATGAACATGCTTGAGGGGGCTTTCAAGAGTTTAGGGGAGAGAGGAATTTGGTAGTGATGGGGATAGGGCGTCATATCCATTTGTTTACCCATTGCATGAATCTCTGGCCCTGCAGGTGATGCAGGTGGTTCGGGAGCAGATCACCAGAATCCTCACCCTAAGGCCTACTTCAATGGAGCTCTTCAAGAGTCGCGTGAATAGCTTAAACTACAGCGAGATCCTGCGTCTTCGGCAGACGGAGCGGATGCACCAGGAGGAGATCCTAGCTGCGCCCGTCCTGTGAGTAAGGAGGCTTTGATATATGTTTGTGTGAGGTGTCTGTAGAGCCTTGTATCAATATTTTTAGTATATCTGGTGCCTGAAGAGATACCTCAAGGTATCAATCCCTGCTCTAGCTTTGGATTTCCTGCTCAAGAGGGTTGTTGGACTATGTGGCTTACAGGCTTTGTGATTCTAATTCTTACAGCCCTAAATCAAAGGGTGGAGAAACTGTGACTCTCCAGATGTTGTGGACCACAATTCCCATCATCCTTAACCATTGGCTGTGCTAGTAGGGGCTGATGGGAGTTGTAGTCCCAACAACTCCCATCAGCCTTTAGGGGAAGGGCCATAGGTCTACGGGAGAGCATCTGCTTTGCCTGCAGTTCAGTGCTGGAACAGAATGGGAGGATGTTCTGCTCTCTGGGAATGCCAGAACAGAGAGAATGTTCTCATTCCGGCAGTAGGGATGAGGCTGGAGGACGCTTGAAAGGTCATGGGGCCTTGTGATATTAGGCAGTGTTACTCTTCCTTCCACTGTGCTTTGCCCCAGGGAATTGAGAGAGCGCCTGAAACCTGAGCTTCTCAAGCTGATCCAACAGCAGAGACTCCTCCACCTCTGCGAAGGGACGCTCTTCCGCAAAATTAGTAGCCGGCGGAGACAGGGTAAGTGGCTGGAGGCCATGTTCTCCACTGAGGGATTGCAAGGGCAGCTGGATCTTGGGCTTCTGATGGGAGAGGAGACTACTAGGAAACAAGTGAGTCAGGAAGTTGGAAGGCAAGGAGCTCATACTGGATCTACTGCAGGAAGGGCTCTTGCAGCCATAATCTCCATGCTGTGACTTGTTTTCTTTTTGCTAGATAAGCTCTGGTTCTGCCGCCTTTCTCCCAACCACAAATTTCTGCACTATGGAGATGTTGAAGAGGGCATAGAAAGTCTGCCAATTGAGAGCCTGCCGGAGAAAGGTACGCAGACCTGTCCCGTGTGTCACATCTGACCTTCAATATTCCTGCTCTCATGACGGCTTCCGAGGCTGCTTTGCTTCCTCTGTTGTGCCACTCACAAGAGCAAAGGTGGGAAGCCACCAAAGCAAGAATGAGAACTGAGAATCCCTAAAGTGGGTATCTCAGAAATATGAGGCCACCACTGAAAAGACCCTGTATTTCTTTCTTTCTTTAATTTATATCTTGCCCTTGCTACCAAAGGGCATCAAACATGAAGAGATAAAACATCATAAAAACAATTCCAAAACAGATGTAGGCTAGGAAATATCTCATTTTAAAAGCCTTGTTGAACGAGTAGATTCCTGTCTAATATTCAAAGGCGGGAGGGATTCCAAAGGGCAGGTGATACAACACTAAAGGTCCGATTCCTATATTGTGTGGAATAGACTCCCTGATCAGATGGCAACTGCAGGAGGACCTCACCTGCAGAGCACAGTGCTCAACTGAGTATATAAGGGCTGAGATGATATTTCATTTATCTGAAAGTGCCCATCAACCTAATACATCTTGATGGTGGGCCCATACGCAGGTCTCATCGAGGTTGATCTTAAAGGAGTATATAAAAGCAGCCCTCCTGGAGGTGGAAGGAGAGGGTGCCACCCTCCCAGAGGAGGAACAAGTCTTCCCTTGGGGCATCTGGTCAAGGACATCCTGCCAAGGTCCATCTAGTCAAGCATCCTCCCCAAGCGCTCATCCAGGTGCCTGCAAACCAGGGGTGGGGGACCTGTGGCTCTCCAAATGTTGCTGGACTCCAGTTCCTATCATTCCTGACCACTGGCTGGAGCTGATGGGAATTGGAGTCCAACGAAGACTGGAGCACCACCACTGCTGCACCCTTGGCTTGAAGAAATTCATGTGGGAGGGTTTGGATTGAGCACATTCTTATCCCTGCTCCTGAATTCTGTGATTCTCCTGGTTTGAGCTCTGCACACCTGTCCTTGTTGGCTGGTGCTGTATTAATCTGTGTGTGCTTCTTATCCCAAAGTTCCTGTGGCAGATATGAAAGCATTGCTTACTGGCCGGGAATGCCCACAGACCAAGGAGAAGAGCTCTGGCAAACAGAACAAGGTCAGTTTGCATTCTGTTGTTCTTCTCCTCTCACATATAGAAATAGGGGAATTGTGCACATGTATGCAAGCTACCTTCTCCCCCTACTGTTACTTAAGAGTCCTGCTGGATCAGGCCAGTGGCCCATCTAGTCCAGCATCCTGTTCTCACAGAGGCCAGCCAGATGCCTGTGGCAAACCCACAAGCAGGACCTGAACAGAAAAGCATCAGTGCTCCACCAGCTTCATTCACCAGCTTCATTCAGGCCTGTTAGCATTAAATACTCATATTGATTTTTTTAATGGAGTTCAAATTGTAATATAATAAAATAAAATACAATAAAATAAAATAAAAAAGCAGTAACAACACACTGAAAAAGCATACAGCATCTAGCATAGTGCATTATAGTTGCTAAGCAGAAAAATGGTCCAAGACCCTCAGAAATTTTCAAGTGACCTATGGCCACTTCTGATGGTTTTCAAATTGTTTTGAAATGTTTTAAAGTTGTTTTTATTTTAACTTTTAAAACTGCATTGTGTTAACTTTTTGAAGTTTGATGTCTGTCTTGTTGTCTTGGGCTTTGGTTGGAAAGCCAGAATAGAAATTTAGTAAGTAAGTAATTCTGCTGAGTGGGGACCTGGACTTCTGCCCCAAGGTCTGATGGAACCGCATCATTGAAAATGCCTGGCATCTCTTCCCACTTTCCTCCCCGCAGGATCTGCTAGACCTTGCCTTTTCCATCAGCTATGATGTTGGGGAACATTTGAATTTCATTGCTCCTACACGCTATGAGGTGAGAAGCTACTTGCTGCAGAGGATCTCCTATATCTTAACAGAATGGGGTATTTGTCTCTCTCTGCAATAGAGCAGGGTTCAAGTGGAACCTGCAAGAACATGCTGATGCATGCTGTTGTTCACAGTTCCCCTCAGCCGTGCTCTGTGCAATCTTCCTTTCCACTTCCCCTCCCATCTATTCAGCTCCTCTCCATGATAGCCAGACAGCATTTTGTAGCTGCGTAGCATCCTCATAGGAACATAGGAAGTTGCCTTGTACTGGTCCATCTAGCTTATTATTATTGTCTACTGACTGGCATTGGCTCTCCTGGATTTCAGGCAGCGTCTTCTCCCAGCCTTACCTGGAGATGCTAGGGATTGAACCGAGGACCTTCTGCGTGCAAGGCGATGCTCTACCACTGAGCTAGGACCCTTCTCCCCTTAAGTGGCTACTCAGTCCTCATCAGGCTGTTTCAGGGTTCTCTCCACTTGAGCCCCCCCCCCAAGGCTTTGTGTACTCATGCAAACTTTGGGGATTCCCCCATGCCTGCTGCACGGAGGGTGTTGTTTTGGCTACAAAAGCAATGGCAGGCACACCTGAACAATTGGAAAGAGAGGGAATGCTTAGGCATAGAGAAGGGACAGCAGTAGTACTGTAGCAGTCAGACCCAGCACAAATTCTGAAGTGGTCTACGGTGTGTTAAACATATCCGTTAACTCAGTGGGTTGTATCCAGCTAAGCTTTACTCAGAGTACGCCCATTAAAGTGAATGAACCTAAGCCAGTCATACCCATGGATTTACTCCGATAAGTGCTAGCATTGGCTACAACCCTCTGATCCTTGCTTTGCCCCTTTGCGGCAACGTGAAAATAGCACAGGGAGAATATTAGTGCTCTGCTGGATCACACCAGCTTCCTGTCAGAAAGTGCTTGTGTGAACCCCTCCTTCAGCACACAGGCTGGAGCTTAGGAGTTAATGGATGATGGGACTAGCAAACCCCCTTTTCCTTGTTCTTCAGTTCTGCTTATGGACCGATGGGTTGAACGTGCTCCTGGGCCGAGAGATGGCGAGCGAACGGACGCAGAGCGACTTGGACATCTTGCTGTCTATGGAGCTCAAACTGCGGTTGCTGGATCTGGAGAACATCCCCATCCCAGATGCTCCACCAGCCATCCCAAAGCCCCCCAGCAACTTAAACTTCTGCTATGATTTCACCCATATAGAACAGTAAAGGCTACCTCTTTCTAGCCTGCTCTGCTTCTCATAGCCGCTGGCTTGTTTTGGATAATCCTCCAAACCAGATCAGGAACACGCTGCATATTTTCCCTCCCCGCAACCCCTGCTTAGGTACCAGTTCACTTCCCCATGTCACTTTTGCTGTAACCATTGTTTCCCATGATGCTGAAACTGGGAAAAAACACACTAAGCTTAGTGCTAGCTGGTAAGTCACGTTTGAGCAACAGTTGCAAATATTTTTGTTTGGAGAGTAGTGCTGACCCACAGATTGCCTTATTCAGTTACCATAGCAAACCAAATTGCAATGAATCAACATTATCACAAGCAAGGGAGAAAGAGTGTGCCAGTCTGCGGCATGTTCTCAATCCTCCAAACTAAGCCCATGTATCTAGAATCTTAATTCTGAGTTCAAAAAACCCAATAGACACATTTGCAGATATATATGTATGTATATAAACCTGACCTAACATGCTTTCTTCCAGCTACAGCATTTGAGACCTCTCAGAATTTTGAATAATTTCCTCCAGGTTGTTTTGCCAGGGACTTGGGAATGTATTGGAGGACGAAACAGGTCTTAAAGATTGAAAACTGAACACTATGAAAGGGAAACGGAGATGATTCCCACCCACGGGGATTCCCACCCACGGGGCTCTCTTGTATTTATAGCCAACACCTGCAACAATGAGTGCTAGAAAGTTGCTTTAAAAGAAAGAAGAGAGAGGCTTGCCTTCCGTGGATCCTGGGTTGTATTTTTAGATACCCTATTTTAGACTTTCCCATGTGATGATAATCCACCACACAGAGATGTTGATTCTGTCAGCAAAACTGCTGCTTTACCAATGGATTGTATTTCACATTTAGCCTTGCTATACAGTGATGTTGCCTCAATTATGCAGATGACCTATATTATGCAAAATTAAAGGAGTTGGGGAAATATGATCGGGGGAGGACAAAGTCCTCCCCTCCCTCGCTTTTCTGAGGAATACATAAATAGATCTCCCACCTTAAGAAACTTTGACTCCTTCCACAGAGAGAGTGGCAATGCCATCTCTTTCCTAGTTCTGTTTAGCTAAATACTGCCTACAGGATCTCTCTTTGCCACATTTTGAAAGGCAGAAACAAGCACTTTACAAAACTGGCTCCCTTGCTCTATGAGAACAGCATCAGGTATGTTTTGTCACCTGCCTGAGCAACAGGAGAGCTGTGACAGGGTGAGGCACTCTGCCTAAAACTGTAGCATAACTATCTTTTCAGGGACTTTCCCCCCATAGCTGTAGCAAGGGAGGAACATATGGAGAGAGGCATTTCTTCTTTCTTATCCCCTCTTTCCAGAATGCTTCCTTTCTTCATAGGCTCCTGAATCAGTTCCTACTTCAGAGAAAAGCTCTTAAAATGCATCCAAAGTTTTCTTGAAAATATTTTCAGGATGTGACATGGTAGTTATTAAGCCAGGGGTGTGTGTGTATCTGTTGCTTTTGAACTATCTCCCTCAATTATGCACTGACAAAAGATGGATTCAATGGCCAATGTCAATCATGCAAATTAAGCAGCTTTAAGTAACTTCTTATTTTGCGCTTCTTACCATTCCACATACTTTTTTCTTTCTTTTTCTTTTGCTAGCCTCCCAGGGGCAGTGGGGTAAAGGGAGATACCTATGCAGACACTAAAGTCCCATGGTGGGGTGGGGAAATTTTGGCCCTCCAGATGTTGCTGAACTACATCTCCCATGAGCCCCAGCATTCATCGCCAATGGCAGGGATGATGGGACGTTGTAGTTCAGAAACATGTGGAGAGCCAAAGTTTCCCCACAGGTTGGCTAAGGCCAGGAAGCTGACACTCAGGTGGCATTCCCATGGGCAGCCAATTCCTTTGTTCTTCTGTTAAGTCATTTTGTAAGTAAATGTGATTTTTGTTTTCTTGTGAAATTTTCTAGATGTAACACACACACACACATACACATATATATGTATTTTCACAGCACTATGCCTCTTTAGAAACACTGAGTCCAATTGCACTGGAGCGGCTATTTCCTAGCCTCCTACCCCCTTGCCTGTCTGTGTTAATCTTCAATTTTGCAGCACTGTAGCTGCCCACTATCATAGGAAACATTTCCACCTTCAGTATCTTCTGTAAAGGACTTCCCAGACTCCTTGAATTCCTTCCTGCTCAGGTGCTTCTACTGTAACATGTTCACTGTGGTACTGCCTCTGGCACAGAGGCCTTAATATTATTATTAATAATAAAGGGAATTATCTTTATGGAGTTTTTTTGGTAACTGCTGTGAGCTTTGCGATGACTGTGCACAAACCAGAGGAATCGGTTTCCCTGCTTGCCATTGTGAAAGCAGGCGGTTCCTCTTGATGTGTGATGCTTTGGGGGTTGTGACTGGGATTAAAAAAAGCCCAGTGAACAGATGGCCCAACCTGTGGCCCTCATGTTGCTGTTGAACTCCAGCTCCCATCAGCCCCAGCTATTATGGCCCATGGCCAGGGATTATGAGACCTGTAGTCCAGCAACATCTAGAAGACCATAGATTCCCTGTCTCCCTTTTAAAACAAGTGAGCTGCACTCTTCAGGCCAAACCAGCAGCTGCTTTTTGAAGTACTCTGCAGAGGAGCCCCTGCATGAGAAGCCCAATGGCGTACGTGGAAGTAAGTGAACATTATGCAGCTGCCTTATGGTGGGCCTAGTTGTGGGTTCTCTTCAGGCCTGGTATCAGTATGGTGGCATCCCTAGGCAGCAGCCAGAGCCCAGTAGGGCTCTAACTGGGATGAGCCCTGAGCGTGACTTAGCTTTCTCTGGTTTGGGGCTCACAGTCTCTGAAGCTCAAAATAGGAGGACTCGGCCCTGAAAGGAAACTGCAGCCGTGGCTGTCTGCACGAAAGAATGAAGTGGTTTTCAAGAGGTCAGAGGGCCTAGATTTAAATCTTTCAAAAATACGTTATTCAACACTTGCACATGTGTAGAACAGAGAACAGCTTTGCTCGCTGTGGAGGTGCAGGAAATGCCTTGTGGGCGAGGTGTGTGTGACTGTATCGCAGAACATTGTCACACAACACTTAGCTGGAGGTGCAACCTATTAAAAGGAGCACCCAATAGGTTTTAGAGTCCTGATTGGAACCCAGTGCCATTATAGTTCCTAACTGTGTGCTGGCAATGGAGATTGATCCATTAGAGCAAATGACCCACCAAACTGAGTTTGACCTCTGTGAGCCCCTGCCTGCCTGCCTTCCTACATGCAATCAGTCCAGGGGGTGGCACTGTCTTGGCAGCTTCTTCCTTCTCCGTCTCAGTCAAGGAGGGCAAGTCAAAGTTTTACAGGCTGCCGTCTCCATTCATTTAAAATCCAAAGTATGTAAAACAGATACTAAAGTCCTTTATTAGTGCAGTGGCTTTGGTGATGTTTATGGAAAACCCTGGTGCATAAGCATAGTGCATTTTTCGAAAAGATGAGTGGGAGGCTGGCAGGGCAGTGGCTTTCTCACCTTTATATTGTTTGCAGGAATGCACAAGAGGAAAAGTTTTGGTGCCTGAATATGCCATGGACTGCTTTTGTGGGAGTGACCTCCCACTGTCTCCATGTGTGCCTCTAAAACTAGCAGCTGTGTACCAGGGGGACCTGGAAAGAAGTCTCCCTAGATGCAATTTTCCAGCTGATTTTTTAAAAATCCCTTTCACTGACAGGGATGTTGCAGCTGCTGAAAGCAAGGGTGCAAATTAAGTGCTTGGCACTGGCTGTGCCAAAGATTACATCAGCAGCCATTACTGTCTTGCCTTATGGCTGCTGGTTACTGTTCCTGCTAGCGTGGGATCTGCTGTGCTCCAGGCAATCCCTCCAAAGCCCAAGGTGCACTTCCCCATTCTGCTTGCGGAATGGGGGTGATGGGAGGCTTGCGCAACAGCCAGCTCCTCCATTGAGGCAGGCTTGTGTGAGGATGCCCCCTCTATAGGAAGAATCGGTCCATTTTATGGACCCACTCAGTGGCAGTGGTGCAGCTGCATTTAACAGTAGGCCAGTGGGACTACCAAGACAGGAGCTGTTTCCCAAGACAAGTCCCCTATTGCCATTGAGGCAGCGTGGGGAGGGAGAGCCAGCTTGACCGCCATTTATCTCTGGGAACTCAACCTACAAAGCTTGCATCAGAGAGTGATGGAAAGGTCTGCTCCACCCACAAACCGTGACTGGATGCTAGTCTGACTCTGCAGCGGGAGTTGCGACTGGAAATGCTCAACGTCTGTCATGCTGATCTTGCTGCACATGGAGACGTCCAAGCTCTTCAGTTGCTGGCACTCCTGCCCAATGGCCTTCAACGTCCTGCAAAGGAGAGTTCACCAGTTGTTGATTTGTCTCTGCCTCTCTTTTGGTTCCTCCTAGCCAACCAGCCAGGCCTTGAAGGAGCTTTCAAAGGCCTGCCTCTGGCTTGCCTTTACCTCTCTCTCCACCTGCCAGTGATCTTTGCACTCTGCAGAACTACTCACCTGGGAGTCAGCTGGTTGCAACCAGAAAGGATGAGATGCTGAAGTCGGTGCAGGGAGCCAGCTGCTTCCATGAAACCTTTGTCAGTAAGGTTTGTGCAGTGACTTAGCGTGAGGTGCTCCAAGCTCCGGCAGTTTTGAGCGATGGCTGTGAGGCTGGTGTCTGTGATGTTGGTCACAAGGCTGAGGGACAGCCGCTGCAGCTCGGGAAAGCCAATGACCTGAGGAGGAATAAAAGAACAAGGACAGGAAGTTGGGTGGCCCTGTCTGGGCACTGTGATGAAGGGTGCCCAAAAGAGCATCCTTGCCCAATGGCTGTAAAAGCTTTTGCTCTGCCATTGGCCATGCCCAAAACCATTCAGGGTGGAGCTCCACACCAAGAAAGTGAACATGTAGACTGCAGCGTGTAGCAACTGAGGAAGAGAACTTCTTTCAGAGCCATTCTGGGGGCTAAACAAGATGCTCAGAAAGATAGCAAGTTGCAGGCTTCTTGGAGTGTACCGCTTCAAAATGCAGTTGCGGATGGAACCACATGTGTACAAATGCTCTCCCAGGTCAAAGCCTCTCTGTGTGTAGAAAACAACCACATCAGAAAGATGACAACTGCTTGGAACCGTTCTCCCTGACACGCTAGTTTTTAATGGGCAGAGAGTTTTGGGTAGCTTGGTCAGGTCTCATATAAGAGAAGGAAGTAGGAGCTTGGACTTTAAAGCTCTCCCTCCAACCAAACTGATTACATATCCTGTGACGTTCCTTGCATTCCTTTTTGGATTTTCTGCAGAGTGTGACCTGTTGCCAACCCGTTTAATCCTCCCACTTTTTTTATGCCTTGACAATTTTCTCTCCATCTGTGTCTCAAACCACTTCCTCTTCCTCCGTGACCCACTTTTCAAAACCCTCTTCTCTAAAGCCTCTCATGGTTGTGTGGCCGGTCCCTCTACTCACTGACGTCTCACTACCCACACATTCTGCTCTTGCCTGTCTAACGTCAGTCTACCTGGAAGCATTATATCCCTCCCATGGCCTGTACTGTTGGTGCTCCATAGATGTTTAATTTGAACAGGTGCCACTGAAAGGGCAGGGCACACAGCTCAGTATTACTAGGGCATCTGATTTGCATTCCAAAGGTCCCAGATGCAATCATTGACAATCTTATGTCAGAAAAGAAAGACTCTCAAGATGGGAAAGACTCATGCCTGAAGTCTTGGAGAGCTGCTGCCAGTCAGTGTGGACCAGGGATGGGAACCTGTGGCCCTCCAAATGGTGTGCTGGCTGGAGCTGATGGGAGTTCGTAGCCCAAGAACATCTGAACAACCACAAGTTCCCCACCCCACACTGACCGAGAGGGGCAAATGGTCTGACTCTTGAGTAAGGCGGCTTTTGACGTTCTTATGGTGGTACTCCTGCTACCCTGAAGCCAAGGCTGTAGATGGTTTCTTTTGCAAGAACACTCTGTTTCATAGGAATTTGTCTATGGCCGGATCATGTGTCCCATCTAGCAAAGCACCTACTCTCCCACTAAGCGATGGTCTCCCCATAGCTGTCTGTATTTGCAAGCTGCAGTGTCCAAACCTTAGCTATGCTTGCATCTGTGAGTTTTGTGCAGGCTGTCAGGTCAAGTTCCTGAAGACGAGTCAGGGCATTCAAGGAGGCTTTGTGCTTCTGCTGAGCATCCTGCTTGCCGATGTCAATAAGGATCTGGGTGTCCTGCTCCAAATCCTGTGGAGGTGGTTGGAAAAATCCCATGTTGCCAAAGTTCCTGCTGAACTTTGGGCCAGCATCCTTCTGTCAAGGCAACAGAATGAGGGATTAAAAGGAAGCTGGGACCATCTTGAGACTCTCTGTTTCCTATCTGGGAGACACAGGTGAGGACCAGTGCTGTGGATTTGAGTAAACTAAGATGAAACAGATGTTACACAGTGAAGACTAAGGCTGTGGTGTGAAAGTAGCTCCTGGCCCCTCTGTTTAAACAGCCTCCCAAGGCTCATGCAGCCTGTAGTTTCTTGTGTGCTGTACTTCACAATAAGCAGCAGGGGGCCACGAAACAACAGGAACCAAAGAGCCAACTAATCCCAACGTTCTGCTTACGATAATTCACCAAGGAGGCTCACAAGCTCGATATGAATCTGAAGGTCATTTTCTGTTTGTCTAAGAATAAAAGGCAAACTACTTTCAAAACTGGGGGAATCCATTTCTACTGTCCTAGTTAATAGCCCTTGTAGTGTGGCTGGTTGGGAGGAAGGCAGAAAGGCCAACCCCACTTAGAAATGCTAACGAATAATAAGTGGTATAGAAATGCCTTAAATAAAAATAAACAAACTATAGGTGGAGGCAGAGCCAAGTAATTCTAGTTTTGCCTGCAGAGCTCTACAACGGCAACAATGCGACTAAGGAGGAGGTGGCTGACAAAACTGAACTGAAGGCTGAGAGCAGACTGAGTTGGGGGGGGGGCAGTGCCCCATTTGCCCTGATGAACCAGCCTCCACTGAATCCTTGACCGATAAACTCACCCCACCCCAATGCAATCTATCATGTGGGCATCATGTAAATAGTTTCACTGAACACTTTATATTTTGCGTTCTGTGAAATGCTTCCTTCTCTTTGCCTTGAATTGCCCCCGAGACAGCAAAGCACAAGGGAAGAACTACCTGGCCACTGGGAGGTTATATCCCCTGCTCTGCAGAAACAGGATCCTGGCCATCTGGAAGATCAGTCTGGCCCCACCCATTGGCCAGAGAAGTGGCAGCAGCAGCAATCTCTATCTGCCCTCCCTGCCAGAAAGAACACTCTGCTTCAGTTGCCGTGGGACCATAAAAAAGATTCAAAATGAATAATAGATCACAGACTTTTGATTAATCTTGGGTGAGTGAGTGTCACTTGTCACCTCTGCAAAACCAGACACTGAGTACCCAGAGGCCGCCTAACTAGCCAGCAGGCCAGAATAGCTGTTCTTGGGATTAAACCAAAATAGTGTCAATACTAGGAACAGCTGAGTGCTACAACTTAGAAAACTGATAAACAGCCACCAGCACTTTCCACATCTGAACTGGGCAAAGTTTTCCACGCTGGTTCTGAGAAAGCAGGTACCTTTTCCTTTGGAAGGCTCCTGCCGTGATGACAGGAAGATAAAACTGCAGGGTGGCTTCTAGTGGCTGCAAGCTGTGCAGCTCAGCACGGGGCAAGGTATGTAGACTGCTGCATCTGGACTGTGGCAAAGGTTTCACCTTGGAAAGGAGCAACTTCTGGACAAGCTACCAGTCTCTTCTCTGAAGCTCTGTTCACCACAGACAATGTGCTCCCCTATTCCAGGACAGAAGGTTGCCTCTGCCAGTAGGTCCAACCTCAGCTATCTCTTTATTAGTCCAGTAAAGGCAAGAGAGTTACAAGTTGGGCTCCTGGCCTCTAGAGAGGCAGCAAGAAGCAGATCTGACCAGTTTCCCTGCCCTTCTCCCAGCTAGAAGAACAAATTAAGCACTGGATTAAGAGGAAACAGCTTCTTATTATGGGCCTCTTTGGGGAAAAAAGGGAGGGAAACAACATCAACAATAATCGGAGTATCAAAGATACTGTCATTGCACAATATTTCCCTTTCCCCCACTCCCAGGTCACCGAACCAGAAAAATGTCTACTCAAACCTCTCTGGCACGTTCACGCTCCTCTCTGGGCTCCTCAACCCCCAGCAGGCCCCAATCCGTCAGCTCCTTGCACCAAGCCAAACGCAGGACTCTCAAGAGCAAGAGGTGTGAAGCGATTGCTTGGATGCTTCTGTTAGTGATGGACACGCAGGAAGAGAGATCCAAAACCCGAAGGCTCTTTAGGCTTTCAGCCAGTGAAAGGACCAAGTTGTCCTGCGGAAGAGGGGGGGGGGAATGTTTAGTTGAAGGCTGCATGCACACCACACGTTCAAAGCACATCCCCACTTCCAGCCAGGAATTCTGGGAACTAGTTTACCCCTCACAGAGGCTCCATCTGCACTATACTCTTAAAGCAGTATCATATCACTTTAAACAGTCATGGCTTCCCCCAAAGAATCCTGGGAACTGTAGTTTGTTAAAGGTACTGAGAGTTGTTAGGAGACCCCTCATTCCCATCCCAGAGTTCCCCGGAAGAGGAATTGATTGTGAAACCACTGAGAATCGTAGAGAATTGAGCAACATCTGGTAAAAGGCTGCGAACTAACAAACCAACGCCTTAGAACTTACCCGTAGTAAAGAGCAGAAGGCAACGTTCAGGGAGACCAGTTTGGGCTGTCCCTTCACAGTCCCAAATGCTCTCACCAGCTCACTGCACCTCATGAGGCTGCATTCAGAAACATCCAGACTTTGGAGCTGCTTCAGGTGTGAAATGCCCTGGAAGCCGGCATCGGTGACACGTGGCAGCTTTCCCAGACACAGGTGCTGAAGGGACAGGAGCCGGGAGGTGATGACAAGGACAGCCCGGTCAGACAGCTCAGAGCAGCCACTCAGGTCCAGCACGGTCAGGTGGGGCTGGTGCTGACACAGGATGCTCACAGCCTCATTGGTTAGATCCCGGCAGGCCTGCAGCACCATCTCCTGCAGGCAAAGGTTCTCTACCTGCACCAGGGACTTCATAGCCTGGCTCGAGATACTGGTGCCACTCAAGTTCAAGGCCTTCATGGTGCTGGCTCGCTCCCGGACGAAGTGCAGGAGGTTGCGGAAAGACAGCAAAGCCGAGGAGTTGTAGTTACTAGAGCCGTAGTAAGTGTCCACCTCGAAGGTAATGTGGCAGCGGGCAAGGGAGAGCTTGGCCAGGGATGGACAGCAGCTGGTCAAGCGGTTGAAGGTGAGGTCAGACAAATATCGCACACCGGACAGGTTCAGCTCCTGCAGGTTGATCAATGTTTCTTGGGCTTGCAGGAAGGTCTCCTCTTTGGAGAGCAGGGTCCCGGACATAAAAAGGCTGTTGCAGCCGCTCAGATCCAAGGCTGTGAGGCAGGGGCAAGCAAGAAGGAGCTCACTGAAGTTGGCCTCCGTAAGGCTGCTCCCGTGCAGGCACAAGCTGCGCAGGTGAGGCCCCAGGAAGCTGGCAACGAACTTGATGATGTCCCGGGAAGTGGTGGAGCCGTCCAAGCTGGTCATCCTGACGTTGCACACGTGCCTTCGGGACAGATTCTGGATTGTCCGGAGCGAGGCAGAGGTAGCCGGGATGTTATAAAATATGCTTTCCTGGAATTTGAGAGGGACCACATGGTGAGCTTTTAGATATGGACCAAGAGACATGGCTTCAAATTTTTTTCAGTTAGCAAAAGAAGTACCCTGGGATGGCCAGGGCAAGACACACCTGCTCTTTCTTGACCTAATCAACTTTGCAGGACTATTGTGAGGTTAAAAAAAACCAACATTCACTGCCCTGAGCTCCTTAGAGTAAGGGTCAGAGGAAAGAAAGTATGACAAATCTCTCTCAATCTATTTTTGTTTGTGTTCTTTTGTTGTAGCAGCTCCAGTGTAGCCTGTGTTGTGTATATTGCTCTTGAGGGGACTTGTGGATGGATGAGCCTGTCTTTGAGGAAGGACCATGGCTTAGTGGCAGAGCACCTGCTTTGCATATAGAAGGTCCCAAGAACATAAGAAGAGCCCTGCTGGATTAGGCCTGTGGTCCATCTGGTCCAGCATCCTGTTCTTACAGAGGCCAATCAGATTCCTCTGGGAAGTCTGAAAGCAGAACCTGAGCACAACAGCATCTTCCCTGGCGTGTATTATTTGTTTACCCTACTCTTTTCCGTGCAATTCCCCATCACTTCCTAACTACAAAAGTCTACTGCCATTGTTTTTTAAAAGTGGATCAGTTACAGTACAGTGACAGAATACTTGAATCCACTTTAATGACGCAAACCTAAATTTCCGGTATTGTGCTTGAATCCTTCCCGCAAATTACAGACAGTCTGGAGGTGACCTGTGGCTTAGCATTATGTCTGAAATGGGGCTATGACTCTCCCACAGGGCAGCCCTGTAAGAACAGAGGAAGTATGGGTAAGACACCAAAGCAAGAAGCTGTTACCTGGCGTAAGGTGTCCTGGGCTGCGAAATACCATGTTTGATTCACTAGAGAGGCTTCTTTCCTATCTGCGATGGGCAGGAAACTCAGGATATAAGTGATAATCTGCAAGGAAGAAAGAAAAAAGCCTTGACAATGAGTGCAAGCTTGTTTTTCAACAAAAGGGCACGCCAATTTTAAAAAGGCAATTTAAATTGCAAGGAATAAGAAAGGCCAATTTTAATCAAGATTCCCATGTGTTTTTGTGGACACAAGAGGATACTAATTCAGCTACTGAAACGGTTAAGATGGTGTCAGGGCTGCCTCAAGTCTCAGCTCACAAAAGACCAACGCCTATGTCTTCTTATATGCAAAAGTGTTTATTGCAGTTCATTGTTTGCTTGACATCCTAGGCGCGCAGCCCTACGTCTGCTACGCTTAGACCGCTGAAGTCCCCTCTGAATCCGTCCCTCCCTTCACCAATTTAAGAGGCTTGAGCGGCTCCACCTCTTTCTCACTATACATTTACGCAGGGTACTTCTGACCGCTGGGGTTCCGCCCCTCCTGGATTCCTCTGACGCGGAATCAGACTGCTCTTCCCCCCTCCTGCGGGCTTTGGGACCTGGCCCCTCCTCCGGGCTCCCTGTACTTCCGCGCGCCTCTACATTTGAACTTGGCGCGCGCGCCAAACCTCTAACTTTGCTTTTGACAGTTACACTACTCCCTTCACTGCTCCCCTCCCCTTCTAGGAGGGTGGCTTGCTCTGACCTCCCTCCCTTCTCTGCTGCCGGAGCTGCTTCCCCTGATACACTGGAAACTCCACCCCCTTCACTGCACTCTGGTGGGGAGGCTGGTCCTGACGCCCAGCTGCCACTTTGGGATCCTCCGCTGGCCCCCTGCTCCTGACACATCCCCCCTGGGGCTCCCCTGGCCTTGACCACCGGCGCCCCCTTCTGGGAATCCTCTGATTCGCTGGAAAGACTCATGGAATCTCTTGAGTCATTGTCATCCTCTTCCTCGCTGGCTTGGGATTCATCCCCATCGCTCTCCATCTCCTGCCTACCCTGTGCCTCTCTCCCTGAACCCCTGACAGATGGGTTTGCAGCCTTTGGCCTCCCCAGTACCTTACTTAAAAATATCTGGCCATCCAGCTCATATCCTTTCTGTGCAACATAATTATATCTGATTAGAGAGAAGAAATGGGGATGTAATTGTGAAATTAATGGAGCAAGATCTGGCAAATTACTGGGCGGAACAAAAACATTTCTACAATATGTGGGAAGAAAATATCTGTGCTATTTGGCTGATAGAATCATAGAATTGTAGAGTTGGAAGGGATCCCAAGGGTCATCTAGTTCAACCCTCTGCAGTGTAGGAATCTCAGCTAAAACATCCATCACAGATGGCCATCCAACCTCCAAGGAAGGAGAGACCACAACCTCCTGGGGGAGGCCGTTCCATTGTCAAACAGCTCATACTGTCAGAAAGTTCTTCCTGGTGTTTAGTCAGAATCTCCTTTCTTGTAACTTCGGTTTGAGTCCTACCCTCCAGAGTAGGAGAAAACAAGCTTGCTCCTTCTTCCAATATGCGAGATAAATGAGCAATGTTTTTACCACAGAAAAGGAAGCATTACATCATTTCATTGGCTTATGGAATATGGGAAGTCTGAGGTAAACTGAGTTGAGGAAGAGGTTGGAAGGGAGGTAAAGCTAGTAGGTAAAGTGAAATTTTTATGTATCACTTGGGAAGACAGGTGAACGAATGTCAGTGGAAGAAGCAAAGATCACCAGTGTCAAAGCAATGATTCTTCAACATCAACTTTGTTGGACTGGTCATGTTGTTCGGATGCCTGATTATCGTCTTCCAAAGCAACTACTCTATTCCCAACTTAAGAATGGAAAGCGGAATGCCAGTGGACAACAAAAGAGGTTTAAAGACACTCTCAAGGTAAATCTTAAAAAATGAAGTATAAGCACTGATAATTGGGAAACACTGGCCTGCGAGTGCTCAAAATTCGAGAATAGCCTTTAACAAAGCTGAAGATGCAAAAGGGAGAAACGAGCTAAGAGGAAGGCACGTTTGGCAAATCCTCACCGTGATCAACTCCCGTCCGTAAACCTATTTCCCCACTGTGGAAGGACATGTGGATCCAGAATTGGCCTCCACAGTCACTTACAGACACACTGTTAAGGGCTACAAGTGATCGCCAAAGAAGAAGGGAGGGAGGGCAGGTATTCATCATGAAAGAGCAGACTCTTTTGCCTGCTTGCGTGAAGGAAGTATTCTGCAAGTGGCAATGTCTGCTTTTTCAATTCAACTCATCTATAAAAACCCAGGCATTACTGACCCTTGTCAAGGTCGCATATTATAAGGCTATTAAAGCAGTCAATGATTGACTTGGAGTTGATCGTACAAAATTGAAACAGGAAAACGTGTAATTGCCATCCCTGAAGAAGGCATTTTGACTGGATGCATTGGGCTTTTTGAGTCTATAAATTCTCTTTTATGTACCAGTGAGAAGCCAACATATATTTTGCCCTTCTTTGGATGTTGCTGCGGTTGCCCTCCTTTTCTTTTTAGAAAAGATTAATAATTTTCAGACCAGGGAGTAAAATCTCTTTAATGAGGTGGAAATTGAAAAATCAATTTCTGAGACATGGTGGTTTCTCTGATAAACAGAAATGTTAAAGCTGCCAAACTATTCTGTGTTTTTATCAGTCTGTCTTTTTGTCTCTCGTTCATGCCCCTCTTCTCCCTCCAACCACAAGATTTGCTTACACAAAGCTTGCTTGAACCCAAAAGGATTCCTAGGTGGAAACAACAACAAACTGAAAAACTACCCAAGCTATAATCTGTGTTTTAAAAACCTGTTCCACCTTGAAACTGTGTTGTTGGTATGCTTTTGTCCACAGAGATTATGTTTTTTAAACAATTGTAATTGCCCTCTACACAGCATTTAAAAAACAAAAAACAAAACTTTATTATGAAGTTAAAATAATAGTCCAGTAAAAAATGTAAAATAAAGTAAAATAACAAAAAGAGTAAAAAGAAAAACTGTACATAAGAACCCCTGGGTTCATAGCCGTAATAACATAAAATAATGTACATTCTCAAAAGACTACACAATATATTAGATGTTAAAACAAAAACTGGCCTGATGCAAAGATAATACAAAATGTAAGTTATGGATACCAAATAAAACCATATTTCATCTGGACTTGCCTTCCCCTAACTTACTTGTCATATAAATACCAATTGGCCACCAAATGGCGGTGAAATCAATAGGTTTAGTTGCATCCTGAAATACCCTTAATTTATGAGCTAATTTTCCAGAAATAAGGGTAAATATTACTTTACTAAACCAAATATTTAATGAAAAACGTGAGGATTCCTTCCAGCCCTGGGATATGGCCAAATGAGAAGTTACAAACAGAAAAAATATAAGTAGTTCCCATTTTAAGTACGTATTCAACTCATCAAAAATTGATAAAAGACACCATTTGGGGTCTTTACCTATTAGTTGAGCTATTTTCTTCATCATCTCTTTCTATCCTCTTTAGAGCGACTTCCACCATTCAAATTTTTTACCACACTGGAAAAGTGAACTCCCACTGAAGTCAGTTTTTAAAGGAAACCATACAGGCCAGCCCTTCAAACATCATCATTGTGTTTTGCTATAAGAAAAACTGCTCCTTTTCCCTTATGGAGTACCCAAGAGCCCGTATAGAGTCCTTATGTAGGTTCTCTATCAGTAGGAGAAAATAACAGAGGCCAACCAGAGAATATTGAGAAGCAAAGCAGCTAGTAAGCATGATTTTTATTAACAGTTGCAACAGGGTGCTCACCCCTCAATGCAGGAGGGAGGAGGAACCCAGAACAATGGTGTGCAAGCCCTGTAGCTCAAGACCACCCCCCTCAATACATCATACATACATGACAGAAGGGGCAGCCTATCACAGAAGGGGCGGTCTACAGCAGAATCCTGTCTGGCAGGAAACCTCTTAATGGGTTTACCTGGACAGCCTGGCCATTATTTTGTGATGATACTGAAAATACTTAATTCCTGAGTCCAGGTCACAGACTCACCCTATTCATACACAAATGTGCCCTTAAAGCAGGATTTGTGAGCACAGAGACAATGGGGAGGCTTTTCCTATTTCCATCCAAACTGCAGAGGAATATTTGAGGTCACTGAAAGAGTCAAAATGGTTTAGGACTGTTTTCCTGTACTATTTCAGACATGAGGTTTATATATTTATGTATGTGTTTGCCTGGTACATTTATGAACATTTATTTTATATCTTAGACCTTATAATTCTCATAACAGTTCCAGGAGCATTTGACAATACGGAAGGAACCCTTGAACGCATGCCGTGACATGTTTGCTAAACATTTAAAGGAAAGAATTTCTCATAAATTTCTCACATTCATTTCTACTTGAGCACAGCTAATTCTGTAGTAGAATCTACGGAAGCTGGTCATGTTTTATTGGATGAGTTTTAGTTACTAAGACCTCAGGCTGTGGACATGCTGCTGTGAGACATACAGCAGCTGCTGGTTGGCTCGTTCCTTGCCCATTATGGCTAATAACATCTAGTGGTTAATTGCTTTTTACAAGAAAGGGCAGCCTCAGTCGCCTTGAAATAAGTGGCTGTGAGGATATTACTGCAAAAGTCATCCTTGGGTCCTGAGGGCTGCAGTAACTATAAGCCAGTCCCTAATACAGACCTCCTTCTTGGGCAAGGTACCTGGTACTCAAATAGGTGGTGAGTATTCGACACCAGGTATCCTTGAGATTACTGATGTAGACCTCTTTTAATCTTGTTCCAGAACTGGCACAGAAAGACACCTTGTTGTGCTTCTAGCAGAATAGCATTACTACCCCTCTGGAATTTATCCCAGAAATGGCTCCTTGATATTGAGAGCTATATCTACATAAAATCTGTATCTTCTTGTCCAGGTTTTTCCAAATGAGTTCACATGCAGGAGGGAGTGCGGGTAAGAAATAAGTGACTTCCTCAAATGCATGAACTTGTCCTAAGTTAGGTTTGCTGTCCTTCTCTACTGATCCAACAACCTTTTCCCTGATCTAAGCTCAGTTCACTACAATTTATTTCCTTAAAACCAAGGATCCCTACAAAACTGACTCTGGCAATCATTCGCCTCCCCTTTCCAACCACACTGATTTAATAGGCATTTAATAAGTTTAGGTACTAGTTTTTCACTGTGAATACCAATTGCTGGAGCACGTCTAATTTGCATAGGTGATAAGGTCTTCTGCTTTTTACTATCGGTGGCAAATCCAGTCTACTAAATGTATGTACAGTACACTGAATTTGAGAAGGGGTGTGTGTTAAAACAGTCAGTCTTTCTTGCAGCCACACCTATGAATAAAGGACTGGGGGGTGGGGTGTATTCCCTATCATGCACTTCCACAACCATAATCTATCTGTAGGAAATACTGGAGCATCAAACCTGGTCCAAAGCTTTGCTTGAACACATTGTGTTATTAATATATGTCTCCATGCCAAGTAAATTATTTTCTTGCCACTACAAATGAAGTGGGATTTGCACCCCAAAATAACCATGGGGCGACACCCTAGGCCATAGATCTCCTGTGATAGACATGAAAAGGAGCATCATAGTTGAGAGTACTGTACTGCAGTTTGTGGCCCAGGCAGAATACTAGAGTATCCCAGAGGTAATAGTCTCCAAGTGGCAGGGATGTATGACTCAGGATGGTTCAAATCTTACTTTGGGGAAATTTTGGTTCCTTATTGAAGCTGCTTCTCACGCACACAGAACCACATTATTTGAATACTGTTCAAGTGGAAAATTCAGGGGGAAAACAAATTCTTTCGTTTTGCAGCACCCTGCACAGCACTGAGTGGCTGGTACTTTTGACCATCCTGAAACCACTTCCTTGGAGCAGCTTTTCTACGTTAATTAAAAATCAAACAATCTTGTGGTATCTTTTAAAGCTTCTGAACAACGGTTTACAACAGATAAGCTGCGGGCTAGGTACCTGAAGAGCAACAAGAACAACATGCAGAAGATGCCAGATTAAAGTCCAGGCATCATCAGAGAGGGCTGGGAAAGATCCGCCTCTGCTCCTAGGGAACTACTGCCAGTCTGTGCAGACAATACTGAGCTACATGGACAGCAGTTCTCTGACTCGGCGTAAGGCAGCCTCCCAGATTACTAATAAATAAAACCGCCAGGCAAAGGGGAAGCTATTAAAGAGGCAAGTATTCCATATGACAAATGAGAGGGCGTGTGTGAAGCCGAGTACCAGGCAGGAGGAAAACAATTACGCGCCGACACGTGTTTGTAGACATGTCTGCGCGCACCAACGCGTGTTGAGTTAGGACCTGCGCCCCCCTCCAATCCCCTTGCAAAGCTGGTGCGATCGTTAGTAGCAGCCTCTTTTCTTCCCCTGCTCCTTACCTCCATAGGCAGCTCGCATGCCTCCATAGCTCCCCGGAGCTCGACCTTGCGGGAAAACCAGAAAACAAAAGTACAGTAAAGCCGGCAGGTCAACGGCCAGGCCACGCCCCCATTCCTTCTCTCAGCCCCGCCCCTTTCCCCTCAGCTTCCCCGTCTCTCCATGACGACGGCGCGATGCTTTTCGGGAGTTGTAGTCTTCCAATGGACAGACGTTTGTTGTCCGCGTCTGGCCCGAGCGATGACGTAGTGATCCCTGTGCCGGAAGTCTTGCTGTGCTGACTTGGTGGGTTTTCTGCCTGCCTGTCGTTGGGACTCGCCGTAGAGCCACCATGGCGGTGAGTGAAGGGGCCCGAGCGTGGAGAGCTTTCGAGCGTGTGGGGTGGGGATTATTGTGCGCGGGGAGCCAAGCCTGGTACGGATCGGGGCCGGAAGAAGGTTGTGGGTTCTCTCGGGCTAAATCATACTTAGAGGAGACCCGTTGGGATCAATGGAGTTGACTTCATATGTGTCAGCTGGTGTATGTCATGTGCGACGTATTCGGATGCAGCCCTCGATATTTTTACACCCCCATTCAGGATCAGCTTTCATCTCTGCATATTTCCCCCTTTCCTGTGCAGTTTTATTTTATTTTTATTTTTTAACGTGGTGCCAGCTATGTGGCACTTCACAAAGAACTGGCATGACAGGCCCGCCCCCAAATTTGCATGCAATTTTAAAAGACACATGGAAACAAGCGAAGACGGGGTGGGGGGGAATAGAGGTATAAGTAGAAAGAGGAAGAATATGTGATTACTCCTGTTATATGTACAGTACTTTAATAGGCTTAAGGTTGTAACTGGGCAGCAAGGTGTAGTAAATAAAGCTGCTGAGAAACCTTTTGGAATTGTTGGAACCTAGACTACTTAAGGTAAATATTCTCTCCCACTTTATTATTACAATTCTGTAAATTGTAATTGTTAAGTTGTGGGTGAACATATCAGACGACACAGCGATTCTTCAAAGCAGCTCTTTATTCATAAGCTGGAATAGAACTGAACTGAACAGCTAACAGCTCAGCCGGCCTGCTTTTATAGGCAGCCGGCTGTCAACATTGTAGCAACAACAACCCAGGGTTTCCCGCCTAAAGTAACTGACGTGGACCTGAGTGAAAACTATATACATGATACTCCTGGTGGCCAGGGTGAGAACTTCAATACATAACAGTAATAATTGCATATTCTTCGTTTATTTACCCCGTCTCCATTTCGGAACACTGCCACTTCAGTTTTAGCTTTTGTGCTGGTTCTACTCTACTCTGCGATTCAGAAGTCCAGAGTGTTGGGTTTGGGTAGGAGTCACCTGGATTCAAATCTCAGATGAACTGGACAGATTGAACTATTTCACAACCTTGTTGTGCAAGAGAGAAAATAACTCACACAGGCTCTTGTGAAAGATCAGAAAATAAGGGTAATTCTTTTTTTTTTTTATGAACTTCCTTGATACTGGCTTATTCAGCACATTTAGCATTTGACTCAATCCCTATTTTTCTATTTTTTCAGCCGAAGGGAAAGGTGGGAACCAAAGGTAAAAAGCAGATATTTGAAGAAAACAAGGATACCCTCAAGTTCTACCTGCGGATCATCTTGGGAGCTAATGTAAGTGTGTGATGCTCTGTGTGTATAGATTCTATACAGTGGACAAGGCCAGCCTGGATATTTTGGGCAGAAAGTATTTGCAGTTCTAAAAAACAAACAACCTTTAGTTCTGAATAGCTTATCTGCTGGGTGTCTTTCCCTCCCTTTTTACTTTGTGCAAGGCCCAAAGAAGTAAGAACTGATACCTCACATGCTGCAAGCTGTGAGATACCACTTCTAAGACTAAAATGTCAGGGTGGGAGAGATAAGGGGAACAGATATATGGGTGAGCACTGGATTTGGACTACTGCCCATCCTTGCCCTACGTAACATGGAGTTCAAGAGCCTGTATTGCTGCTGGAAAGCCAGTCTCCTTTTCTTTTTGATTGACAGTTCAGTTTCTTCATGGAAAGGATTATCAGCCTGCCCCCCCCCCCCGAAAAAACCCCTTCTGGTAAAGCTTGCATGTGGCAGATCCTGCCTACCTGGGGTGCTTGAGACTAGGTGATGGTTGGAGGCAGTGTGATTTAGTGATAATCAGGGCCAGAACCTAGGAAATTCAGAATTCAATCCCTGAACTGAGCCAAGCAACATGTTCAGCATGCAGCTTTTTATTACTGCAAAAAGCAGTCAGAGGGCAGGGGATGTGCATGATCAGAACTGTGGGACAACGGGGTTTAACTATTCTGTCTTAGGCTCCAGTCCAAACAAACCAGCCTCCTGTCACTGCCTCTCTGCCCCCCACCTTACCCTCTGCCCTGAAGCTGCTGTTTGCCATGGAAATGAAGCTGTTGAATATTTGATTTGTTGCATTTCTATCCTGCTTTTCATTCAAATGAATCTCAAAGCGCCTTACAAACAATAAATAACAATAACATAATAGAGCATGGATAGGCAAACTAAGGCTCGGGGGCTGGATCTGGGCCAATCGCCTTCTAAATCTGGCCAGCGGATGGTCCGGGAGTCAGCGTGTTTTTACATGAGTAGAATGTGTGCTTTTATTTAAAATGCATCCTTGGGTTATTTGTGGGGCATAGGAATTCGTTCAATTCCACCCCCCAAATATATAGTCCGGCTCCCCACAAAGTCTGAGGGACAGTGGACCAGCCCCCTGCTGAAAAAGTTTGCTGACCTTTGTAATAGAACATCACAAATACAGCATAAATCATATTAATTAGCAAATCATTAATAAAACAATTACCACCTGTAAAACACTATTAACCAAACAGAACTAAAAAGTAAGGTAAACATCATGATTGCAGCAAAAGTCATGTTATATGATTAACAAATCAATATGACATTTAGAATCTATAAAACAATATTAACAACATTAACAAAATAGCAACTAAAAAATAATAAGCTAGGCATTGTTAACTTCATATACACATACTGCACACCCCATGACTCATAATCTTTCACTCTGTTCAGTTCATTAAAATACACATGTTGTTGGTGTCAATAGGAGATCTTCTGCCAGAGCAAAGGACAGCATTGGAAGGGTGGCTTCTGGTGGGACTATGGCACAAGGGTAAATAATAAAAGCAGACCAGAAACCAAAAGCCTTTTTATGCCACAGTCCCAATCCTGAAGCTGCTGTTTACATTATTGTTTTTAAAATGCACATTATGTCCAAACCATTTGTTTTTAACACACAGTCAATCACTGGGCCGATCAGAAGGGAGGTTGGAGATGATGCTTTGCCCATTTCACAGGGTTGGTTTGTTTTTTATTGGAATAACCAGGGAGAGGAAGGTGGAATGGATATACACTGTCCTGAGCCCTTTCAGATCCTATCTTAACTATTCTGTTCTTCTAAAGTAGCTACTCCATAGGCCTTTGCTTGTCATTCTTTCTAAAAAAAACAAAAACAACCCTTAGCTATCAATAGCAACAAGACAGCCTGTGCCCTTATCTGTCTGGAAGGGAAGGAACTTAGTATGAAGTTGTCACTTCATAAACTGCTGTGCCTGAAGATGGAACGGTGGGTTTGGGTTTCACCAGTGTGGCTTCATTCAGATTTAGATCAGACTAGTGGAACCTGCAATAAAACTTTGTAGTGTGGAGTGTTCCCAGTTCATTCTCTCTCCTTTCCCACTCCCCCACCCCAGTTTTTCCCTTCCTGTCCCAAACAGTCAGAAAGTATTCCATAGCTCACACAGCACTCATTGGGCTGTTCTGTGGGTTTCTCTTCCACCCCAGCTTTGTTTTCTAATGGTTTTTTGTGTGCTTCTGAAAAAGTTGGGGTTCCCCCTAGTCTGTTGCCTCCTCTCTCTTGTGTGTCCACAGTGTTGTTTGGGCTGCAATGGCACTCACTTCCAGAACTTATTTATACTACATTCATGTTTTTGATGCAAGAAGATTCAAAATTATTCTTTGTGTCTTCCCTTTTATGTGATTTCTGACATTTGCTTCCCTTAATTTCAGGCAATTTATGGAATTGTTAACTTTGTGGTCTTCTATGCAACAGCCACTGCCTGGAGTTGGGTGAGTTCAAAATGTCTGGAGGGAACTACGTTGGGGAAGGTGGTATACTCTGATAGTATAAATTGTCATCTTCTGAGGGAAGTGCAATCCAAAACCATGTTGTCTCCCAGCCCCTGAAAATAATGGAATTTATACCAACTTAGTAAAAATACTGTATCATTACCATATGAAGCCATATACTGAGTTAGAAGATTGAGCCCATCTAGCTCAGTATTGTGTTAGCAGCACCTATGTGACCTCTCTGAGGTACAAGCCTGGTCAGTGTGTATTGAGGTCTTCGGCTGCCCAGATGACAAGACCCCCATCTCAGCCTTGCTGATGTGGTCCAAAGGAAAGCAGAGCAATGTATTTGGTGCCCGCTTGGCTGCAAGAGTTGCCAGAAGGAGGCATACAAGGCACCATCCAACCATTTTAGGGACTTTATTCTGGATTTGTGTAGTGTTTACTCCTTGGCCTTTTCTTCTCCCAAAGATACCCCACAAGGCAGCAGAAGTTTAGGATCAGTTTTCCTTCACTTAGATGGACTACCTTCCCAGGTTGACTAGCCCCATCTGCCCCTTACTTCCCTCTACTACAGCATGCTCACAAACCACCTTCTTGACCGTAAAAAGCCATCTAAGCCAGTGGCAATCACCGCATCTTTTGACACTGATGCAAGTTAAGTGTGCATGTGTGAGGAGGCAGTTTGTCCAGAATCTTCTGCCATTCAGTTTTTTCACTTTTTCCATGCTGTGCATAATTTTATAAAGTTTTTATCATGTCCTCCTCTTCTCCTCACCCCACCATGTCCTTCATTCCTAAGTTGAGCAAAAGCTGGACAGATGCTGTAGTTGAAAGAGTGCTACAATGTCCCTTTTGTCTCTACAGTTCTGTGGTTCTATGACTTTAAAAGGCTCCAAATGCTTTAGTCCAGGAATGGCTAACCTGTCACACTACAGATGTTTTTGGACTCCCAATTCCCAGCGCCACACCAAGCATAGCCAGTGGTGTCAGGGATGATGAGAGTACCATCTGGGTAACTTTACCTTGCTGATTTTTGTCTTCTCCTTGTAGATTGCATTTGTGTTCAGTTTGATGATCTACGGGGCCAGTTACCGCTCAATGAGCTCCATGGCAAAGCCTTCTTTTGCGGATGACGGCAGCCTTGCGGATGGTGGAATTGACCTGAATATGGAGCAGGGGATGGCAGAGTGAGTGTCTACACTACACAAGTCCAGGTGAGCAGGATCTGCTGCCTGAGTGCATACACAGATCTCCTTCACCCCTGAGCAGGAATCATATAAAGGTACTGGTGTCTTTGGGGAGCCATTGGCTGCTTCTCAGAGCTTTGTTCTCCAGCTCCTTCACTGAGAAACTGCGGGAAACTTCCTCCTTGTGTACACCCAGTGGTTAAGAAAAATGAAGTTCCTAAGTCCTTCCTTCTCACTGGTCCCTAAAATACGTTGCCGTTCTCACTCCTTGTCCTTTCTGCCGTTTGTCATCCCAGTTGGTGCAAACAAGTTACAAATAACTTTAGAAACCTGAATGGACTTGATGATGCTTAATATAGATTAAAAAGTATATGATGGTCGTTGATTGTAAAAATGAAGATTTGAATTTCCTCTAAGGAGCTCAGTTATGCACTTAGAACTGGGATTTATGAGCTGTGGGATAGTAGATTTATTCAGATTCAAAGTTCACATTTTCCTTGGCTTTTCTCAGAAAATATTATACCCGATGCCTTTGTTGCCGCGGTACTTCCAGCATCAGTGGCATCGCTAGAGGCTACTGAGAAAGACAGCAAAGCAGAGTGGCCGCTTAAGGGATCTTGCTGTGTTTAGGGAGGTGAAGCCAAGAGGAGCAGCATTTTGCTCCCTAGTGAGCAATAAGGTTTTTGAATTGTTATCCCTATAGATTAGGCGAGTGAACCTTATGCGCCGGCATCGAATAGTCATATTTCATGTTGTTTTTAACCAGGCTATTTCTGGAACACACACAGAGAGACCACCACCACTCCCATGCCATCCCTGCCTGCAGCCCCTCTCCTCCAGTCTCCAGACTCTATGGCAGAGATAGTTTTCTGTAGCTCTTCCTGCTAGTGAAAGGTTTTGGGACCACAGGGCTAGGCAAGGCTTTTATGCTCTGAACCAGTAAACACCAGCTTCTTCTTGTTTATCCTCAGGCATCTGAAGGATGTGATCTTGCTTACAGCCATAATCCAAGTCCTCAGCTGTTTTTCCCTCTATGTGTGGTACTTTTGGCTCTTGGTGAGTCTTTCTAGCTCCATTGTTTGGTACATAATGAACCTCTAACTTTCCTTTTCCACTGTGTCTGCAGATCCCAGCCGCTACCTGCCTGGATCAACCTTATACTCTTATCTGTGTTCAAAACAATGTTTTATTCTTCTTCCTTTTTTTGGAAATGAATAATTGGGAGAGGACTGTAAAAGGTCATTTCTGCAAAGAGGTAGTCTGTAAATGCCATGTCTGCTGTTGGAGGCAATAAAGCTCAGAATACCAGTTTGCTGGGAATTTTTGGTGCAGGTGTCTGGTTCACCTGTGAGAGCAGCATGCTGGACTAGACGGGCCTTTGGCTTGATCCAACATCTTACGATGTTTGAATAAAAGTCATAGTTTTTCTCCATATTCCAGGTTCAAGGAGAAATGTTGAATCAACTGCCCTTCTAATGCTGTCCTATAGAGATTAAGGGGTAGCTTTGAGAAATGAGAATTAATGTCAGGCTTCTCAATCTTGTTAAAGAAGTTCACGCTTATGGAAAAACTGGGTTATGAAATAAGAGTGAGAAGAAAAAACACAATGATAAATAACTTTTACTTTATTTGGTCAGACTTCATTTTGCATGCAATGACAAAGGAACATGGCTTCAGACTACCTATTATTTGTAGCAACTAATAGAATACCACGCTGGTATGAAAATAGTTATTGGTATATATATATATATTGTAACTTGGGTTGCTGCATACCTGAAGGATCTGTAAAAAAAAGATCTTTGCCTCTATCTCTTTTTTTGCAGGCTCCGGGTCGAGCACTCTATCTCCTCTGGGTTAACATCCTAGGGCCTTGGCTCACTGCAGATTCTTCAGCCGCCAACCAGGAGCCCAACGAAAAGAAGCAGCGTCGGCAGGAACGCCGTCAGATGAAGCGTTTTTAGTTGTGCTCATGGAAATAGATATCATGCCACCTGTTGTCTCCGTGTGGCTGCTTATCAGGGATGTGATTTCTTTTTAACCAATCAGAAACGTCAGGGGTTTCTTCTCTCTGCTGACCCTCCCCTTCTGTGACAGCAGTTCACTATAAGGCAGGGCTGTGGAATCTGTGTCTCCCCCCAGTTGCTGCCAAATTCCATCTCCCCATATTCCTGACCATCGGCCATGCTGCCTGGGATTGATGGTATTTGGAGGCTCACAGCACCTGGAGGGTCACAGCTTCTCCATCTGCGCTATAAGGCTCAATTGTTTCAGGGGAAGTGTCACCAGGCAGATATTTGGCCTTCATCTGCTTTGTGGCAAGTGGGGAGGGGACCTCTTGGATGTCGGAGGTGTGTAAATATCTTTATAAAGTGATGCTGTAATATGAATCTAAGGGTGGAGGCACTGCAGAGTTTTAAGAAATGGTTCATTAAAAAAACCCAAAAGGCTATAAGAGTCTATGAGAGTGCTTGTGGCTGAAGTTGATTTTATATCATGACAACTTGTACCTTTCACATTTGTTGACCCATTTCTAAGTGGGCACAGCAAATAAAACCAAAATACAAAACAAGCAATAAACTTCAACAGTCAAAACAATAATTAAAGCCAGAGTTCACAAAAGATCGCATCCTATTTAAGGCAAAGAGAATAAGAGGCTAGTTGAGGTGTTTGAAAGAAGTTCTCATTTAAATCCTGGTGTATTTTTATTTTTAAACTGGCAGGTAGGAACCTCTGGCCGAAAGGTGGTGTGTAAGTACAGTGGTGCCTCGCAAGACGAAATTAATCCGTTCCATGAGAGTCTTCGTCTAGCGGTTTTTTCGTCTTGCGAAGCAAGCCCATTGACGGATTAGCGCTATTAGCGCTATCAGCGGTTTAGCGGCTATTAAAGGCTTAAAGGCTTAGGGGATTAGCTGCTAAAAGGCTATTAAAAGGCTATTAAAGGCTTAGCAGATTAGATAAAGGGGGAAAGCGAAAAAAAATCTCAAGACTCGCAAGATATTTTCGTCTTGCGAAGCAAGCCCATAGGGGAATTCGTCCTGCGAAGCAACTTCAAAACGGAAAACCCTTTCGTCTAGCGGTTTTTCCGTCTTGCGAGGCATTCGTCTTGCGGGGCACCACTGTATTTCATACGCAATTGTACACCTCTCTGTCCTCTATAACAACAAAGCTGAATTGATGAGGTTAGATGGGCCTCCCTTTCCAGTGAATTTCCGAAACCTAGCACCACTACTCAAAAGACCCTGCACTGGCTTCTTGTGAATCTGACGTCCTTTGATGAAGGAGCTGGAAATCCCTTTTTCAAATCTTTGTGAGTTGTGGATTTCTAGCACTCCTGGAAATGTATTTATTCATTGGCACAAGGCTATTAGAGCCTCCTTGGAAATAGGGACAGGGGGGCAAGTTTAATGGCAAGGACCAGCGGTATCTCCAAGCAAGGAAGAGGAAGGATGGTTGGAAGGAAGACAGGGAACAAGATTGGGCCTGGGGTTGAAGCTGCTTCCTGCAGCGGGAGGGGACAGAGGGCTGATAGCCTCCCCCTTAAAATAAACCAGCAACAACAGAAGGTGGAGGTGACCTCCTGCTGGTTCTCCACTTCAGCTTCATAGGAATGTCTTCAGGGGGCTTTGCTTAGGGAGAGGCACTTAGTATACCTTACTGGTGGCAATTCAGGGCAGAGTGGTGAGGGGAGCTGTTTTGCAAGAGGACATGGGCAGGATGGATGAAAGCCTCACAGAAGTAGCACCCCACCTTCCCACAGCAGAAATATTAGCACATAGCCCTGCATCTGGAAGACAACAACTGGAACAAACCATGCTAGGGCATGTTGACCCACTACCCCCAGCTCGCTGCTCCACCCCCAGCCCCAGCTGACTGGAGTGTGAGGCCAAGTTGCTTGAGGGCATTGGAGACATCAGACGCTTCCTGCGCTCAGCCAAACTGATCTCCATCAGCTGTCCTGCAGGAAGGATTTCAGGAGAGGCAGCAAAGACCACCTCATGGCCTGCTCTTACTGAACTTTTTCCATCCTTGGCCAAATAAGATCTATGATCAACTGCCCTGTGAGAAATATCCTGGTGACTTTTTAATGTTCATTGTAATCTGCCTTGGACGGATTTGTATCCCGAAGGGCAGGATGCAATTTAGTTAGTTAGTTAAATAAATAAGATGCTGAGAACAGGAGGGAGAAAAGCATTGAGGTGCTCCATTACCCTGAAAATACGATCAGAATGAACAGGAAGTAGCGATTTGGGGAGGGTGCACTCTCACATTATGGGGGTCTGCAGGAATTTTTCTGGGGTTGTGGTGGAGCAGAAGTAAAACAAATGAAAAGGGGAGAGTGGCCTGATTTCTCACAAAACATGAGAATACTGCCTGAACATTTTGTCTCGTATCTTACATGTGCTAGAAACACTCTTAAAAAAAAAAGCTAGGAATGGGGTGGGGGTTCATCCCCCCCATGACCCAAATTGGAAGTAGCATCTGGTTAGAAAAGGAAAGGGGAACATTGAAGATAAAGAAGAAAGGATGACGTCTGTTCCTTAAAATACAACTTCCCTTGTCTGTTGTCTGATTAAAGCTTGCTAGCCCCGTTCAGTGTCTTCCCTTCAGTACCCTCCCCTTCTTCAAGGAAAATACGTACTCCATTATTTCTCTCTGTATATTTCAACTTCTAAATGGGATTTTTATTTTGAAGGCTGGATAGGGTGTGGTCTTGCACAGCTTCCACATCGTCATAGACCAGAAAGGGAGTGGCAACCCACTTGTTTTTAAATATTTTACACATTAGGTTTCTTCCAGTGTTTTGGATTTACTCCAGTAGCTCTATTTAGAGATTTCTTCATGTTTCCCAGCCAGTCAGTTTCCATCAGTGCTGCTGCCTCAAGAGAGAGAATGGAGTCCAGTACAGCCTAAGTGAAAGAAATGCAGTAATCCAAGAGGGAAGTTGTTGGGTTTTTTCTTCATTTGGGGCCTTTTCTGCTGAAGGTATGCAAGCTTTTGCATTTGACAGAGTGTCCTGGTTTTCAGGCAAAAACGAAGCGTCTGTGTGTATAACCTTACTGGAGCCACAATGGAAGCTTTTTAGTCATTTAATGTAAGTACAACCTTCAGAATAAATTGTTGAGATAATATGGAACTCTAAAAGCCACTTCTATTGCCTAGGGAAATTGTTCTTTAAAAAAGAAGTTTAAATTCAACATGTTTGTAGATACCAGGTTTTTGAAATCATTTTCTGATTTTGTACAAAAGGAACAGAAACAAGTATTTTGAGACAGTATTCACACGTGTTGTGTACATGTGGATAACATTCATATATCTACTCTTACCAAATAAGTATTCAGTTTGTAAGAAAAGAAGTGCTAGAGCACAGGTCAGCAACCAGCACTCCAAGGGGCTAGAAGCAGCCCCCAATCTCATTTTATGCAGCGTCCATCACCTGAAACTACCCTATTCTGCTTCATCAGAGTTCCTTCCTGTTCTGTTCCTCATTTTTCTTGTTTAAGTGAGTTCCCTCTCCATTTTTTTCTATGTAGTTTGAGAACAATTGCATCATTATTTTATTTGATAAACATAAATTGATTTTTTAACAACTTTCCCCCTGGTTGTAGGGAAAGGATGATTTTCCTTAGCTATCTGAAAACAAGCTGGTATGCTTCTACCATACCTGTTTGTATAGCACACTAAAGTAAAAAAGAAATACAGTGCAGTATTGTGGTTAGAGCAGGCATCTCCAAACTCGGCCCTCCAGATGTTTTGGGACTACAGTTCCTATCATCCCTGACCACTGGTCCTGTTAGCTAGGGATGATGGGCGTTGTAGTCCCAAAACAGCTGGAGGGCCGAGTTTGGGGATGCCTGGGTTAGAGTGTCAGAGTAGGACCTGGGAGACCAAATCCGTCCTTGACCATGAAGCTCACTGAGAGACCTTGGGCCAGTTACTCTCATCCTCACCTACCCCACGGGGTTGTGGGAATTGGAGGCGGAAAACTGTGTCTTCCACCTTGAGCTACTTGAAGGAAGACGTGGGATACAAATGCAAGAAATAATAACACAAAATATAAACAAACTACTAAAAAGTATATATTCCAACTTTAAAAAACCCCACCCCACAGCCATATGACTGACAACTACGTGCTGTGTGAGGAAGCATTTTCTTTTGGGTCTCCTGAATCTTCAGACACTCTGCCTTCATTGCATGTCCAGGAGTTCTAATATTATGAGCAGGAGAAGAAACTTCTCTTTTGGCACTTTTGGTCTGGAGTTGGTGTGCCTTTTGCTTCAAGCTGGAGGCGTTGGTCCCCTCTGTATTTGAAACGAGATTTGTGTGGGGCTGTGAGGAACGAACGAGTCTTCTTTCGAAGTGAGAAGCCTGATAAGGAGCCCGTTGTCCTTCGAGGAGCATTTCGGGTGCCAAAAAAAATGAAGCCGCCGGATACGCCCGTGTTTTCGCGGCGAGAGCTGCAGTACCCTGTGCCTGCCAGGAGGGGGCGGGCTACCTGGGGAAACTGCGAGAGGCAGGGAGAGAGAGGCGGGGCGGGGCGGGGCTTGGAAGGATGGGGGAGGAGTCGGGCCGCTGCCCTTGCTGTCGCCATGGAGACGGGCCCCGCGGCCTGACCCGCGCCGAGGAGCCTTTGGTCCAGCAGGGCCTGCCCTGAGGAAGGGGGCCCCTCAGCGCCCTCCCGATCCCGGGCATGAGGCGGGTGTGTGGCCGCCCGGAACCGCCACTGAGCTGGGGGGGGAAGGTGAGGAGGACGGACTCGGGCCCCCCTTCCCCTGGTGGGTGGGGGTTGGATTTATACAGCCGCCGGAGTGAGGCCTTTCCCGTCGGGGGGAGAGGGGGGATCGTGGACTTATGGGGTGCTCGTGGTTTTCCACGAACCTCTATGGAAGTATTTTTTGGGATGGAGGAAGGGACTCTGTGCCATCACCGGCGTCTTGGCTTGAGAAGAGCTGGTCTCTCTCTGGCTGTCGAGTTTAAATCTATTTTAATTTTTATTAAATCTACCTCTGTTTAATTAGTGCTGGAATTATACTAAACGTTCTACGGAAGTGAATGGCAAGCACGATCCTGTACACGTTTACTCGGAAGTTATGCAGGCAGTTATCTGTGCACACTTTCCTAGGAGTGAGCCCCTTTGATTGGGACACACAGTAGTATAAGTTTTTTTTTTTTTAATGCTTGTGGGACTTTGAAGACTTAACAAATTTATTATGGCCATAAGCCTTCCTGGACTACAGTCCACTTCATCAGATGTATGAAGTCTTAGTTATCCCGTGTTACAGGTATAGTTATACACTGGGTGCTTCCAGACAACCTGTTTATTATTCAGTGTTCAGACATCCAGATTTATTTTCAGGGAGGCTAGACACTTTCAGCCATAGATTTTCAACCTTTTTGAGTCCATGGCTCTCTTGATGTTTAACTGAGCTTCCTGGGCATGGCTGGACCGCGTAGCATGTTGAGAACTGAAAATGCAAGTTTTCCATTATATGTGCTTTCCTTCCACTGACTGGCTTTTTCTTAAATCCTATTTGAGACATTTGGACAGTTGTGATTTATGAACTGGCACTTTAATTTCTCCATATTAGTAGCCTCTGAACATCTCCTGATATACTACACCTAATTTTCTAAGGCATGGGCCGCTGTTTCTCTGAAAGGTACCTCAGTTTTCACTTTTCCGAACTCGGAAAGGCATGTGGAAAAATAACTCCCCTTCTTCCCAGCTTGGAGACAATATGTTTGCTTCCAGTTCTAACCAACCAGATCACTATATTTCTTTCCTCAATTAGCCTTTGATAATTCCGATAACTTTTAAACACTCACTCACCAGCTAGTTCTTACTAAGGTGGTAGACAGTGTTTGAAACGCTCATTGTTTTAGGTGCATTTTGCAACTTGGACTTTCATTAGCATGAGCAGTTTCTGAGCTCTGGGCGCAGTACTGCACCTAAAATTTCAGAATAAGACTGCAGTGTGGAAGCAAAGGAGGACTTTTTTGTGCCTCCCCACTTCCAGCTACTCTCTGAAGACTGGAGAAGAGACCCTCTTAAGAATATTAGGGTGGTGGACAGGGGAAGGACTAGACCATGTGAAAAAATGGAACATAATATTTTAGCTGTAGCACATTCATTTTCAGCAGTGTATTCTTGTTATTAAAAAAGCGCACATAGACATTCCGTTGTTGTTCCCATAACCTAGGTTTAAGGTTCCATTTAGCTCCTAGCTTTCATATCTCAGTTTCTAACACTAGTGGTAGACCTGTGTCTGGGCTGTACCACTTCAGACTGTGGGGATGCTCACATAACTGAATGGTCTTTTGTACAAAAAGTGTTCCCTATGTAGAAAACTAGCTTGTCTAGGAGAAGATGAGGCAAGAATCATTTTGCTTGACATAAAGGGTAATAGTGATAGTTAGAGTAGACCCATTGAGATTAATGGCTCTCTTCTGATTTAGCTGGACTGGGGGACATTCCATTATATGAGTGCCCCCCTACTTGGACAGACTGAAATTGTGCAGCCTAGACAAAGGTTTACCATTTAAGTGAGAACTAGATTGTAGTATTGTTACATGTCACCCCAATCTCTGAGCAGTATGAGATTCCAGAGGTTCCAGTTGCTTACTCAGGGTTCATGTTTCCTTTGGAATAAGGTTCGGCAGAGACTGTGGTGTCTTTATGATGTATGGTTTGGTTGACATCCATCTGTCTCGGGAGACAATAGAAGAGTACACTTTTGGGGGTGAAGTCAAACTGTTGGAGAGTTACAGTGCCTGCTGTGGCTGTAGAGACCAATAGGGGAGAGACATGTTTTGTTGCAGCTGGGGCAGATGAAGGCATCTGGTTGTTCTGATGCAAGTGTACCAAGGCATTTCTTCTTTCTGCCCTCCTCCCAGTGGTCATTTGTCCTCTGGTCACTACTGTGGATATACAACCTCTGACTGACTGCTATATGGTTTATTTACACATATATACAACCTGAGTGTATGATGAGGGTGGTCACAGCATTAGCAACCCAATTTGGTCTTGCTTCTCCTATAGCATTGGATTCAAATGAAAATCAGGCACCCCCCCCCACCTCTCTCTTACTTAACAGCCTACTGCTTTTACACATCTAGCTCACATCACTCAACTATCAACTCTGGCGTTTGTCTTTCTAACTATCAGCAAGTTGAGGGAAATCATAGTGTGATTGATGCTGTGTAAATTCCTGAACCCTCGGGTACAATGTAAGACTTGACTAGGTATGGGAGCTTCTGTTAAGTGCTGTCTAGCAGAGCTATAGATTTATATATTTTTGTCTCCTTAATCATCTGCTGTGATTCATAATAATATGAATGTTTACAACACTTTTTTTTAATCCTCACAACAATCCTGTAAAACAGTCTAATATTACTATCCCTGTTTTCCAAATGAAGAAGTCTGGATCAGAAAAAATAGTGGCTTCCCTAAACCCATCTAGTGCGTACATGATAGAGATCAGATTTTAACTAGAGACATCCAGACTTCACAAGCTTTCTGTGGTTGCCATTTGAGACTGTTGCTCTTTCAAAAAATGTTTGCAATCCCTGACCACGAAAATTTGGGTGTTGTGTATTTGAGTATTGTGAGCACATGTGTGCAGTCCTCGTGTTGTTGTGTGTATTTATAAGAAAGTGTCTAGGAGATCTGGCAATACACTAGTGTTGTGTTCCCTAGGGAGTGGCATCAAAAGTCACTCCTCTGCCAATGCATAAAATCAGTTGCTTTAGCCTCTGCTTAAAAAAAAACAAAAAACCTCTGTTAAAGGAGAATCATGAATTTTCACCTCTTGTAGAAGTGTCTGTTGTGTTCCAGTTTCACCAGCCAAAGCAGACAGTGGATAGCTTGCCTCTTTTTAGCTTTTGTAGTTCAGCTAGTTTCATATATTGGAGAATGAAGTGGGCTTTGCTTTGCAATAAAGGATGACCTATTTGGTGGGCTTTTCCATCACACCTGTCTTCACTGGATAGAGATGAAATGGGTCAAAAAGCAAAACATACAAAATTGTTTTAAAAAACAGTATTACTTAAAATGTAAAGTATCATTTTTGTATTGAAGGCTTTGGCACAGAAGCCTTTATGTATCGTATTTTTTCAAAAGATTGTTTTTGATATGATTTAATCCTTCTAATTTACTCTTGACTATCTACAGAGAAAAGGACTGTGGGCCTTATGAGAACATTTTAAGAGCTACATGATCAGATTAAAGGAGCCTGCACTGAGAAACTGAGGCCACCATCTTGCGGCTGGGGTAAGGGAAGCCTCCATGACTTCTGCAACTTTTATAGTCTTCCATGGCCTTGGGCTTCTCCAGGTTACACACACCTTGTGAAGCTTAGAGTTTTCATGTGACGTCTTTGCTTGTTTGTAATAAATATCAAGTAAGGGTGCTTGTATTAGATTTGTGCAGAAGACAAAGTAGCTGAACTTGTGGAGATAATCCAGTCCTCCTCTTCCCTCTGTTTGCTTGTCAAAGTACTTAGCATAAATGCAGAAAGTCATTAGACATACATACTGGTTAAAGGCAGGCATATGGACAGGGGAGGGAAAACTTTGCTTCAGAACTACTTATGTTTGGTGAGATATGTTTCCACAGTGCACTAAAGCACACATACTCATTCAGCTACGGGGGTTGGGATGCAAAGCATTACACAGTTCTCACCTAGAGCAATAGCACACTTGGCAACATTGCACCTATCTCAATGCCTAACAGTATAACAGATGTAACCTTTAGACCTGGTCTAAGCAAACCTCCAAAGAGACAAGGCCAGCTGCAGTATGGGGTGGTCTTTTTATTATTTATTTATTTCATAATTTTTATACTTCTTTCTTTTTAAAAACCTCCAAGTGGTTTACAGAACAACAACGTTATCAGTAGAAACAGTTAAAAGCAACTGTTTATTGCTGGTTTTTTTTTAAAAAAGTTTCAAACTAAACAGATTAAAACACACATGAACATTCTACAAATCAGGTTGGGCTTGTCTGAAGAAAACTGTGTTTAGCAGGCAGTGAAGGTGTCTGCCTGATGTCAATAGGCAGGAGGTTCCAAAGTGTGGGTGCTGCCATACTTAAAGATCCATTTCCTACAAATGTAGAACAAATTATGTTATGTGGCACCTGTAACAGTGCCAGTTCCGCAGTGGGTATATTTGGGCAACGCAATTGATCTTTCAGATAAATAAAGCTTTCTTTTCTGCTTCTGGTAGATGAACATCTGCAATAAACCACCTAATAAGACAGCACCAGAGAAGAGTGATGAAGCAGCTCATGAGGTCCAGTCCCAGCATGCCCGGAGAAATGGCTGGAGCTGGCCTCCACATCCATTCCAGTTTGTTGCTTGGCTGCTCTACCTCTTCTTTGCAGTGGTTGGCTTTGGTGTCCTTGTGCCACTCCTGCCTGCGCACTGGGTTCCTGCTGGGTATATTGTATCCTTACATGTTGATGTTTCAGCATAGTATTGCAAATACAGCTGTCACAATTACTGGTGAGGTATTTAGGAATGGTAGAAAACCTTTAGTGAGCAAAATCACTGAGTGTTCCTATCGTTCAGACTATACCCTTACTTTACTGCAATTTGTAGGATTGTTGCATTTCAGTAATATCTTACGCTTTCTAAAAGAATAAATGCAATTTTCTGTACACTAATGGCTCATGCCGTTTTGCTGTGTCCTTTTGCTCTCAACGCTGCCCACATTCCTTGTTAATTTTACTTTTCCTGTGCCTTTGTGAATGAATGATAATTTGAATCCTTTGACTCACTTGGTGACAAAAGAGACCTTTTTCTTAACTGAAGAGATTAAATCTGATATTTTGCCCACTTAAATGGGACCCTGAAAATGAGAAGTCAGTATATTTGTAGAGACAACCCTTAACTGTGTCCACTTCAGTGTCCCGGAGTGTTTTTTCTCTGCCATCTAGTAGTTCATCTTACAGCAGTTTCTATTGACCCAGCTGATGACGGTGTGCGAGAGAAGAATTACCAGGGGCCACTCACTACTTTCAATCGAAGCCAGCATGCTCACGTCATTGAAAACCGCCACTGTCACATCTGTGATGTCAATGTGTAAGTAATAGTCTTGCTCTTCCTTGTGTTTTCTGTAAGTTTATTGCATTGAATCCTCTCACAGACAGCAGTCAAGTATTGGAAATATCAGATGAAGCATGTGTGTAATAGTTGTGGAGTTATATTCTACCTTCATTGGAGAACTGGAGATTTATTGAGCACAAGGCTGTCAACTAAATACCCATTTCTGGTTCCAGAAGCAGTCCAGTCCTTAATTTTTCCTCAGTTCAAGTTATGGAAACAAATACTGCCAGGGCAATGATTTTTCCTGTTGGTAGGGTCCTGTGTTTTTGTTGTTGCTTCATTTCACTGGAAGCCAGTGGCTCTGCTACATTGGTGGCAGGAAGTCATGGACAGCGCAATAACCACCAGCACCATTGTGTTTGTGCATTGGACACAGTGGTTAGGTAGGGATTTTGGCTTGCCCAACATACTCGTCTTTCAGTATTATTGTAGCATTAAGAGAGAGGCTAGAATGATCTTGCTCAGGTGTGCTGCCAGGAAGCATAAAAGTCAGCAGCAATTAAGAAAAGAGCAGTGGTCTCATGCTGCTTCATTGCATTTAAGTGGGAGTTGCATTGTTGCAAAATATATAAGTAGGCTCAATTGGGTTTGTAGCCGGAGAGAAAGAAACGGGAAGAAAGAGAGTGTGTAATGTTGGTCTTTAGTAGACTTAGGTGTGCTATTCTTCCCCTTTTCTTTGTGTTTTAGGCATCTAACATAGCATCCCAGACTGTGAGAGGCATGAGCAACAAACTGTAATTAGTTCTGTTTTGCAGGTTTTATCCACTCTAACATGAACATTCCTTTCTTATTGTTAGGAGCTCCAGATCAAAGCACTGTGGGACCTGCAACAAGTGTGTGTGTGGATTTGATCATCACTGCATGTGGCTTAACAACTGTGTGGGAGAGAGGAACTATTGGTATGGGTCATGTCTTTCATAGCATTAATCCACACAAGCAAAGCTACTGTGCAAGACTGTTGAATCATCCCTGTGCCTTGTGCTTCAGCCACTATTGTCCAAATACCTAGTTTCTCTCCTTTTCAAAATTACAGCATACTCCATACAAATCAGAGAGCACCCTTAAGTTTGCAGGCAGAATTGTATGCCTACTTCTTCAGTAGCTTTTAAAAGGGAGCACAGAGTAGAACTTATTTAGCCAAAGATTTGGGATCTCTGTTCAAATGCTTATTTTGAACCCTAACTCAAACAGCTGGACATAGAGCTCACTTTCTTGCCCTGTTCCTTCTGGATACTGAAGGTTAAGCTTTGTCCTCTTTTAGTAGCTCTGAAGTAGGTGATGCCAACCTTTTTTGGCATGTGTGCCACAAGTCAAACTTAAATTAGGATAGAGTTCTGTAGTGTGTGCCACAGTACATGCACATCCCTCTGGCCTTTGAGGCAAAAAAAATATCCCAACTTCGCTTATACACGGATGTGGTCTGAGCAGACAATGATTGACCAGGAAAGGGATCTAAGGGTCATGGTGCATAGTTAAAAAACAAAACCACAAACCCAGTGTGCATTAGTTATAAAAATATGAATTCCATGTTCAGGGTCATTAGGAACAGAATTGAAAACAAAACTGCCAATATCATAATGCTGTTATACAAATCTATGGTGTGACCTCTTGGAGTGCCATGTTCTGGGAGTGAACTTTCAAAAGGATGTTGTAGAGCAGGAAAAAGTTGCAGAAAAGGGCAGGAGCAACTCTCTTATGAGGAAAGACCATAACATTGGGGGCTTTTTGGTTTAGAAAGAAAAGCAAGTTGCATAAAATTATGAATCATATGGAGAAAGTGGATGGGAAGAACCGGGATCATTCAACAGACAGAGTAGTGCTAACTGACCTTCTATTTCCTTGGCAGGCTTTTTCTGAACAGCGTGATATCTGCCATCCTAGGCCTTCTCCTAATCCTACTCATTGCTTGCTACGTTTTTGTGGAGTTCTTCCTTAACCCCATGAGACTGCGCACAGACCAGCACTTTGAAGGTATCAATCCACACTCTGCATGAGGAACTGTCTCAATGTGAACACTTTGTTCAACTAGGTTCCCTCAGGGAGCACCACTAGTAATAAGTATCCCAATTATCATACACTATTACAGCATTCTATGATCAAGAGTGGCATGATGCAATTTATTAAATAGTTAACATCTATAAAGAGATGTTCAAGCTCAAAGCTTCTTAGAAATTGTTCCCTTTGACCTGAGCAGCAAAGGTATTTTGCACCTTCTCAGTATCACTCCCCTTCAGATGTTCCATGGCTCCAGACTTGGCTTCAATTTCCTTATTTGTATAATTCTGTTTTCTAGGCCTGAAGAACCAGACGGATGTGTGGTTTGTGTTCCTTCCTGCTGCTCCCATTGAGACACAAGGACCTGCCATTTTGGGTTTGACTGGGGTTCTGATTCTCCTGGGGCTGCTGACTCTGTTCCTGTTGGGTCACCTGCTGATCTTCCACATTTACCTCAGTAGGTATCACTTTTTATCCTGAAGTTCATGTTAATTGGGAACCCCCGCTGTGCACATGCTGTGTAAGGAGCAACTGGGATATGTTTTCTATTGTCTATATAAATACTCTGCAGAGACTATAAAAAGAAGTAAGTATTTGCACACAGGCTTCCAATCTAAGGCACAATACAAAAGGAAAAGGAAATGAGAGAAGAGAAAAGACAAGCAAATTCAGATACTAAGTCTTAAAGTTACATAATTCCCCTCAGAAGTGACCAGCTGAACTGGCCACTGAGGAGGCAGTTTTGGGAGAAGAGAAGCCAAATAGCAGTTGGTCCCAGCTAAGCTGATGTAGTTGGTCTCTCTTCTCTCTGCTCAGATTCATCTTACTCTTCTTAGCATTTTTATTCCAACAGTTGTCTGCTTCTATTCCCCAGTGGTTGAGTGTGTGTCTATCCCAACTTTCAAATGGTGGGGTAGTAACAAGCAGAATGGCAATTGTACATTCCCATTCAAATATCTTTCTAAAGTGTGAATGCAGCTGAAGGTGAAGGTGACTGGGGCATACATTCACTTTTGGTCTGGATAGACAGTGGAGTTCATAGTACTCTCCCATCACAGTTCTCCAAGGACAACCCATGACTTTTGTTTAGATTGGAGTATTTTGCATGCAGTGTTTACTTAACACTTCTGCCCTTTGATTTAACAATGAAAAATGTATTATTTATTGAGAACCCATAAGGAGGATGTTAGTTAATAATTCTGAGCTTTTCCACCTTTATTCATGCAGTGTCTGAGCTGGCAGATTTTCTATCATTTAATTCTTCTCTTTTCCGTTTCGTTAGTGTGGCATCGATTGACCACCTACGAATACATTGTGCAACAACGCCCCCCTCAGGAGATGAAGGATCCTGTCAAGCAGCTAGAATCCTGCCCTCCTCAAGTGAGGCCTATTCAGGTATTGCAGGGGGGACCAACCTGTGACCTATGGGCTGGATCTGACCTGACAAGGCACACAGAGTAGTTTGCTGGCTCCTGCAGCTTATCTTCCAGTCTCAGCATGGTGGTACCCATTACTGAGATTGAGAGTCAAAGTGCTCTGCTTGCTCCTTAGAGATGAAGTGTAAAAGACAGCACTGTGGTGGTGGTGTTTTAAAACCTACATTGGGAATGTATTTAAAATCTTACCATAAAAGGTCTTTCTCTCGAGAGCTGGCAAAGCTGCTTTCTGCAGGGATCGGGGAACTCAGTCAGGCAGCTGATCCAATTGTGCCTCTCCCTACCCCACACCTGGCATCAGGTTTGGATGAAATGACCTTGTGGGCCCAATTGGGACCCATGCCAAGCCAAGTTGCACCCACAGTCCTGGGATTTCCCAACCCTGATATAGATAGAAAAATCTCCTTTAAAAAGAAGAATTTTAAAAAGAATAATTAAAAAAATTGATTCTCATGCATCATATGCCTGATCAATCCTCTCTTGGAATGTATAGACAGTATTCACATTGACAGTAAATTCAGTTGTACAATTTAAAGAAATCATCCATTCCAAGTGGATTTTGTGCACTTTGGGTACAAAGTGATCTTCCATAGTCTCTCAGCACTGCATGGTGAGAGACAGTTTAGCTTGTATACTCGAATCTAGCTTTGAGCTGAATTTCAAATATGTAAGAAACTTGTGCAGACTAAAACCAAGCTGTCAAAGGGAGGTGTAAGCCATGACTTGAACATGGCATTAATAGGGAGCTAGTGACTTTTAAAATGAAGTGATTGATAGTGTTGGTGCTCAACTAAACACAGCATAATTTTATATAGTTCATAAACAATTGCCCAAGCCTTTCATCTTTTTATCATCTAAAATACAACTAGAAAAAGTGAACTATATGCAAGTGCCTCTCATTTTTGTTCTGGTTGAGATTTTTTAAGATGTTGCAATCTATGCATGTTTACTTGGGAACAAACCCCATGGAACATACTGGGACCTCCTTCTGGGAAAATATATTATAGGACCAGGCTTTTAAAAAGTATCAATGATGTTGAAAGTTGAAGTTATATATCTTAATGTTTTATTAAATTAAAGATTGGGATTAAAAAAGTGGAAAAGAAACTGGACAAACAATGTAGATTGGAATACAAAAGAGGGAGGTATGAGGAAGTCCAGAAAATAAGTAATTTAAAATTGGAAATGGAAAAGAGAGTTTGTTTTTAATTGTTATGTTTTGTGTTTTTATTGTTAAGTTTTGTATTGTTTTTTGTGTGTGTTGTTTTTCTTTTTTTGTTTGTTTAAAAATTTAATAAAAAATTATTGAAAAAATAAAATAAAAAGTATCAATGATGTTGAAATCTACAGGTACCTGAGCTAAATAACCAAATACTCCTTCCGTGCCCCACAGTATGGACGCATTTGTAGAAACAGGGTTTTACAGTAATTTTGACTTACAATAAAGAGAGGGAAACTAACTTGCCAGGATGCCTGGGTTGTTCACTTGCCTCTGTTTTAAAATAACTCTTGCACATTTCAGGAAATGCAGTTTTATGTAGGAAGCCTTGGATATACCAATCCTGAGATCCAGGTGGAAGACTCTACAGGACTAGCATCTGGGAAAGAGTGAGTAAAGCTGATGTCAAGTTTCTTTTCATATAACTGAGCTTACCTAGAAGCTGTTCTAGAGACACAGCAGGTAGTTTAATGAAGTCACTCCAAGGGGAGGAAAAATTAGCACTTCCAGTTTTTCCAGGCATCTGAGGTGTCATAACACCATTCTCAATGTACATAATCTCATAGGTACAAGTAGAGAGGTTAGCTGTTTGTGTGAATGGGCTATAAGAGAAGTTTCCCTGTGTATAAATGTTACTAAAGGGACACATGAGCAACTTTTATCAAAGCATTTCCTCAAATCATGGAAAAGAGATTAAATACAAATTATAATATTAAGATGAAATATACAGAAATTCTCCACATTGCAAATGGATTTCACATGAAGAAGAAAATTATGTTAAACTATTATAATTTACATGGTGTGACATTTTTATTTTGTTACTTCTTGTTTTTGTATTTTAAAAAAGCAAAAACTGAAGGCATTTCTTCTTTCTGAAGAAATTCTGGGAGTTCAGACTAGAACTCCAGTAGCAAAGGCTTGATGGGCTGACAAAGGAGGTGAAGCTTGTATCAATTGCAATGTAGATGGATTGGTATGTAAGAAATCAGCACTGCCTATTCTGTTTTCAGCCTAACCAAGTTCTGCATTCGCAGTGATGGCTCAGACACCAAGCTCATCCTCACCCCTGAGCAATCAGAGGTGCAAGATGGAGACCAGCCACAGGTGAGAGATAGAGCTGTGAATTCTAGTCTTTTGTGCTGGGGCTGTGCTGCTGCGCCTGATCTTGGGGCATAAGTCATCATGCCACACTTCCTCTTTCATCTGCAGCTGTTATCATTTACAGCTGAACTTGTATCCTTGACATCTTCCCTTCTGTGGTTAGTGGCCCTTTATCTGCTTGTATCCTTCCATTGAGCAAAATTACAAAGTTCATACTTTGATGGCAGTATGAGGAATGGGGTTCTGAATGCTCTTAAACTGAAAGCAGTATTGTACTGAGGCTAAATATGAAAAGGGTCAGATGTGCACTTTCTCCTTTTCCATGTTTTCATGGAAAATCATATCTCTCATTCTGAGGGTATTTATTATTTTATTTTTTAAATTGTATACCACTTAACTGTAAAAAAACAACAACCCTCTTCTAGGCAGTTCGCGCGCGCACACACACACACACACACACACACACACACACAGGTTAGGCTGAAAAATAGTGACTGGCCCAAGATTACCGAGTGAGCTTCATAGCTGAGAAGAGATTTGAACCTGAATCTCCCAAGCCCCAGACCAACAATCTAATGTCTGCATCACACTGACTCTCAATCATCAGTTATAAAACCATTTTAAAATGGAAGGAAGTGGTGCTAGTTTGATACCTACCATCTTACTCGTTGTTTTACTTTTTATCACTCCTCCCTCCTTCCTTAAAGGGGATCAGTGGGACCACATTGTTCTTTGCCCTTGCTCCCCCCCCCCCCCCGTTATCCTCAGAGGTTTTTAGACTAAGAAAGAGTGACTGTTCCTAGGTCACCCTGCGAGCTTCAAGGCTCAGTGGGAATTTTAACTCTGGTCATCCAGGTCCTTCCTTGTCACTCTAATCTGGGATTGGCTAAGCACCCAAAGCATTTTTCCCTGCCTCCAAGTCCCCATCTGTTGTGGCAGTTGCAAAGCCATTGTTGTTTTTTATTTCTCTCTGCTCAGCCCACTCCCTATTGGAAACACAACTCACTTCCTCCCTGGTCATCAGATTAATCATTTTATGAGCAGGAAGGGAGTGATAACACTCCCTCTTCAGCTGATCAGCACAGATCAGCTGAAGCAGGAGGCTGTGTGATTATTCCCATGAGTGTAGCATGAGAGTGTATTTTGGCCACACCACTGGCATTCAACCCCAGTGGGCTGGCCAAGGGTGAATCTGGGCCTCGGGCCAGTAAAAGGTTAGCCACCCTCCTCTAACCATTAAAACTGCAATGATTTAAAGCGGATTTGTCTTGTTGTGTAACTTCAGAAAAAGAAGAAGAAGAAAAGGAGAAAGAAGTTGCATAAAGTCCCCTCTTCTGTGTCAGAAGAAAGATCCAAGATGGCTGATGGCCCATGGTCCTCTCTTCCAGCTTTACAACCAGGTAAAAGGAAAAGGTGGAGAGAGTCAGAAGTAGAAAGTATTCAAAGAGAGTTTATGGGGTCATGAATGGTGTATGAAGGCAGGCATTTTCTTAGTTTAATAAATAACCTTTCAGTGTATAGAAATTTTGGACATGGCATTATATAGGACGTTATAGACATGGTTTGTACTATTGTTTTAAACAGCACAGTTCTTTTTCTTTTTTATAATTATGCCCCCCCCCCAATAAAATAGGGAAAGTAAGATAATGCCATAGAGATCCATAACCGCAGCTGTCTTCGGTTGAGCAGAGTTTTGTGGAAAACACTTTTCCAGGCCAAACAGCCTTTAGGGAGGCACCTCCTTTTCTCTTCCTGCCGCATTGCACAGCCTCTAAACATTGGAGCATTTCTTCTCAGCAGCAGAAACCATATAACTAGCTAACCAATCAGTAGATTCCAGATTTAACTGCAGAGCTGCCGCCTCTCCTTTCTCTAGCTCACTTCTTTCTACATGCCAAAGAGTAGATTCATACTCCAAAGCCCATGGAGACTGGAGCTCTGTTCTGTTTGCCTCTTGGCCTTTCTTGTGGAACAGGAGTGGTGGATAGGATCCAGCTGCTGGGCCTGATCCTGAGTTCCCCTGAGTATGGTAGGTGGGCAAGGTGGCCTACCTGTCAGTTCCTGTCAGTCATCAGGTGATGCAACAGAACTTACTAATGTAAATGCTGGTCAGTACTTAAAGCAAACCCCTCTTTGTGTGGGGATTGGCTGCACTGTAGAGTTCCTAATTGAAACATTCCAGTTGGGAATTCAGAAGCACAGCCAATCCCTGCAAGGCTTGTTGTCACCACCAATCAGGTGATTGATGCTGATGGCAAGCCTCACTTGCCAAGGAACAATCTGGGGCACACTTTAAGGTTTCCAATTATTGATTTGCAGCCACATCTCTATCTGCCCACATCTGATACCACATATAAAGTCATGTGTGGTTTGTGGAAGATGTCTTCACAGGGCATATTATGAGCCCTTCCAGACTTAATTTGGTCTGTGGTCTGGAGGTTCCCTGCTGTTGCTGCTGAAGGAGGGAAATATCATTTCCTAACACCCTCTTCCTCCTCTTATGTTTGCAGAACTTTCCATCACAGGTGCCACCTCCTCAACATCCTCGTCCTCCAGCCTTCGCCTTCCCATGCCGGCTGCCCCTCCCAAAATAGTCACACCCACAGGCAGCAACGGTCCTGTCCAGGCCGCAGGTCCTCCAGCTGACTACCATTCCGAGTCAGCCGAGTCCATGGATGAGATCCCTGTGGCTCAGACGCGTCTGGGGAGCAGTGCCCCAAATGCAGCTTCCCAAAGCAACGCTCGGCATCTCCCCTTCCCCACCGTCCACTCCAGAGGGGGAGGAGAGAAGCACCAGAACACCACGCACAACCCAAAAGAGAAGAACTGTCAGCCACCTGCAGGGCAGCGGGTGGAAGAGCTGGAACTGTCTCCTAAGATCCCAACCATCTTTGTGAGCAAAAGCAGTGGGGAGCCACCTGTCCCCAAACCCTGGTCCGGTGAAACATCATTTGAACCCCCCCACAGAAAATGCTCCAGTAAACGGCACGTGGATGATCAGGACTGCCACGTATGGGACTCAACCACCAGTTCAACTGCAGCTTAGACATCCTAAGAGCCAAGGCAGAAGAAGGGATGTGTGGGCTGCTCACTCTCCAAATATATTCATGTTCAAGGATTAATCTTGAGTCATCTGTCTTGCTCTCTGGAGCTGGCTGGTCATGGCTCCTTGTTAACCTGCCTTTTGTGGATGGGGGAGAGGGCTTATTCTATCATCTTTGTAGCTTTTGCAGGGAAGTCATTTTGCCTTTGAAGGCCAACGGAATTGTAGAAATCTGCTCCTGGGCAACAGTCTTTCCGCACTGAAGGGTACCAGGAGGTTTGAAGGTTTAAGGCTAAGCCTTATAGGTGGTTGGATTCTTATTTCAACTCTCTTACAGATCCCACAGAAGCAAGCCTGTGCCCTTTGCTTAACGCAGCATATTCCTATGGGGTGCCAAAAGCAGCTACCACAACAGTGGAAGGGGCAGGGTGGGAAAGTCACTCGTCCTACAGTAGCATGGATTACACTCTCCTCTGGAAACTGCTCCCTGTTTTTCTGTCTCTCTGTCTGAAAGGGTTTTCTCTTTCTGTGATGGCTTATTCTTGCCTTGTAATGCAGATTCACTGGCCTCACAGTGGAGGACCTGCATCGATGGCCAAGGGCCAGAACCAGGGACTTTGAGTGGGTAGCTTCCCTTGAAAATGCTGTCTGGGGAAAATAAGGCTCTTTGCAAGGTGTGCAAGGAGATAAGGCCCTAGGACGAGGCTCCTGGGTGCTTGTGAACCTCCTCAGTGTTTCACTGCTTGCTATGGAGAGGGATCATGTGATGGAGCACATGCTCTGCAGCTCGAGCAGGGCGGGGAACCTGTCATCCCTTCCAGGTGGTGGGTTGCAGTTTCCCCACTTCTGCCCTAGAAGTCTCGTGTTCCATCCCTGGCATCTTTAGTTTATAAAGGCACAGGTAAACAGTACGTGAGACTGTGCCTGCGACCCTGGAGAACCACTGCCAGCCAGGGAAGACAACACTGGTCTAGACTGATGAATAGGTTGGCCTCTTGCAAAGCAGCTTCTGATGTTCACGCAGCAATATTCTCGGGCTCCTTGATCAGCTCTGTTTACAATAAAAAAAATTTCTATGCTCTTTGCTAAATATTTTTCTCCACCACCACCCCGACTTTTGTGCCTTTGGTGAGGATGAGCAGCAGTTTTACCTCTTTAGAGGCCCAAAATGTTTCAGTGCAGATTCGGTTGGATCCTGAATGCAGCATCCCTCCGCTCTGAAAATGTTGTAACCTTTTTTTGGGCGGGGGTGCAGTCAGCCCTTCAGTACCTCTTCAAATAACTGCACTTTTCAACTGGTTAAATACTCAGAGGACAAATCTGATTTGATCTCTTCTGAGAACATTTGGGAATCATTATCAGTAGAAATAAAATCAGATTTGTCTTCTGAAAGGACAGCTCAAGTAGGAGAGCACATTTGTTTCAATTCACAAGCTCTTGGGCGTCAATTCCTGGCATCTTGAATAAAAGGATATCAATGTCAGGGATGGGAGTGATTCTGCTTTGCCTGAGTTTCTGGAGAACTGCCAGTCAGAGTTAGTGCTGAGCTAGATCGATTAATTGTCTGTGTTGGTATAAGGCATCTTTATTTGTTCAGCATATTAGAAATGACTCATAATACAACATCCAACCTAAGTCCTGGTTCTAAATGTGTTGAAGAATAACCAGTCTTCAAAATCTGCAAATTAAAGTAATCTACAGAGCAAGCTTGTAAATCCTACAGCAGCCAATACTTGCAGCAGTCAAAACTGAGGGATTACGAATCTAGAGTAATCTTTACCAGTACTACATGCTCTCTAATCAGGTGGTCTCTAGGGACCAAACAGCAGCTTTAAAGTGATTTGGGTGATGATTTTAATCTGGAAAATGGAAGGGAAGGGAACTTTTAACCTCCTCCTACAATACCTTAGTCCCAGCCAGATTCCCTTTCCCTCACAATCTCCCACTGTCAGATCTAGTTGTGCATTGTTGGCTCTTACAAAATGAAACCTCTAATGGCCTCTAGAGGGCAGACTCTGAACAGAAGTGCACCAGAGCCCTAAACTATACTTGCATCTGCTGCTGCTGTGCGCTGGGTTGCTTGATGTATTAAACCTGACAGACACAGCACTCTTCCCTTTCTCTAATCGCCTAAGAGGCATCTGGAAGACATTTAAGACAAAAGCAAGTGGTCCTTTCTGGGTTTGGAATGAAAAACTATGCATGTTGCTGCTGCCAGATCGTGTAGGGTGTGGATTGCTTGGCCAATCTCTCCCTGAGATGTGCTGTGTGCAGGTGGCTTCATAGGAACATCTACAGCCAAGACTAGAGCAGAGATGGTTTCCCGTCCACCTTTCAGTGTGTTACGACTTCTTCTCCAAATTCCTCCTCTCCCCCTTCCTTTGGAGAAATCCATTTGAGGCTGTGCCCTTCCTCTCGTTGTTCTGATGCTGGAGGTGGTGGCAGCACCTACATTTCTGCCAACATCGCTACAGGGCAGCCTTTGCGAAGCTGGTGCCTCCAGATGTTTTGGACTGCACAGCCACTGTAGTTGTAGTTCAAAACATGGAAGGCACCAGCTTCACAAAGGCTTCACACTGCAGCAGGCTTAGCCGTGCTGAGCAAAGCAGATGAGCGCAATGGGAGTGAGGTGTCCTGTCCCTTGCATCAAGGGGAAAGAGAGCTTGTTTGAAGCCTGTAAAGTGTGCTGTTTGGATGAAACAGCAGGGCAAGTGCCCACTGAAAGCCAGGGGCCTAGCTAGAGTTTGCTGGTTGCCCTCCTGCTGTGTGCCCTTGGCTTGCCCCTGGAGAGCAGTTGCTCTCAGCCAGTCAGCTCAGTGTCTCATTTCCTTCCCCCTGCTGTGCTCAGCTGCCAAGAGGAATCCAGCAGCTGCCCCACAAGGTTGCAGGATGCCTGCCGTCTAACTTGTATCGGCTCATTTCCTTTCAGATCTCCCTAGGGTGCCCCCCTCCACCTTGGCTCCAGTGACTCTCTTCCGTGACACTTAAACCGGGCTTATGCTCCCTCTTTGGCTGTTGTGGGTGCTTGCAGAAACTACCTGCTGGCCTCCTGCCATCCTTAGGAAGATATTGGCAGTTACTTGCTCCTGTGGCCTTTCAAGACCATCCACCCCACTACACAGGCACAATTGTAGGTCTCCACGGGGCAACTGAGCTTAATGGAAACTGCAGCAAGTTGTTGAGTAATGAACATTTAAATGTGGAACAGCCTTGGGAACTCCATGGCCATTTTTTTTAAAGGCTGAAAAGGAAGCAGAAGTCTCTTTATTCTGCCCTTAATTCCCATGTTTAGTTTAAAGATGAATCCTAAGAAGGGAGATCAGGGGCCTTGAATTTGCCCATCCATATTTAGTGTCTGGACAGCACACAGCATGTAGGTTCCCTAGTCACAATCTCTATGGTGGTGAGAGGTACAGTATTATACTAATTATTTTTCAATTTACATGTCTAAAATAGCACATGCAATTCTGTTTCTCCTTTCATCCTCTTTTTGTGTGTGTGATGCATTTCCTCTTTCTTTGTGATGTGTAAGTTTGCCACCCTAATCAGTGCACCCCTATCCTTTTCCTGCTGAGGAGTTCAAGGCAGCCATCATGGCTCCTTTCCACTTTCATTTTTATCCTCAGAATTAGACTGAGAGATGGTGACTGCTCCAAAGTCACTCAGTGAGCTGCTACTCCTGGGTTGAAACTAACCACTGTACTGCACTAATTCTTTTCTGAGCTGGGGTAGAACAGAATTCACAAGTGGGGTTGCCAAGAAATTCTTGTAGGACAGAGTGTTTCCCGTTCAGAATTCCAACCATAACCACCACCACTTCCTCCCCATTTCCTCCCCAACAGTCAGCCATCATTTTGTGTTCTGGGTTTTTCACCAGCTTATTTGTGCATATCTTGGGATTCTCTCCCAAGTCTGCTACCAGCTCTCTCTTCTACATGGGCAGTGCTGTTTTGGCAATTTAAGCAACAGCACTCGTAGCCTGAACATTGGAAATAAAAGGAATGATACCACTGTGTGTTGAAGGGAACTGCATGCTCAGCTATGGTTGCAGGAAGATGCTGCTTCTGTACCACTCCCTTTTCACCATTCCATCACGACGGTAATTCAGGTAATGACTAGGTTTAGCCAAGCAATGTTATGTTGCCTCCTGGTGGTGGGGTGCAGCTCTTCCCCCATATATGTTGCAATGTTGCATGCGGAGTTGCTGTGGATACCAGGTATATATATTGCATAAGAGCCCAGTAGACAGTGCTAGTGTTTTGTAGCAACTGGTGTTATAGAAGGTGTGCAGTGTAATAATCATCTCCCTCTGGGCTTCCTGCACAAATTCATGTCTTCCCTCCCCTGCAAAATAAGGTTCCCTACTGGCACTACGAGCAGAACTTACTTGAATGCCAGAGAAAGCATCTGAGCATGTACAGAATGCCCTTCCTTTACCATTGAATAATTTCAACCAGTTCTAAAACCAGCTGCCCTGTGATCTAGAGAGGAACAGGGAGCCAGCTGTCACCGACTGTCTCTAAATGGCCTGTTTTTACTAATTTAATTATACATTATTCATAATACTATTCATTTTTCATACATCTTATGCAAGTTGCTCTGGGAGATTGTTGTTTCAAGAGGGGGCTAAAATGCTATGGAGAAATCCATACCTATATTAAAAAGGAGGAAGTGCTTCCAGAAAAAGAGATTAAATGTTGTTTACATGCTTGTAAATTCCAAAGGTCCCTATTTACTCAGGTAAAAGTCCGTTTTCTGTCCCCTGTCCTTATTTTTGTTTCCTTAGTGGCTCCTTGTTCCTATTTTCTCATTGTGAATTGCTAAATTTGCCATTATTTAAGTTGCAGGCTCTCCCAAAGGGCTATAGATGTTAAGGCTGCAATCCTGCAAAACACTTAGATTCTGAATCATTGAGTGAGAATACAACTTCAGTGTCATTTAGTCTAACACCTGCTCAGTCCAGGATCTGCAATGCAAGACACGTACAACTTCACCACCGAAGATGAGATAGCATCCTCCGCTACATCTGTGGCAGCAGGCTAGTTGCAGAGTGGGGGGGCTGGGGGTAGGACAGGCCATGTAACATACACAGCTTAAGAGGAACACCAAGGGGTCTGCTGCCCCCAGCCTCTGTAACCTCAGGCCATTGCCTCACTTTGCCTAATGATAGAGCTGGCCCTGCTTGCAATGTTATGCAGTTGTGGATGCGTACAAACGGGATGCATTTCAGCTGCTCTGATAGTGTTTTGTTCCCTTGAAAACCCATGCACAGAAAAATCTCCCCTCTTTTAAATCTGTGCAGGAGGGACCACTGCAAAGAGCAAGGACATACAGCGAGGAGTCCTTTGACAAGGTGTAACAGCAGTGGGTGGGGTGAGCCTGCAAAGCGATCCTGGGCATGAGAAGCAGGGTGTTTACAAGCATGGCCCTATTTCCATCCCACAAATGTTGCAGGGCTCTCCAGATGGCTTCTGGCATTAGCCTCCCTTTGCTGCTGCTGAAACAAAAGTCGTGGTGTTCCAGTGTGATGAATAGGATCAGAGCTGCATAATAATAGAATCTCCATTAGCCCAGATATAACATGATGCTAGCTGACAGACCACACCCAAGGACTGCAGACCTCTCTTAGATTTTGTGCTGAGCAAGCCAGGAGGAAGGGAGTGACTTGGCCACACGACGCCAAGCACCAGAGAACAGGGTGTGGAAGGACTGATGTGCACCCCATGGATCAGCCTTTGTCAACCAGGTGCCCTCCGGATGTCTGGGCTACAGCTCCCATCAGCCCCAGCCAGCTATGCTGCCATGGTTGTTGATCTGATCATCAGTATGTGCTACCTTTTGAGTGCAGATCCTAAGATCTGGCTGTTTCCGGCCTCCCCTGCCAACAGATCGATCAGCGCAGGCTGGCTCAAAGCCCAAGGCATTGCTGGGAAATCTAATTAAGGAAATTGGTTTGTAGCTTTGCTTTAGAGTGCTATAGTGTCAGCCAAGGACAGGAGTGGAAGATCTGTCCAGCTCCCTGAAAGTGGGTTTGGCTTAGCTACCCACCAGTTTGGGAGGAGGCAAGCTTGAGGGATATGGGGGCTGCCTCTGATGATATGTGGGTGTGCAGTTAGGATAGAGGCGTAGTTAGGTAACTTCGGGTTTAAGATTCTATGTTCTTACAAGGGGGCTCTGTAATGTGTATTATTCCAAAATGTGGTGTGCAAGCCTTACTGTGTCTGCCCAACCCTCTTGCTCCTTCTAGTGTGGAGTGGGACTCTGGACTTCTGCTTGAAAGTTTGGACTTGATGACACTACTGAGTTAGGGTACAGAATCTGAGTCCTGGATGGGTGGTTTACATAAGGCTGCATTTACTAAGGTCTCTGGGCAGCTAGCAAATCTTCCCTAGACTTGCACAACCAGTTCTTTCCAGGCAGGAGAGGTGTGGGAGGTTCATTCCGGTAGGTACAGCAAGGAAGGTGTACCTTTATGTACTGCCAAAAAAAGAGGGAATATAGTGTCACAAAAGAGAGCATGGATTTGCATAAAATGTGCACATGCTAATTTATATGTATAGATGCATATATATATATATATTTTAAAGGTCACCATTTTAAAGACAAATGCAACACATCTCACCACAGTGGGAGAAGACTGTGACCAGGTGACCTGTGTGGCAGCACAGATAGCTGTCTAAGGTGCTAACTTTTGATGGGCACCTTCAAGGATGCCTGGTCTCCCTTCATAGGGTTGTTCATCTTTAAACTGGAGATGGGCTGGACAGCCCTTCAAATAGAACAGGGGTGGGAACATGGTGCACTCCCAGTATTGTTGGCCTACAGCTCACATCATCCCTGACCATTTTCCTGGCTGCCTGAGGCTGATGAGACATAGAATCCGACAATATCTGGAGGGCCACAGGTCCCCCACTCCTGAAACAGAGCACTCTTTCAAATAGGATGCTGCCAACTTATAGACCTTTCAATTGCTCTCTGTAAAACAAGAACCATAGGTCTTGCTGATTTGAGAATCTCAGCATCCTTTATTTACCTGTCACTCTTTCCACGTTTGAAAAATCAGGGTCTGAGAGCGGTGAACAGTGACTTGAACCTCAAAAATGGT